TGTTCCATTTTTTATTAGGAAAATAGGGTTAGGGGTCCTAAACTAAATAAAATTAAAGAAAATAAAACTCTAACCCTTGTGGGATATAAATAAAAGTATTTTAGCATTATTTTGGGGATTTTTTTGGGAGAATAAGAGAAGAAAAATTGTAAAGAAGAAAAGTGTCGGAATTTCTGGAGCTTTGGTTCACAATATAGTGAAGTTTTTCTTGTTTTTTTCTTATAAACTCATGTTGATTATTTTAATAAAAATGATTGTTTCTTTCACCGGTTCCGATTTCTCCATGTGGAGGAATTGAAACCACAACGAAAACCTAGAAAATGAACCTGCAACAGGTACCTAGTTTGAAACCTACTTAGAACCGATGGCTAGTACCTGGAACCGATGGTACCTGGATTAGAACCTGTTTTGGAACTTGGGTTGAAATGAAATATCTATGAAGAATGAGGGATCTATTGAAATGAAGGCCACATGAATATGAAAAATGAAGAGCTAACACGCAAATTCATATCAACAAAAATAACCAGAGAAGAAAAAACTTACATAATAAGGAACTGAGCTAGCATCATGCTCCAGCCAATTGGGCACAAGCCAGAAAATCTTAGAATAATTAAGAAAAGTCGAGACCTGGTCTTTATAATTACTCTACAAGAAAAAAATCACAACACTCATTCCAAGATGTTCATCATTATCCTTACGGGCTTTATCAAACCTATTTTAAGAGAAATAAATACAATTCCCTTCACACCCATCGAACTCTTTAGCTGAAATAGAGAATGAGCAATCGTACCTCTTATACTATCAGCAGTAACTACTATTAGTATTAGAAAATTGTCAGGATCTGATATTACTTGACAAACAAACGTGATAATCAAGTAATATAAGATGATATGACCATAATAATCATATATAACCCCTAACAAAACGCCCCCGATATGTAATTATATATAAATAAGATAAAAAGGAATAAGCGCCGCTCCCAATAAACTCAAAAGTAAAGGACTTTAGCTTTCCCTTTGCTTTTTAAGTCAACTTTGATAGGACACGTGGCAGCCATTCAGCCGCCACACTGAACGAGATTTTGACCATCCTAGCTTTCTTCTGAACGCTCAAAATGGAATTTACAAACGGTGGGAAAGTGGCGTTTACTGTTTAATCTACGGTTGTCTTAATTTTAAGAGCAAACGACATGGCCAAATCCCAAGTAAATACCTCATATTCCGTTTAGGGTAATACTATTTGTAGAAACTCTTTGTACAAACTTACATAGCATGTCATAAAACATGTCATGTGGTATTGGGACCTACGTAACTTAATATCACATTAATGTTATGTGAGCATTCATGTCACGTGGCACTCACATGGTGTGCCACGTAAGTTTGTACAAACTCTCTTTGTATAAAGAGTTTGTACAAATAAAATTACCCATTCCGTTTATTACAAATTCTCATCCTTAAATTAACACTATAAGTTAATTTTGAATTTTAACTTAGTGTTATTACCATCCTACCATTCATTTTTTATTTCACCCTCCCTAGTCACCATCACCATCCAACCACCACCCACCAAACCCACTCGACTGCCGTTCAGGCCCGATCTGGCCTAATTTCATGCCGATTAACCAATCCAACAACACCATTAGGATCCTCTCATCTCCCTCTCCAAAAACCCTATCATCTCCGACCGTGTGCTGTCGCCGTTCATCAAACACTGCAATTTTTTTGTTCGTGCACTTCAAGCAAATTTTTGGTTGCTCCCGATGCTAGAAATCAACCCCATTACCACCAATAGCTTCACCAACATCTCACCTCAAAAACTGCCAACAACCCCAATCCTAGTTGTCTACTGTTCACCATCCGTCACTCTTCTTAGGGTTTTATGATTTTGGTGAAAATTAGGTTTAATTGGCGGTCAATTTAGGGTTTTATAAGGAGTTTATGGGTTTGTGATTGATTGGAGGTTGATTATGCTTGTTTTCGAAGTGTTTTTGTGTTGTTTTTTGGGTTGGATTGATTTCAAGTGGGTTTAGAATGGGTGGTTTGGTCACAAAATGCAGTAGGTGGCGCCCGATGATCGGGAAGCAACAATAGTCATTGCTGGTAAGGGTTTTGTTCAAGAGGAAGTAGAGAGGCTAATGTTGGTAAGTGGTGGGATTTTGGAGCCGAAAACCCTCCGGAATTGGGCATGAAAGATTGTGACTTGGAGCCGAAAATGGAGGAGTTTTGGAGAGGCAGAACTATCGGAATTGGAGCTGAAAGTGGGAAGGTTTTGGAGAGGGAGATGAGAGGATCCTAATGGTGGTATTGGATTGGTCAATTGGCATTGGAATCAAGCCAGATCGAGCCTAAACAAAGATCAAGTGGGTTTGGTGGGTGGTGGCTAGATGGTGATTGTGATGGTGGCTGGGTGGGTTGAAATAAATAGTGAAGAGCATGGTGATAATAACACAAGTCAAAATTCAAAATTAACTTATATTGTTAGTTTAAGAGTGAGAATTTGGAATAAATATAATTATGAACTTGGGATTTGGCTAAACCTTGGGTGAGAACATATCGTTTGCTTTAATTTTAATTTTTAGCCTTGTCACGTGGAGTGGCATGCCACTTAATCGTGTTGTTTTTACTTCCCTTATTTATGTTAACCAACGATCATTTTGCGAGTTTCTTTATAAAAAACAATGGATTTTCTTAACATTAATTGTATCCCATAGCAATGTTCTAAAAACCAAACTAGACCACCCGGTCAGACCAGTTCAACCTGTAACTAGGGGCAAATCTGGTTCGGTATCATAAAAAAAGGGTTAATATCATTTAAACCAGATAAGACGTAGTTGGACCTCTGGAATAGTGCTGAATCGCGGTCCAATCGCAGCTAAATCCTGTCAGATTCTGATATCGTTTGAGGGAGAAAACACCACCATTAGACTCGACGGCATCTCCACGACAAAACCCAGCCATTTTCAGTCACTGTCGTCCAGTCTTCGTCGCTCGTTGTCCACCTAAAGTTCACACGACCGTCAGACTTCTTTTGTTGATTCCGGCGAGTTCGGCACCACCATTAGATTCACCTACACTTATAAATTAAAAGCCCCATGATTCCAAACCTCAATTGGCCGTCGATCGTCACTGCCGCCACCATCACCAGTCTCTTCGCGTGATAGGGGTGTTTTGGACAGATTTCAAACCTTAAGGGACTATATTAGGGGTGTTTTTGATGAATTTCAAACCTTTAGGGACTAACAATAATTTTATAAAATACGGTCCAACCCACCGATCCAACTGGTCAAACCGGAAATCAGACCCTTGAACGGGTCATAGTCCGGTCCGATTTTCGGAACATTGTCCCATAGTAACTAAATAATATGATTTATAAATATAAAATTATCATATTTATTTCACATATATTATTCTGATTATAGAATCTTATTTTTCTTTGTAAATAAGGGTATCAAAATATCATAGACGTTAAATATAATTTTGGATAAGAATATATTATTGAATCGTAATCATTTGTGTAATTTCACGGATCATATATAGTGTGAGCAAATAGAAACGCGGGACCTCATTACGTCTCTTTTGTTAGGTAATTTTACCCTTCTACGTCTTGCCGGTTCCTAAACTATATATAAGTGCAGTGTCCCGAGAGTTAACAGATAACCAGTGAGCATAAATTTGGCGTTCTTGTCGTTAGGGTTTTTCATTCCAAAGAAGGAAAGATTCGATTACAGTAAGTTTTTCCGTTAAATTTACTTTCTCCGGCGACTGCATTGCCTAGTTTTCAGGCTCTGGCAATACTTTGTATATCGATTTATGTTACGTAGTGTCCGTTTGTTTCAGGACAAACGAGTACTGTAGATATTATCAAGTTGCTTCTTAATGTAATTCGAGGCGTTTATAAAGATTTTCTTATCTTGTGCGAATTTGGGAAAAAAAATCATACGTTATCATTTTAGTTTTAATTTTTGAATTTTGATGCCCGATACTTAAATTTAGTACGTTTAGATTTTATATTTTTTCTTTCGTGGAATGTATTTTAAGTCTAATGAAACGAAGGGAGGGTGTTAAGCATCATGATTTGTTTGTGGTTTTTAGGGTTTCTTTTATGCTGATTATTTCGTATGATTAGTGATTGGTGGTTTTCATGGCTTCAAAAAATTGTGGCATTAATTTTCCATGCAGTTTTTGTTTCCCGGATTCTCTTGTTAGAACCACAAATGGGTAGAACTCACCCTTAAAAACTGGCTTATAAGGGGAGGGTGCTCACGTTGTTATTAAGCCACATGCGGACCAATTCTTTAGCAATGTGGGATTCAATTAGGAGGTCTATGGGCAGTCGAGCCCATCCACAGATGGCGATTCAATTAGCCGAGAGGTTGGTTTGCCCAAAGGGTGGTTCTGCTCTTATACCAATTGTAACAACCACAAATGGTAGAGCTCACCCTTGCCAATTGTAGCATCAAAAAATGTAGAACGAAGTCATCCTTACCAATTGTAACAACCACAAATGGTAGAACTACAGGGTCCCACATGGTTCCCCATGCCAGCCAATTTTAGCTATGTGGTACTTTAGGACTGTACTCTCTATTTTTTTGTTTGGCCTTATATATTTGTTTATGATAAAAAGTCATTCTTACTTTTGGCTTCAGTTTTAATCTTTGTTGAAATCATCACAACGGTCTGACATTGATGTCTATGTCAATCTAACTCCATCAAAATTTGTATTCTTGCGAATTCTGAGGTTGTTATAAAAACCAAACGTTTGTTGTGCATTCTGCTTGTAATTTTCATTGAAAATATGTTAATACTTCATTTTGTAGCTGGTCATAATTTTGAGAGAATCTTCACTTTTTAAAATGGTTTATTGCTGTTTTTTCAGTTAATCTTTTTGGCTTGTTTGATTTCTTATTTGACTGTAGTGAAGCGTACATGTCAAGATGGTAAATTTGCTGAAGTTGAGAACCTTGAATTTAAGTGGGTAAAAAGAGAGGAATTGGTGAAAAAAGAAAGATGTCCGGTTCTATGATCTTTTACATATGATGGTGTTGAATATGCTCTTTATGATTGTGTATATATGTACAAGGAAGGGGAACCCGAACCTTATATGGTAAAGTTATAAAGATATGGGAGAATGCTGATAAGACGAAGAAATAAAGGTTCTTTGGTTTTTCGCGTCCTTGTGAATTTCAAATTTTCTTGGGAATGATCAGATACCTGAGAATGAATTATTTCTGCATGTGGTGAAGGTGTAGGCCTTGCTAATGTCAATCCTCTGGTAATTGAATCTTCATCATTAATTTTGTTTTAGTTAAGAAATTTATTTTTGTATATCCTCAAACCTGTCATTCTCCAATATTTGTATGCCATCTCACTTCAGTCACTGTATTGCAATGAATAGATACACATGTTTGTTTATTCAGATTGACATAAATCTTACAGATGTGGGTAAATTACTGTTTATTTTTTGGGGATTAACACGGCTATTGATATGGCCATCCTGCATATTCACAATTGAACCATGAAAATCATAAATTAATATAAAAGTCTTTGTTTATGTCAAGGTATATGGATAGTAGTTATATCTGTCCTTTGTTCATACTCTATAACATTTAAATAGTTTCCTTGCATTTGATGTGAGAGTATAAGTTCAGCTATCTAGAGACTAATTTTACATTTTAAAATAGGAAGCAATTGCTGGAAAATGCAAGGTTGTTTTGCATTTCAAAGGATGACAGAATCCACAACCATCAGCTGGAGAACTTCAAATGAGTGACTTGTCTTTACCGGACGTTTGATGTTGGGCACCGTAAAATCTTGGATACAATTGATGAAATGATTGCTGGGATTCAAGGTACTTGTCATTCCTTGGTTAATACTTCACTAATCTCTTTGTGTTTTCCTTTTATCTTGATTGCTTGATGCCTATGTGTTTGATGTTTCTCTAATTGTTGCAGTGAAGTTTATATTTAACCGACTGGATTCTCAAAAATCTAGTGGTGATCTGAAACTTGTTTCAGAAAAGAAGATGTCGCTGTAGCAGTGGAAGTAGTGATTTCAGCCGAGCAAGAGGTGCCAGAAAAACATGTAACTGAAGAAGCAGAGGGTACTCTATGATACCTTGCCAATGAAATGTGAATGCTTCTTTAGTTAAACAAAAGTCTTCTCTTTTAGAAAAGCCAACTTCTAGTGTAGATTTAGAGCCAGGTGAAAGGATAAAATGAAAATAAAAGAGATGCATCATTGTTGAACGCTGCACTGGTTAAACAGAAACCTCACTTGGAAAAAAGCTGCCTCTTCTGTAGGCATAGATTGCAGTGAAATGGCAAATGCTACAAAACCAGAAAATATTTCCATTACAAGCCGGCTTGATATCTAAGTTTGAAGAAAGTGCAGATCCAAAAGTTTCATTGGCTGGACAAAGATCTTGCTTGGAGAAAAGGTTGCATCTGGAGTAGTGTTACAATGGCAAAACGACTAGAACTGATGATACACGGGAAAGTGACAAGACCAGTACAAAATTTGAAAAGAAAGAGACTAAAAGTGGTAGGATTAGTGAGATTGAATTTAAACAAAAGTAACCTCTACTAAGGATCCTAGTGAATTGGATTATGGCCTCGAAAAAAATGAGCTGGATGGTTCTGTGAAATATTTGATGATAAGTACAAGATGGTGCACAGAAGTTACGCTTTGATTTTGATGGGACTGATGCAAAGGATATGGTACCTGCTACCCAAAATGAAGATAAATCTAAGCTTAAACTTGCAACAGCAAAGGCTTATTGTGGGATAGAAAAAGGTCCTTCCAATAACCAAAGGTGATGCAAAGCTTCTAAAACCTACTAGTGCAATTTGACCAAAGCATCTTCGATGCAACCTTCAAACGTAGGAAATAAAAGGATGCCCAAGCATGGGAGGTTACTCGACGACCAAATCGGTGAGTGCTGTTGCTAGGAATATCTTTTTTTCATAATGCCGGTTATTTGTGTTACTGTTAAATGTTAATTAGCTTATAGATATTTATAAATTGATTTGGTCTTGTCATTGAATGGAGGGCTTACAGTGGTGATTTTGGTCTTTAAAGATAGAAGTAGTATATGAATATTGTAATACAGATAAAGTTGGACAGAAGAACATTCATTTTTTAATATTTGTTTCAAAATAAGTATCACAGATATGGTTGATTTTATTTTTTATAGTTTTATAACATGAAATAATTTGAATGTTAAAAGACGATATTCTTTTAGTCTTCAAAGATATACTCTCACTCTTACTGTTGTCATTTTGTTTATATCAAATTTTTATTGAAATATGTTTGTGCCAATTACTGCTTCAAAACAATTTAGAGATCGTAGGTAAACCATGAAATTGACATCATATGCTTATAAATGTTACCCAATTGGAAACTTTTAATGATTGTTGCATAACCAGCCGTGCTTTTGATAAATGTATGTACCATGTATTATTGTAAGTTTTTATAATATGTAAAATTATCTTAAAACTTTGAATCAGAATAATAAAATTCACTACTAGTTTTCTATCAACTCTCTTTTCTTTATAATATAACCAGTTATTTTGGTAAGATTGCAAATTCATGCCATACTTAGGTGATGTTTACTTTTCTATCTAAAGTTTGAATAGAAAATATATAAAGATGTAGACCAGGAATTTTTTTTTTTTTTTTTTTTTTTTTAATATACGTTAAATCTTGAGATGGCATTTTACCCGTTGGGCGGTACGGGGGCTTACTTGGCTTGTTGGGCTGGATCTGTTATACTGACTTGCCATGGGCTTAGGGACAATTGAATCTTCTCATATTTTAGTTTAAGGTCCAGTGGGCCTTGTAGTTTGTTAATGAGTTTTGACAATCTTAGGACCAAACAATTTGGATCAATGTCCCTCAGATCAATTGAACTAGCATTTTGTTGTGGTTTAATTAGGCAGAGTAATATGGCCTGCTTATTTTATATATATAGTAATGAAATAAAATGTTATTGACATTAAACACTTGGAGTTCTTAGCTGCCCTTCTAACATTTTAATGAACACAACCAGCCAACAAACTTCGTTTACTTTTCTTTAGCTGTGAATTGCACTCTGTTTATGACTAGCTACACTCCTTGTGACCTCTCCACTATTAACTACTTAGATTCTAAGTCATAAAATCGAGTTTGTAACTCAGGGGTGGGGAAACTTGGACATTTTCAGAGACTCCCTGGCCTCAGCCTTGGCCCTGGCCAAATTTCTTTTTTTGGGTATTTTCAGGGTTCAGGGAACTAATTTTCATGTTTGCCACCTCAAGATTGTCATCCCTTAGTTAACTTTTTTTAATATTGTTGAAATATCTTAAAACTGGCATTTTCACATATTTATTCTTATAAATATCAATATTCCTGTATAATTTACATATTAAAAATAATTGTTAATAATAAAATAATGACTACACTACTGATTGTGTTGTGGTGATGGGGTCTTGGTCTTTATGGTGGTGCTGCTGGTGTTTGTGTTGGTGCTTGTGCTGGTGTTAAGAGTGATAATGGTGACATAAAAATTTTCATGAAACGAAGGAAAAAAAACATCACGCCCCTTATTGAATAAAATAAATGAAAAAAGCTGTTATGCTCAGATAAAGATGTCTTCGAGTGTTAAAAAAGCATATTCATGATTGACATTAAGAACATTTAAATATTAAGAGTTATTTAGACATTGACTAAAAAACAAAAAACACATTGGTCAAAACAATTGAGTTTTTGGATAATTTCTTCTTATATTTTTGTCATTCTCAAAACTTATCTAAACAAAATTGTGTTTCTGGGTCAATTTATATTTTAAGGCATTTAAAGCAAATATTTGGATAATAAGCACTCAATACTAAGTGAAGGTTGAGAAAATGAAAGAAGGGAAAAATGTAAACATGGGATGAGTGTTCAGCCAATATATAGGTCTAGCTTATTTCCTTGTTCTAGATACAGTATCGTGTTCATTTAGATCTTTGAAAATGCAAGGTATTGCTGATTACCATAATATAATTGTGTTATTGTTTTTGATTTGGTAATTCTTGTTTATTTGCATGATGACAGGATAGAAGCAAATGGTTTAAAGAACTGGTAAGTGTTTTTTCTCTCCTATTCAATGCTTTTAATTATTCATTTTGCTTTATTTTACTCTGTTTCCTATTGGATCTGAAGAGCAGTAAAAAAGTTGTAAGGGTTACTAATATTAGTATCTGCTTTAGAAGAATATGAATACACCCTCAAATGGGGAAGAGAAGTAACATAATTGTAGACTAATTTGTGAAACTTCTTCCATACTATTGCCAGCCATGGGAAGAAAAAATGCGGCGTGCACATGATCAAGGAACGCTTGTCTTGCTTGAGAATTTGGACCCATCTTACACATCAACAGAGGTGGAGGTAGTAATCATTATGGAAAATATGATTTTTACTTTTTCTTACTTATAGGTTTTCAGTTTTTAATGATTTATGATGCAATATTGAGAAAAGGTGATGCATTTATGGTATAAAATACAACAAATACAATGCCTGTTGATCCAATTTCTTGGTAATGTAGTGGGTAACTCCACTTGTTGTGTTTATATTGTTTTGTTTTTCAGTTATGATGATCAGTTGATCACTTATATTGCTTCTATGCTTTACCCTATCTTTTTTTCTTGGGTGCATTTTAAGAATTTGTATATTGTATATCAGGACATAATTTGGCATGCCTTCAAGGAAAATTGCTCAGCAAAGATGGTTCCACAACTTTTTTTTTCTTCACCACACTCTGGTATGGAATAAAACTATAATTCTCCTGACATTATGAAAGAAATTATAGTTTATATATATCTGTATATATATATATATTCTCCCTCTTCTAAGCTACAAGATAGATGGTGATGGAAAACTACAAAAAAGTTACACAGGTTTCTAGTCCCTCAGTCTTTATGATTTGTGTCATATTTTATATGAAACTAGTAAGGGTAGTTATTGAAGGTGAATAATTTGCATAGAAAAACCTGATTTCTTATTAAAAGAAATGTCCACAAAAACTTGAGCTATTTTTGGGATATACAACGGAACCTTATGTATCATATGTTGGCCTACTACTTGAACTAATATCATTTGAGAAATACCATGGACATGCCTTTAAAGCATTTCTTATTAATCAGAACAATAACCAAAAGTTGAGTGTTATACAAAGTTTTCTTCCCAATTTAAGTGGATGAAAAAAATGAACATGAACTTTAAATTTCGATGACCATTCACATTATTTGTTGTCCTCTCACTGTTGCCTTGCTAGACTAACTTTAACCTTCATATTATCGCAGTTATGCCGAGTGATAGTTGGTATTAAAGAAGTAAAGGGAAAATATCATGGACCTACCAATGTGGTTAAAAGAGCTTTTTTAATATAAGAAACACTTTTCAAATTATTTTTTAATATCGTTGAGAAATAACTTACGAATGATTAAAAAATTGCTTTTTGTTTGGGTGTCCTAAAAAAAGTTATTTTTAAGTTGTCTTAAAGCTATAATACTTTGGATATACTTTATTTTGGTGGCAATTTAAGTTATTTGGATAGAGAGGATTTTTTTTTTTTTTTTGGACGAAGATAAGAATGTGAACTTGGAGCTGTTATGGGAAGGACTTCATATTTTTGCTTTCCAGTGGGCATCTTTTGCAAAGCAATTGAGAGGGTTTCTTTTCTCTTCACTCAAAAGGATTGGGTAATTGTTGTGTCTTCTTGAAAATGTTTTTAGACCTTTTTGGCGGAGTTTTTTTTAGTGGAGTCGTGAAACTAATGTTTGTTTCTTCTATCCATTGGTATAATTAATTTCATTTTAATAAACTTTTACCAAAAAAAATTTATTAACGAAAAACATTTTTATTTTTGGAAATTAGCCCAAATAGCCACATTTTGAGTTGAAATTGAATGTCCACCCTATGGTTCTACAACTCTTGTTGTTCAAGCAGTAGGATCTACTTGAACCCTGTTAGAACTTTGTGATTCTAGCAGTTCACGTTGAGTAATTTTGAAGATCTAGTGCAAGAACCTTCTTGTTCTAGTACTTCTTATGGTTCAAGCATTGCTAATTCTGGAATTGCTCTAATCCCATTAGAAAGGTCTATTTTTCTGATTCTTCAAACTCTGAATGGAGCTCCCATGAAGGCTGAGTCAAATCCTTGGAATTGATCTCTCCTACCTTTCTTGGATCAACATGTTTCAACAATGGAAGTCTTTCTCTTCCCTCGCTTTCAATTTTTTTTTCTTTGGTTAGATACTAAAAAATTTGACCTTGTCTTTGTGTTCTTCAATATCTAAATCGAAGGGTACTTAGATCCTTCATCCCTGGTTGCCAGAAAACATGCAGGATGTGATATCTGAAGAAGGTGACTTTTAGGGGATTTGAAATGTTGACCCTTCAATTGAAACTAAAGGCTTTTACCACCAATTGCAATCCTTGGACTTCCTATCTTCTTTCTTTATAGCTTTCTTTTTGTTTCATGGGTAACTCAAGGTTATGTAGGTTGAAACAAGAGGTTGTTGTGTTTTGAGAAGTGGCCTCTCGTGTTGTTAAAATTCTTGTTTGCGTCCTTTGGAAGAGATGCTGCTTATTCCCTTTAAGAACACCTATCTTTTCCTTTTCTTTCTTTCTTTCCTTTTTTTTCTTNAAGATAAGAATGTGAACTTGGAGCTGTTATGGGAAAGACTTCATATTTTTGCTTTTCAGTGGGCATCTTTTGCAAAGCAATTGAGAGGGTTACTTTTCTCTTCATTCAAAAGGATTGGGTAATTGTTGTGTCTTCTTAAAAATGTTTTTAGACCTTTTTGGCGGAGTTTTTTTTAGTGGAGTCGTGAAACTAATGTTTGTTTCTTCTATCCATTGGTATAATTAATTTCATTTTAATAAACTTTTACCAAAAAAAATTTATTAACGAAAAACATTTTTATTTTTGGAAATTAGCCCAAATAGCCACATTTTGAGTTGAAATTGAATGTCCACCCTATGGTTCTACAACTCTTGTTGTTCAAGCAGTAGGATCTACTTGAACCCTGTTAGAACTTTGTGATTCTAGCAGTTCACGTTGAGTAATTTTGAAGATCTAGTGCAAGAACCTTCTTGTTCTAGTACTTCTTATGGTTCAAGCATTGCTAATTCTGGAATTGCTCTAATCCCATTAGAAAGGTCTATTTTTCTGATTCTTCAAACTCTGAATGGAGCTCCCATGAAGGCTGAGTCAAATCCTTGGAATTGATCTCTCCTACCTTTCTTGGATCAACATGTTTCAACAATGGAAGTCTTTCTCTTCCCTCGCTTTCAATTTTTTTTTCTTTGGTTAGATACTAAAAAATTTGACCTTGTCTTTGTGTTCTTCAATATCTAAATCGAAGGGTACTTAGATCCTTCATCCCTGGTTGCCAGAAAACATGCAGGATGTGATATCTGAAGAAGGTGACTTTTAGGGGATTTGAAATGTTGACCCTTCAATTGAAACTAAAGGCTTTTACCACCAATTGCAATCCTTGGACTTCCTATCTTCTTTCTTTATAGCTTTCTTTTTGTTTCATGGGTAACTCAAGGTTATGTAGGTTGAAACAAGAGGTTGTTGTGTTTTGAGAAGTGGCCTCTCGTGTTGTTAAAATTCTTGTTTGCGTCCTTTGGAAGAGATGCTGCTTATTCCCTTTAAGAACACCTATCTTTTCCTTTTCTTTCTTTCTTTCCTTTTTTTTTTTTTTTTAATTATTAAATAACTAGAAATCGCTTGACCTTCTTTACATGGTTACTGGGATTTAAATTGGGGGTTACTCTTAAACCCGACAATCTCAGTAGTTAGAAAACGTTTTTAGGTTTATCTCATTTCTTGCCAATTTCATGTTTTTTTCCTCACTAGCAAAACAATCCAAGGCCAAAGTACTTGTGCTTGTTTAGAGGATTCAAATTTGTCATTTTTACAATGTAGCTAGACTTAGAGACTTGCATTCTTATAAGTAACTAGTGACGTATAATAAATCAGTCCATTAACACTTTGAGTTTAGTTGATGCGTTAGTAGGGAAAACACTAATAACATGGGTTTTTGATGCAATTCTAAAGCGATGGCACTTTATTGTAGTTGTAAACATTAAGTTTAGTTCCAATTGTGAAGCTTTACTGCTAGGCAATTAGGATATAAGGATGGAATGTTGTTGTTTTTAAGGGTAAATTGCAGGCTATTATTTTTCCTTTGGAGCAATTGGTGGCAAAATGTTAGTCCTTGGTCTAGGTGAGGAATTTGTTGGAAATTAGCAAAGGTTGGGACCTCCAATATTAATTCAAGTTTAGGTGAAATATTTGTTGGTTGCTCTTTTGGCATCTTTGTGAAATTCAAGCCTTCTCCTTATGATTTTTGAATTGCTTTACAAACATGTAGTTTATGTGTGAGGATAAAACTGTAGAAAAGGGAATTTTGGCTTCCTTCTCCATTATGAGAATGGTTTCAAGAAAACTTAAATAGTTTACATGGTTGAAATAAAAGATAACTCTTATTATTTTTTCAAGGGTGATAGCATATTCTCATTATTTTGTTATAGCATTTGAAGTTGATGACAAAATATATGTTTATAATGGATCCCAAGTGTTATATAAATATCAGGCTTGAATGAATAGTGGATAAAATAAGGTTGAAGATTTTTAGACGGTGCATTATTACATTAGAATTGGGCAAAATTAAGGAGATTTTGTGTAATGTGTTGCAAGATAATCCCTGATTTATATTTTTGTGTTGTTCAAAGATGTAGAACTATGATTTCTATCAAGTTGGGAATTTGAATACTTGTATTAAAGGCTATGAGGAATATAATAATATTTATCTAGAGGGTTAGCTTTGAAGTTATAGTAGATATGGTTTTTATTGAATTAACTTTTACTATGTGGGATACTACACTTGAAGTCTATGTTTGTAGCTTGTGATTCAAATAAACCCTAACGTTCTAGTGTATGGAAAATAGAAGTCCTCTTGTAAGTTTACCTTTAGTCTTGTATTTTTGGGATAGATGTCTCTTTGAATAGTTGGAACTACCTANGGGGTTACTCTTAAACCCGACAATCTCAGTAGTTAGAAAACGTTTTTAGGTTTATCTCATTTCTTGCCAATTTCATGTTTTTTTCCTCACTAGCAAAACAATCCAAGGCCAAAGTACTTGTGCTTGTTTAGAGGATTCAAATTTGTCATTTTTACAATGTAGCTAGACTTAGAGACTTGCATTCTTATAAGTAACTAGTGACGTATAATAAATCAGTCCATTAACACTTTGAGTTTAGTTGATGCGTTAGTAGGGAAAACACTAATAACATGGGTTTTTGATGCAATTCTAAAGCGATGGCACTTTATTGTAGTTGTAAACATTAAGTTTAGTTCCAATTGTGAAGCTTTACTGCTAGGCAATTAGGATATAAGGATGGAATGTTGTTGTTTTTAAGGGTAAATTGCAGGCTATTATTTTTCCTTTGGAGCAATTGGTGGCAAAATGTTAGTCCTTGGTCTAGGTGAGGAATTTGTTGGAAATTAGCAAAGGTTGGGACCTCCAATATTAATTCAAGTTTAGGTGAAATATTTGTTGGTTGCTCTTTTGGCATCTTTGTGAAATTCAAGCCTTCTCCTTATGATTTTTGAATTGCTTTACAAACATGTAGTTTATGTGTGAGGATAAAACTGTAGAAAAGGGAATTTTGGCTTCCTTCTCCATTATGAGAATGGTTTCAAGAAAACTTAAATAGTTTACATGGTTGAAATAAAAGATAACTCTTATTATTTTTTCAAGGGTGATAGCATATTCTCATTATTTTGTTATAGCATTTGAAGTTGATGACAAAATATATGTTTATAATGGATCCCAAGTGTTATATAAATATCAGGCTTGAATGAATAGTGGATAAAATAAGGTTGAAGATTTTTAGACGGTGCATTATTACATTAGAATTGGGCAAAATTAAGGAGATTTTGTGTAATGTGTTGCAAGATAATCCCTGATTTATATTTTTGTGTTGTTCAAAGATGTAGAACTATGATTTCTATCAAGTTGGGAATTTGAATACTTGTATTAAAGGCTATGAGGAATATAATAATATTTATCTAGAGGGTTAGCTTTGAAGTTATAGTAGATATGGTTTTTATTGAATTAACTTTTACTATGTGGGATACTACACTTGAAGTCTATGTTTGTAGCTTGTGATTCAAATAAACCCTAACATTCTAGTGTATGGAAAATAGAAGTCCTCTTGTAAGTTTACCTCTACTCTTGTATTTTGGGGATAGATGTCTCTTTGAATAGTTGGAACTACTTAAAGACAAAAAGATGACAACATCGTTACTAGAGTTTCCAAGAATTAATCGAGGTCAGGAGGTGATATTTTGCTATCTTTTCAAAGATTTAGTAATTATGTGTTGTCGTGGTGATATAAATGGTTTATTGGGAAGGATGAATCATTTAAAAGAAGAGCTTGTTTTTATTAGTTGCACTGTTTTAAAATCTGGCTTGGCCTGCCGGTTTAATGGGGACCTAGGAGCTTTACTAGGCAGGGTTAACATTTTCCCTATTCACCAAAAACCCTAAAATTTTGGATGATGATCGACGAACAATTGAAGGTTGGGATGTTGGGGCTTTTGAAGAGAAAGTGCTGGTGAGTGCAATGGTGGCGACGAAGTTGATTTCCGAAAAAAAACTGGCAGCGGCAACAACCGACTTTTGCCAGCGATCGGCGAGGGTAACGGAGTTGGGTCGAGAGGAAGAGGAGAGTATTTTCGGGGTGATGGGGTTGTTGATGCCGATGCCGGTGTCGGCATTGGTAAGATCTGGCCTGGAATGCCGACACCGACGTCGGGAGGAATGAGCTCAAGGGACGATTAAGATTGCATTTGGGTTGTCGCTACCGCCAACCAGTCGTCAGCTGATTTGTATTTGGGGTGTGCTTGTTAAATTTCAAACCTATAGTGACTTAACATACTTTTTAGGGGTGTATTTGCTGAATTTTAAAAGTTTTGTCTCCCAGTTTGACTGGCCAGTTAACCAGTCAAACCAGGACTCGGCAACTTTGCCGGGTTTCACCTTGGGTTGATTATTAAAACATTGATTAGCTGGCTTGGCTTGGCTTGGCTTTTGATGGTAAAAGGTTTTCAGATTAGAAAAGAACATGTATTAAGTGTTGGTTTATGGAGTTCAACGACACAGTAGTTTTGATCTTTGAGATTGAAGGTGTTTATGTCATTGAAGGTATCATTTCCAGTGTTGTAATGCTGATACTATTGTACCCTTGTTGGTATTATTTTTAGTTATCAATTGATTGGTATTATTTTTAGTTATCAATTGATATATTAAGTCTACATAGCAAGCCATCAATTCATCCTCCTTGCTCAGAGTTCGTAATTTGAATTCCACATGTAATCTATATTCACTTGTAACTCAGTCTATGGTAATATCTATCATTTTCCCACTTAAGACAACCTTTAACACCAAGATATCGAGGCTGGTGTCTTGTTGTTTTAAAAGCGTTTTGGAAGATGACCTTATTGGTTACATTGTTCGTGAAATCAATCAGTTAAGCTAGAAGTTTTGTTCATGTTGTAGGTCAAGCTTATGTTATATTCAAAACAAGAGAAGCGGCAGAGATGGTTGTTACAAAATTAGATAAGGGGTGCTTATTGCTATCAAATGGGAGGTATGCGTGCAACTCGAATCATTCAATTGTAATTGTATTAAATTCGGCTTGACGATCTTTCTTTGTTGTTCTACTTTGTTCATGAACATTTTAAAGTATCAAATTTGTAGTTTTCGTAGAGCTACCATTATTTCCCTTTTCTGAAGTATGTTGAAGATCTACCTTTCAATTTGTCTGGGATCTCCCTCATAAGGTGGGTTTTGACAGCTTCTTAACTAATTAGAGTACGTTTATCAACTTAACTTTAGGGGAGTTTCTTAGTGTTATTTCAATCTAATTTAGACATTCCCTATTTGAATCGACCTAATTTAGGATATGATATTGTATATAACTATGTTGATAGGCATAGTCATTTAGGTGGCATGAAAAGCTCAATCCATTAGTTGATAGGTCAACTATTTACTTAATTCATGAGAATCAATTTGCACACATATATTTCAACTATCTTACCCTTGTATGTCATTTGGCATTACGCGTTGCACACTTCCTTTCAATAATTTGAGCAATTTGTTGTTCCACATGTATTGTAACATCTTTTCCATTCTTGCAATACTTTCTAAACTTTTTTTTCTAAGCTAAAAAAAATGTAATGTTCTAACTTGTACATCTTAGGCAAATTCGTGTGGTTTTGAATATTCATGAGGATGACCTTATATTTCTTTGGCTAATATTCTGCTTATGTAGCCAATGACATTATTTAGGGTGGCTATTTGAGTCCCCATATTTCTCTTGGGTCTTGGTTATCATCATTTAACCTATATGGCTCATTCACACCTATTTGGGCTTCATCCATATTTAAAGTCGAGCTTGGTGTTGACTAAAATTAGACATTTTATGAGATTTTCAAATTTAAACTACTACTTGATTTTGTTGTAGGCGATTTAAATGATAAAAGAATTTTATTAATTTGATGAAAGATTTTTTTTGGGATTAGATATTTTATTAATTTTTGGGTAATTTCATCCACCCACCCTGAGAGATCAATAAGTCTTAATTCTCCCAACGATTGTTGAAAACTATTAATATCCTATGTCGCAAAATTTTTGATACTTTTATAAAGGGGTTTCAATAATCTCATGCACTGTTCAAGAATTTTAAGGATATTTAATAGTTATTGAAAATTGTCAAGGTGTTCGAGATGCATTGATCTCTCTGGGGTGGGTGAAGTTAATCCTTTACTTTACATATCACCATTATGAATTAGGAATCTCAATAGCAGATAATAAAATTGGGATTAATTTTATCTCGTTTAACTTTAGCATATCTTTGTTTTCGGCCTTTATCATAGATAGGAAATTTGGAGCTTTTTTTACAAGATTATTGAAATTTTATTCGGTTAATATTAGCTTGAGTGAATTGGCGAATTCTTAGCATTTGATTATAATAAAGGAGTGTTCCTTTATTTTCATTTTTCAATGTTTACAACATTTTTGGGGTCTTGAAATTCTCTACTTCGACTGCATTAGTATTTGTATCAAATAGTGATTAGGAACCCGGCCTGGCCCAACCGGTTGAACAAGTTCAATCAAGACTCGGAGCCTTCACCGAGTCAGGCTACAAATTTTCCTATTCATTCAAAATCCTAGAAATTAAGATGTCAATCCATGAACAATTAAATGTTGGAATGTTAGGGCTTTTGAAGAGGAATGGCAGATGAGTGGAATAGTGGCAACGGAGGTGATTTCCGGAAATTGAATCAACCAGAAATCGCATAAATAAGTCGTCGAAAAAAGCCCTCTGTTGTGGGCGATTGGGGAGGCTAACGGGGTAGGGGTGGGATGCGTTTTGATCAGGAGGTTGAAGGAGTGTTTTCGTGGTGATGGGGAGTGTTATTGTCGCTGGAAATAGGATTTATTTGCTGATGCCGACGGTGGTGTTTGGAGTATTTTTGCAAGATTTCAAACTTATAGGGACTTATATGTAATTTTTAGGTCGATTTTTGTTGGATTTTAAACCTTTGAACATTAGTTTGACCGGTGGGTCAAACTGGTCGAACCACTGGACTTGAGACTGAGTGGCCTGGTCGGGTCATTCCGCGGGTCAAGTTTCTAATAATTGGTATCAAAGCTAAAATTAATAAGTATCCTTCCATACGCACTTCCAAAATTCCTCCGATCTACAAACCTTTCAAATCAGTCTCCATCTTTCTTTATCGAACACTCTTTAGAAAATTAATGTGGGCAAGATTGTCATTTTGAAAACAAGTTCCTCCTACAAGATTAGTATGAGAAATAAGAGATTACTGTCAAAATGAGACCAAACTAATAGATACTGTTAAATTGTTGCAACATCTATAAGAAGATGACTCAAATACATATGTCCGTACTTGATTCAAATGTGAATAAATCTAATTTTTCGATTGTTTTTTAGAGTTGAAATTGATGTAATAAGAGTGTTTGGAACGCAAGAAAGCATGAGAAAGTGGGAAAGTTTGGGGAGAATTGAGAGAATTCTTGAAAACAAGAGAATTCCTATTAATCGAATGAATTAAATACAATTTATACGGTATAACCTCTTTTTATACTCTTTAAGATCTTGGAGGAAAACTCTTGAAATGGTAGTTACATTTGCCGTTTCCAACGTCACACTTTTGCAGTTTTCTTGGGGTCCTTCCGGCCACTTTAGCAAATGTCCTTTCTCTTTTTCCTTATGGATCGTTTTGTTTTTATTTTTCTTGGATAACCCTATCTTTACCCAAGTCTGCTTGTTTGTAGTAGGTCCAATCCTTTATTTCAAATCCAGCTCCTACAAAATCCATAAGCCATAGTAAGGATAGCCTTAACAATTACTTTAAATTTTGGTTTGATGATAATGATGAGCCTCCACAATTTGATGAACAAATCTTTAATGAGGAATTAGTGGTTTAGATATGTTTCCAGTATTTGGTGAGGGTTCATTTTAATGCCATTTGTATTGAAGCAAATTGAAAATGGAAATGGAGATTGAAATTTGAGGTAAATTTCCTTCATCCTGAGGGCATGGTGCGGACAATAGGATAAAAGATTTTATTTTTCCATAAGATATAGGTTATCTTGGAATTAGATATTTTATTTATTCCGCGTCTTGTATTTTTAGAGCAAACATAGTTCAATTTTAGTCTGTTAAAAGTGATATTTCAAGTTGTTGTACAAGATCAAAGAAAAAGGATGACAGCAGGTTGATCCCTAAATATTGAATTTTTTATGGGAAAGCATGCTCTCATGAAATAGAATGCTAGAAGGGAAATATATAAAGGAAGTTTATGGGTTATTTATCATATTGAGAGTAGTTAGGAGCTCAAAAGAAAAAGAAGTTGGAGAATGATTCAGATAGACAGGAGAAAAAGAGAGTGCCAATTTAGAAGTCAAATAAAAAATCATTATCTGAGTTCTTACCTTACAGGTAAAAAATTATGGTTTGATCTGATATGGACTGTTGTGAGGTTCACTATAATCTGTTATAGTCATTATTCTAGTAATTTTGGATTATAAAGTGGATCTAGTAGTGATCTTTAGGTCTTATACTGAATTTAGTTATACTATCTTGTTTAGTAGTGAAATGTGATTACACTTTGCTAGTATCATGATAAGCTTCTTTAAGTAAAAATAAAATCAACATTCACGTTGTTCAAATAAAAAAATTGTCCAATTGTAATGATTTTGAAGTATTTAAGTTTGAACAATGTTGGATGGTTAATTTTGATGAACTTTATTGACTCAAGACCTCTACAGTCTCATGTTTCCAGTCTTTTATTATAACTGACATTTGATATATGATCATTTTAATATTAAGAATTAGTTGTCCAAATGGTCTTTTTACTTTATTCAAAACTTGCTACATGCTTTATAGAGTGCTCAATAAATATTCTATTGTGTGTTTTTGTATGTTCTAATTGCAGGCCTCTTTTGGGCTGCTTTCGAACTCCTTGCTTTACGGGAAAGCAGTCGACATTCTTTGGCCATCTTGTTATTGATAAACTTAAACTTCAGATGCAACGGGAAATGGTAAATATTATTCTCCCTCTTTCACACATGCATGTGTGCTGGGACACAATTGCATGCAACTTTTTCTTTTTATCCCTGATGAATTTGGTTTCTGTTTGTTCTTCTTTCTCAGAGAGAAGCTGTGTCCACTTCACATTGTTCTCAGCCTAACACACTGGAATATGATATGGCCATGGAGTGGTCCTTGCAACAAGAAAGATCAGACTATGCTTGGAGAAAGTTGCATGAGGTATATAATACCTCCTTTTTGAAATTTAGTATTGTGTGGAGTTTTAAGGTATTGCTAGTTTTTACTCCTATAATAATATAATTGGATGTTTTATTCTTTATTAGCAACAAGGTCGGGAGCTGAGAAAACTCAAGGCCAAGTTCAAGCCCAAGCGTAAATGACCAGTGTGCTTTTTCATTTCCTCTTCTTCGTGAGTACTTTAACACACCTTGAGATATCCGATTTCTTGACTTTTGTGAATTGTCATATGAAGCTTTCGCTGCTATTGTGCAGCAGCTCATCTTTGGTCATCCAAACTGAATTAGGACAAAAGCCTTTTCCTACTTTTGAAGCACACAACTGAGGTGATAGTTTTCCTGCTGACAGGTTACAGCCATCTGATAAATATACTGGTAATAATCTTGTCCCACTTTCTTGTCAACAAGTTGTCTATATGTTAAGTTGCTTTCTGATTTCACTACAAATCTCTTAAGAAAAGTTGGTATGATTGATAACTTAGCCTTATTATATTTTGATCTTATGTGCATGATTGGTGCATGCTTGTCTGTATGTGAGTCTGTGTTGTATTTGTAATTCTTTGACGGAAAATTCCTTAAAACACACTACGAATTTCGAATCCTTGACCATCATAAGCATTAGAGTATGCCATACAATGAAATGTTAATCTTAGTGTTAAGAGAATTAAATTATGATCCAACCCCAAGGTTTTGGATGAGTTCGAGTGGTTAAGACCCTTGGTTCCAAGAGGTCAGGGATTCAATTTTCTTATGTCTGCCCCTCACTATAATTATATTCACAAGTTTATTTGTTATCAATGATATAGTCTCGAACTTGTCTTTGATTTAATACTCGGTGGACCTTGAAAAATTTGCGATCTCTGGGTATTGAAAAAAAAGCTCGTGTTATCAAACATTCACATGCACACATGCATTTTGATATTGTTTCGTAATATTGGTGTTTGACAAAGCTGATGTTTATTTCACTCAACTAGCGTGATTTTTTTTTTTTTTGGCAGAAGTGATGGGACAGAGACAGCCAGTGCAGAGCTCCTAAACCACTCAAAATTTTGCCCGGGCATGTGCATATGTTAAGGGATGGGTTTTAGGTGTGATGTGGGACATGTAAATGAATTGTGTTAAAGTTAATTTGTATATATGGCTATCTTTTTTAGTCACAGTTTACTTGGATAAATTTCCTTCGTCCGTGGCCATCAAAGCTAGAGTATTTTAGCTCTTGCCCTAACGGTGTAATTGATCTCATATCTTGGCCATTATATGATTGGAATGCATAGATGTGGTAACATTTTTGTTGCCCTCATGCATAGGGATGGGCCTTTGACCCTCCTTGCCTCGAATAGGGCAAAAATTCCCCCAAAAATAGGGGGATGGGGACCAGAAATTCCCTATCCCTGTGGGGATGGGGATAGAGGTCTCCTTGCCCTGCCCCGGTAAATAATGTTGAATATGTTAAATTTTATCACAGAAGTATCTCTTCACACCCAAATCTCGTTTCCTTTGCGTCGCATGACCTTTAGCAAGTCATTGTACCTTGCTATCAGCCACCTCGACCACCATTAAAGCCCCCTCAACCACCATTAAAGCCCTCTCATCATTCCTTACCCATGTTCATAGCCCATAGCCATCGGAGGTGCAACGATTGAGCGTGTGCTTGCACAAATCACCTGTCGCGTCGTGCACGACTACTGTTGCCAACGTCGCCTTTGCCCACCGTCACAATCTCTGACTCCACCTTGCAACCTTCCCCTAGAGTCAGTTGCCCAACCCACTCAATCGTGTGATTGCAGTTGGTTGGAGAGTGGGTTTGTGTTGTAGCTTGGTGGTTTGTTTTTGGAATTGTGTTGGTTGCTTGGATTGTTGATCGAAGTCTCCCATTATCGTCGGTCACCACCCATAGCCCTCTTGCCATTGCACTCCCCCAAACCTACCTCACCACCTGTTCGAAGAAGGTCCCTACCCATCCACCACATCAGCAACCAATCACCCATGCAAGGCCAACCCAACAGATTGCACACAACTCAAGTAGGGGTGTTAGTCGAGCCAAGCTGCTCGCGAGCGGTTCGGGCTTGGCTTGAGAAAACTTCGAGCTCGAGCAATTTGACTCAACAAGTGAGTCGAGTTCGAACTCTTAGGTACTCGGCTTGTCTAGCTCACAAGTCGAGTTAAGCCGAGCTATTTATATATCCCTTCTTTCAAGAAATATATATTTTTATATTTATCTCTTCTTTCTCTCTTTTGTCCCTTTTCTTCATCCCATTTCTTCTTCTTTATTCATTTTTCTCTAGATTCCTTCTTCCTTTTTTTTTTTTCTCCCTTCATTCTTTCTTCTCTCATTTTTTTTATTTAGTTTACCATGGTTGCCATGGCAATGTCCACCTCTATTTACCTAAACCCCCTAAGTTCCAACGATTTTGCCCTCACAGAAAAACGACCATGACCATTGTCCTTGATCTTTTTTTTTCATCTTTACGGCATGATTCCATTAACCAAGCTTGGACTCGAGTTTGAGTACCCATTTAAGGTACCGAGTTCGAGTTCGAGTTCGATCTCCATTCCCTAGGTTCGACCAGGCTCGAGTTTGCACTTGAACTCAGTATTAGAGCATCCGAGTTGAGTTCAAGTAGTCAGATTCTTAACTCGACTCGATTCGATTTCACCCTTAAGCTCAAGTATAGAGGTTTCAAAACAGGGAATGAGGCCAAAAAAAAAACCTTATGGGAATTTTCCCCCCAAAATCCTTGTACTACGGGGTGGGGATGGGGTTCCCTGTCATCCTCATAGTAGGGACGGAGAATCTCCTAGGGGATTAGGGACAGGGTCAGGAATTGCCTCGTGCGTATCTCTACTCATGCAAGCTTAAGCATTTGTTCAGTAGTCTTTATCCGTTATTGCCAGTATAAGGAATTGAATTTTAGTATTACAATACTTGAGATTTTTTTTTTTTTTTTTTTGAGGTAATCGTGGTGTTCGGGTCGACTTGATATACATCAACTAATCCTCATGGTCCATTGAATACTCTACAAGCTTAAAAGATCAAATAAACTACAATGTTATTATGGTAGATGATTTCAAAGTTTGAACCTAAGGACTCAAGAAAATGAGCAAACATCTTTGACTGACTGACTAATCCCTTGAGGTTAACTTGGGATGTTTTGCCTCACTATCCAAATAAACAAATTTTATGCACATTTTAATACGGTGGGCAGTGGACTCAAATATATCTTTCTACAACTAAAAGTCTAAAACTAAGAAATTCTGTAAGTGCCCCGGGGATAATTTATTGACGTCTCCTAACCTTTGGTTTAAGTATGCAAAGTTCCTGTAGTTCCATTAAACTATTTAACATCAAAGACTATTGTGATAATATTTGTCTCAGAAATTATATGGATCTCTGTCTTTATACCAAAAGTCAGGATTTTCAAAGTTTTAACCACTCGTCGACCACTTTTTAGCCCGGTAGTTGATATAATGGCCAACTTCTTTTTACTTAAAAAACAGAGATAATAACAATAGCGATAATGACACAACTAAATATATAGTTTGAAGATTAGAACCACAAAAAACAACTACAACTTACCATCCATCACCGTGAAAAGAAGTATATATTTTTCAACAAAACACGCAATACCCAATTCACACATATAACATATAAAGTGTTTTTCTTTTCTGTCTTTTATGTAGCAATTATTTTACCTATTGTTCTATTTCTTTGGAGTGGTCCATAATAATAAAATCTTACACACATTATATCAAGGTTAGGTTATCATCTGCATACAAATTTACCCCAGGTGGGTTTTCTTTTTGTTTTTTCACTTTATAAAGTTTTATCCATCAAATCTGCCTTCATAGAGATGAACAACAATCTGAACCCTCCAATTTACAGAGTCAAAGATAGGAAAAAGCAAAAACGACGTTGTTGCGCCTCAGGAAATGTGACCGTTATTTTAAAAATTATTTGATAAGGACACTTCTTACTTAATTGAAGCGAGTAGAGTGATGTGCCTACACTCAACGAGTACAACGAAACACTCTGAGCACCGCTCTGTACTAACTTGGCAACACTCTCCCTCTTTTCATGCTTTTGCTCTTTGCAGAAACTCTCTCTCTCTCTCTCTCTTCTCTGCAACTCCCTACTCTTCAAAACCCATCCTTTTCCTCTTCATCTTTTTTTTTTTTTTTTTGTTTCTTTTAACTCTCTAAATGTGGAAACCATAAGCTTCTTCTTTCCAAAGAACAATCAACACACACTTTGTTAAAAGTACAACGCACAATGGGGTGCACGCAGTCTAGGATAGACAATGAAGAGTCAGTCTCGCGCTGTAAAGACCGCAGGAACTTAATGAAAGAAGCCGTAATAGCTCGCAACGCCTTCGCCGCCGGCTTCTCTGGCTACGCCGTTTCTCTCAAAAATGTTGGCGCCGCCTTGAGTGACTACGCCCACGGCGAATCTGAAGACAACCAAGAGCCACACCAGCCGGTGGAAAACACACCTCCTCCTCCTCCTCCTCCTCCCCCTCCCCCGCCGCCTCCGTCCTCCATTGACCGCCTCCCGCCTCCTCCTCCGCCGCTTCCCAACTTCTCCCCCAGTCCCATCAAGCGCGCCGTTAGCTTGCCCTCGATCCCTAGAAAACACGCTCACGAAATCGATCACGTCACCATTACTGAAGACGACGAAGAAGAAGAGGACGAAGATGATGACGACGACGAAGAAGACGAGGTGGAAGCGCGTGGAAACAACGGCGACAAACTTAAGAACAAAAAACATCTAAACATGGGTGGAGGTGGGTCCCACGGACAGATGATGTCGTCAGCAACGACATCGCCGAGAACTCCGGCGATTACGTCCGGACCGAGCGCTGCCTGGGATTATTTCTTCAGGGTGGACGAGGACTTGGCTGGAACAAGTAGCTTGGATACAGAGGAGCATCATCATATGAATAATAGTTCAGTAAAAATGGGGGAAAATAACCATAATAATAGTAGTCATAATCATAATGTTGGTGTTGGTAATGAAGATAATAATAATAATAATATTAGTAATATTAATAATAGTATTAGTAACAATAATATGAATGTTAGTGTTCATGTTAATGGTAAGGAGCTCGAAAAAGCTGAAGACAAGGTGATTGAGCATGCAAAAACGGCTCCTCCAGAGTTCAGTAGTAGGAAAGCTGTGGTGAACTTGATGCATATTTTGAACCAGATTGATGATCATTTCTTGAAGGCTTCACAGTCCACTCATGAGATTTCCAACATGCTTGAGGCCACCAAGGTTCATTACCACTCTAATTTTGCTGACAACCGAGGTAAATAATACATCTTTTTTATTTTTTTTTAAGATTCAACTTTTCATCTGTTTTCTTTTTGGATTCATGTTTAAGTGAATTTTGGTATAAAAAAAGTAGTTATAGATCCAGCTAAATTATATAATGTTAAGTGGGTTTATATCTTTTTTTTTTTTTTTTAATGTGAATGAATGGGGGCTTTGCGTTTGCATCTTGTCTTTTATGTCACTTTTTTAAATTATTCTGCTTAGGATCTGACTTCTATCTTGAATCTGATCTATTCTTGTGCCTTTTTTGGATTTTTAAAAGCCAAGATCATGTTTTGTCAACTGCGGTCCAAGTGAACTTTAAATAAAATTTTACAGTTTGCTTTATGATGATGATAAAGGAACAACCATGTGCAAGGAATCTGATGAATTCTCGTTCAATAATAATATCTAATCCTTATTGATGACGGTTAATTCTTACATGGAGAGAATTTTATTATTTGTTAAACAAAGTGCTTACTCTGTTGTGACTTAACTTGTGTGCTTGACTTATTACAGCGTTTGTTGATCATTCTGCGAGGGTCATGCGGGTTATTACATGGAATAAGTCCTTTAGAGGTATTTCCAATGGTGAAGGTAGGAAGGATGAAGTGGATTCAGAAGAATCTGAAACTCTTGCTAATGTTTTGGATAAGATGTTAGCATGGGAAAAGAAACTTTATGAAGAAGTTAAGGTACATTGCATCAATTCTTTTTTATTGGTTTGTCAATACCCATTAGCAGTAAATGTAGTGATTCTATTCTATAAAAATCTAGAAATAGAAATTCTGGTTCCCATGCTAGAATGATTGCAATGAGTATTGCTCCTAAAAGGATGTTTGCCAAGAATTAATTCTTTTCTTCTTCTGCGTATAGAATTTTAGTGCCCCTGTTTTAAGTGAAGTTTTGTTCATGTCGATAGCAAGGTGAGCTGATGAAGATGGAGTATCAGAGGAAGGTTTCTGTGCTGAATAAGCACAAGAAACGTGGAGCTGCTACTGAAACATTGGAAAAAACAAAAGCAGCTGTGGCTCATTTGCACACAAGATATATAGTTGACATGCAGTCTATGGATTCGACAGTTACAGAAGTAAATCGTTTACGTGATGAGGAGTTGTACCCAAAACTTGTTACTCTTGTTGATGGGTGAGTTTAGATTTTTGAAAACTTATTGGGCATTGCAATTACCGGCCTGCTCCATTATGGTTTCCTCTTAATTTTTTTGACCATATATGGCGTGCATTAAGGTTCCAAATTCTGATGCTTTATGTGGTTCTTGAAAACCCTGTGATATTTTCTAATGAATTTTTATTTTTTATTTTCCAAATACAGATTGGTTCCTTGCTTTGCATAATATTTTGATCATTGTTTAATGTTTAGTATACTAAATAATTGCCTGACCAGTAACAGTTTTCTTGCATCTCATTCATTACCCTTATCATTTAAATCTTATGTCTGTGGTTGATTGATAACTTTATCTGTTTCTTCCAGTGTTGCTGGCCCATGAATTCTCATTTCCTCTGTTCTGATATAAACCGTTGCTATACTTTTGCACTTACCAGAATGGGAACCATAAATGTTTAAAACCTTGTCTGCAGGATGTTCAAAATGTGGAAAACTATGAGTGAACATCATGACAGCCAGCTGGAGATTGTTACAGACCTCAAGTCCCTTGATGTTACGAATGCTCCCAAGGAAACAACTAAGCAGCATTATGATCGCACTAAACAACTGTATAGTAGTGTTCAACAATGGCACTCACAGTTTGAAAAGCTTGTGAACCATAAAAAACAGTATATCCAATTTCTGAACAGCTGGTTAAAGTTAAATCTCATCCCCATTGAAAGCAGCTTAAAAGAGAGAGTCTCATCCCCACCAAGACCCCCAAATCCCCCAATCCAAGTCCTCCTTCTTTCATGGAACGATAATCTTGAAAAGCTTCCAGATGAGCTAGCCAAATCTGCAATTTCTTCCTTTGCTGCTGTGATAAAGACCATAATGCTTCATCAGGAGGAAGAGATGAAGCTGAAGGAAAAGTGTGAAGAAACCAGGAAAGAATATATTCGAAAGAGCCAAGCATTTGAGGAATGGTACCACAAGTACCAGAAGAGAAACACATCCGGTGAATCAGAAGCAGATAAGGGTGAAGATGCAAATGCCAAGGATGCTGTTATGGAGAGGCAATTTGTGGTTGAGAGCTTGAAGAAGAGGTTGGATGAGGAAGTTGAAGATCACAATAGACATTGTCTTCAAGTCAGAGAAAAGTCTCTAGGGAATCTTAAGATTCGCTTGCCTGAGCTGTTCCGTGCTCTGTCAGACTATACTCATATCTGTTCCGAAGCTTATGAAAGATTGAGATCCCTTACCCAGTAACAGAATAGCAATGGTGGTTTTGCACACTAATTCAGCTCTGTTATTTAAGTAATTCTGTCTAAGTTAAACCTTGGTCAGCTGTAGTTTTAGTATGAAACGTTTGTAATCTTCATGGGTATGCATATCTATCAATCCTTGTTCTAGCGTGGAGAAATTTTGCTCTTGTATTAATTTTGGCCATATGCTAGTTGGATTTTGTGATGATTCAAATGAAAAATGCAGGCAACGTTATACTGCTCCACTCTCTCCTCTCTTTTATAATTCACTTTGTTATGCTTATGGGTACTGAATTAGCATCAAAATTGTTTGAGATTCTTCACTAAATGTGTAATCAATGTCTATTCCCATGACCACCCTTGGGTGGCCAGTGATTAAATAGATCTCTTAGAGTATTATTCAAGAGATCTTGAGTTTGATTCGTCTTAGTTGCTAATAGGAGTGATCATTAGAGGTTTATTCGACCGTTAACTTTAAGGCTTCGGGATTAGTTGAGGTGTGCACAAATTAGTTCGGATGCTCCAGTCATCGAAAAAAAAAATGTCTATTTCCAATCTTCATGAAGTTGACAGAGGTGGTCATGGGAGGTTTGTTTGGTCGTTAACTTTAGGATTTAGGAGATTAATTGAGGTCTGGACACCTCAATCACCAAAAAAAAAAAAAAAAAAAAAAAGGGATATTTCTCATCTTCATAAAGTTGATTGAGCTCTATTCAGATAGTTTTTTTGATGCCATAAAGTTAGTTAACTCCAACATAATCATATGTTAATTAGGTGAAAATATATTTTAAATTTATCATATTTATTATGTTAACCATATTTTCATTTGAAACTTCCTGCCTAACTTTAATTTATATCAAATATTTAATAATACATTCTCCTTTTCTTCCCCTATCCTAATATTCATATTCAAAACAGTTATGTACGCGGCTAGCAAAGTAAGACCCTTTCGGCTGTTTGTCACAAGTTTGACTACAAAACTATATTCGCCAAATCCTTGCTGGCATGGCATGGTCCTCATCTACACTCATTCTACCTGGCTGCTGCAATGGCTTTGAGCTCCTAAGCCACAGTTCTCACAAATTGTTATAAACTAATGGCGTCATTTTCTGCATGTAAACATCTGCCAGATCTTTTCCTACTTTTACAAGCCAAGCCAAAGTTCAATTTTTGTAGCCATCCAGGAGTCAGAACCAAGCCAAGACTTTATAACATTTCTATATATTCAGATACATCATAAACACATGTTACATTAATTTATATAAACCTCTTCGGATTCTAGACTGTAAACTGCACAAAGATCTCTCCCTATCTATTTTATGGGAATCAAAATGTGGCGAAATTCGGGCGGCGCGGTCTGCGAAACCATCCATTTAGGCCGGAGTTACAGCCATCACAAATACAAGGAGGACTCACACTCAAGATGGAGAAGCATTTGGAAGAAAATAAGAGGAGAAAAGAAGAAAGTTTTTAATTATCCTGTTACATTGCAGGCGTCTTATGACCCTGATGAATACTCCCAGAATTTTGATCAAGGAACGGGATGGGCAGAACCTGATAATCTTCATCGCTCTTTTTCAGCTCGGTATGCTAATCCTTCAAGGGCTTCATTCAACAACTTCAACTTCTTGGATTAAATGATGTATTTTATTTTTTTGGTTTCATCTCAAGAACCCATTTCAACTCTTTAACTGTTTATATTACAAAATAGTTCTCTTCCTAATCTTTTCCCTCCAGCAATCAAAAGTTTCAGGGTCTTAAAATACATGCAAACACATTGAGCCAGCACATATCAATGTTCAAATGCTAATTCATAATCGTTCCTGGATTTTTTTTTTTTTTTTTAAATAATCGGATGTCTGGACAGTTTATGTGTACCTACTAATCTTTTGGGACAAAAAGTCCGATTGGATACCTCAGTATCCACTCCTATTAGTGTTCAAGGGGACTCAAACCAAGAGCTTGGAAAACTCTTTTTACTCTTTACCATGGTTAATTTTCTCTTTTTCTTCTCTTACTTGTTGTTTTTATTAGAGTCTCACACCGACTAAGCATGCTCAAACCTACTAGTTTATAAAAAGAAATAACCCTCCTATTCAACAGGCCTTATTGGGTGGTATCAGAGCCCAGGTTCAGTTGAGCTGAGTGTTTGACCAGCGAGTGAGGAGTTAGAGCCAACAACTACCTCCGTCAACAGGCATACCCAACATATGGGTTTGACCGTGGGGAGTGTTGGAGTCTCACACCGATTAGCACACTCAAGCTACTAGTTTATAAGAGAGGGTAATCCTCCTATTCAACAAGGTCTTATTGAATAGGAGTCGACCCACCTTAATTCTTCAATTTTACCCTCAGTAAATTGTATGGGCTTAATTTTAGTTTATAATCTCAATGCAAAGTAAAACACAAGAGTACAAAAAAAAAAAAATCCTTGAACGTTTTCAACTTTTTTTCATCCTCAAAACTCAAAAGCCTCATTTTAAGTAATTTTTACTGTTCAATAGTGGAAGACACCATGATGAAAAAAGCAAAAAGAATCTCGCAGCAATAATATCAATAATTATATTTTGTATACTTTATACAATTTAAACATTTTGTTTCAGGCATGCTTCCATGTCTTCCCAAATCTGAATTTGCTTCTTCACTTTTATATAACATAGAATTTGATGAGACGTAATGGGGTCATATCAAAAGATGGAGCCAATCCCATATGCCGCCAACAAATTAAGAACATGAACTTTGAATTCAAAATTTTGAAGATTGCTAGAATCATTTGGGATTATTACACTTTAAAATTCTTGCTGTAACAACCAAAAATAATGGAGAGGCCGTTGAAACTTTGCAATTTTCGATTGTTGATGATTTTGCATTAAGATATTCACGTGACTTGATCAAACTTGTTCATCTTAAGCATGATGGGCATCACTTAGTAGATTTTATAAATGATGCGTAGAGATTCTCCTCCTGTTTTTTTATAATAATGGTACTGCCTTGATCATATATCCCTTCATTTTACAATTCTTATTTTAAAGACCCCAATGGATGTGGGGGCAACTACTTTTTTTCACATGAAACAGTTTATCTACAAGTTTGAACAGGGTGTATAATTTTATCAAATTGATCTCAAACTCACGTTTTCATACTACATTCAATTTGAGCCTGCTCAGAACTGGTCCAAATGATTCTTCAGTTGAATTCGAAATAGACTTGTTTTCAGCAGTTTCGGCTGGACTGATCATCTGGTTGCATTTGTTCTTTACATGTGAAGGGAGCTAGCGCCCATGCCGTGCCCATTTGGTTTCTCCATTTAAAGCTAAATTTTATCGCAAAATCGCAGAAAATTAGTCGCATGAAAAATTCAGTATCTAAAATGATAAAACCATTTGACAGCGTTGAGTTTTCAGTTTCACCTACTTTGAATCTATCAAGTCAATCGTTTTTTAGATCACTTTGAAACAATCATGCCGCCCACATGTTTTCATCCTCCTTCGGGTCTTCAACAGAGGGATAATATCATTAGAATGTAAAATCACATTTTTTTTTAAGTGATTTGAATTGTTATAGATTTGTGCCAATTAAAATAATATGTTTACTGCACTACTCAAAGAATCAGATCAACTTCCCTGTTTATGACATAAATGGACTATTATCCCTCACACCTTAAAGATATGAAAAATTCATAAAACCAAAGAGCACATACAAGATGCAAATTCATGAAAATACTATATGTTTATTCTGCAATAGCTCACCAAATGACTCCATAATTCATGACTATAAACCATTGAAGTAGAACGCAAACAGTAATGCTAGGTCCACAACCCAATTCATAACCTTCTTTCACAACTCCCGACTGACAGCTTATAATTGGTCAACTCGCAAATAAATCTCACTTATTTATTATGGATCCCATCTACCTATTTACGAGTTGACCAATTACAAACTATCACATAGGGGATTATGAGATTGAATCATGAACCAACATTACTCAACTGCAAATTAGAGTGTTTGTGATTATGGCACTTTTTGTGTCCCACCCAACAACTTCTAAGAAACTAAAAGATGCAAAACAAGAAAATGGACAAAACACAAGTTTCACATCAACACATAAATAAATGAAATTAAAATTTTTCATTTTTATTGATGAAAAGCTATGAGAAAGTTATGAGAAAGTTTTCTTTTACATCAGTATAAAGGTTTAATGAATAGTACTAATCCCCTCATTTGTCGCAACAAAGGAGTGTGGCAATCTTGTTAATGGTTTTTTTATGAAGCAGCTGATTCGCTGGCCTCGTGCTTGCACCGAGGTTGATGGTTTTGATTCTTTAACTCATCACCAGCCACAAGAAAGAATGCAGTGTGCCTGAAAAACAAGGGATTTGCACAATCTTTCAAGGTTTGAAAAAGGGAAACAAAATATATAGCAGAAATGAGAGTTGACGAGAAACAGAAATAAATTTGGGAGAATTTGAACCTGAAAAAATTCATCATCTTGATTTTTGAGTCAGCATCAATATCTGGGGTGGTGTCCAATGCATTTTGCATGTGATGTAACCACCTCTCGGCAGCTTGATGCGTGACAGGGAATGGTCGGTGGCGTCCAATTAGTGCAGGGTGGCCTGCCAATTATAAAAGTAAAAAAATAAAAAATCTTATTGCTTAAACAGAAATTGTCAACTAGTACAAAAAAATTAAATTAAATAAATAAAACTACTGGGGGCTTATAGTTGTAAATTTTACTATTTGTTTTTGTAAAGGCCAAGGGAAACAATGGTAAATATGTTATATCATTGTGTTTAGATAAACAAGCAGAGCACAATATCATTAAAAAGATTCCAAGGTTGTATTAGGCAACACCGATTTTTGCATGAGAAGAAAATTGCATGGAATTAGAGGCCATCACTGACACCTCAAATCTCACTAGGTTGCTGTCCAAAAGCTTTAACTCAGGCAACAAATACAGCATAGAAAAAAGTGAGCATGTTGTAACTCTTTTGAAGAAACAAGGCTGTCTAAAAATAGGATAAGTGCAGCACCGTGAGACCCATATTTGGATGGAAAGTGAGATCCTAATCCAAATTTTTCCTTCTGAATCTGGTAGGATCATATCAGAGAGAGATTGACAGTAAATGCTTTCAGAATTGATTATTTATCCCTCCGTTAAAGATGCTCTAAAAAAGGCTCTAATCAAGTAAATAGCTCTACAACCTAATAGATTGGATCTGATTGGATAATGGAAAGACTGTACAAATTAATACCTTTCGCTAGGAGGATGTGCAATGACAAAAAATTTATGCCATGGTAGAAACATAAGGGTACCTATATTTCCAGATAAACCAGCTATGGTAAAACCAAAGGAAACCCTTGTGGGTTTGGTGGAACGATCCACCAAAAAAGAGAGCAGTATGAATTAACTGGATGTTGTGGATTTATTGTACTTGCTAGGAATCATCATGGAAGCAGCCAGTGCTGAACACTAGCAGATCTCAACAAGAAGCAAAAACAAAGACAACCTAGAGGGCATTTATTTCATCCAGAGATATAGCTGAACAGTCTTAAAGGCTGTTAATTCAATCTTAATTGAAATGAACAAAAACTAGAAAGAAATTAAGTTGACACGACACTGTATTTCATTGAGAAAAGAATAGATAACACAGAGAAAGCTAAAAGTGATAGAAGATAAAAATTTAAAAAAAAAAAAAAAATGCTGCAAGCAGAGGCCAAGGAAAACATGTTCCCATCATAAGTCATTAGAAATCAACAATACATAAGGTTCTCCCAAGCTAATTTTAACTCATTAACTGGTTGTTCTGAGAGCCTTAAATCTCGTAATCCAACCAATGAAAGGCTAAACAATCATTTCATTACATTGAGTATAAACCATACACAGACTATTTCAAACTTTAAACAGAAATAATTAATTTCAGAAACTCAATACCGTTCTAGCAATAACAATAAAATTAAAAAAAAAAAAAAAAAAATTAGTAAAGTTGCTAAATGCTGACCTTTTCTCTGAGAATACAGAGGAGGCCCTCCCATTCTCTGCACAAAAAATTCGTATTGATTTTGAATTGCTTCTTCCTTTTTCGAGCCGGCGAAAATTGATCTAAACCATTCTTCATCATCGTCAAAAACCCTGCATCAACCAAATACGACATCGAATCAAAACAAAAAGTCAAGAGTTAAAATCAATGTCCCTCTTTTGTAATCATCAAACATACCTGTTATAGAAATTGGTAGAGAGATTAATGAAGGTTTGGAGGCCTAGTTTCTGAAACAGATTGGTATCGTCAATAGCGAAGGCGTTGGCCGCGTCAACTCCGCTCCATTCAGAGGCTTTCTCTTGCAGAGATTGCATTTTTTTTTTTCCTTCTGTCAGTATGTGTAGCAAGTATACTGCGTAGCGTAGTGCGCAACGTGCCGTGTGATAGTTAGGTGAAGTGGGCGTGTGTGGTACTATTTATAGAGGGCTCGTGGTGGTCGCGTCCCCCCAACGCTTGTGTATTGGGCAAAACTGTGGGCTACGGTTTTGTATGGTGATTGGTGAAGGAACAAGTCAACTGACGAGTGGTGAGTTGAAATAGAGTCATAGTGAGGTCATGATGTTGCTAGTTGCTACGTCTAGTTATCATTCTGATTCGATAAGGCAAGGACTCATTGGTTGGATAGCTTTTTATTTTAATGGATGTGTTCATGCAGAAATTTGTACCAACGATAAATAATTAGAATATTTGGTGGAATTTACGAAAGAGTTTATATAAGATCCATGATTTTGATGTTGAATTGATGGATAAATAAGAAATCAAACAATAGCATAAGAAAAAGATTTTTTAAAATGATTCAGATGCTTTGTGTAAATCTTACGTCCAGTGGTTTGGATGCTTGGTGACGCTTGGTGCAAATCCTTCGTTGATTTTTTTGAATTGTTTTCTTTGCTTTTTCTGAATATAAGTGCAATTTGTGCAAATTATGAATAAGTCTCTCTCAATTAGGATAAAAGGATTGACAGCACAATTTGAGACTTATCAATGAAGTAATTCTTAGTAGACTTATAAATGAATAACCCTCTTATAGAGTGACACGTAATCCAGATGACAACATAGCTTTGGGACACGTGGTGTGAATCAATATGGATTTATTGTACAATAGGTTGTTTTAATGGTATTTATTTGTATATAAAATTCTATGATCTATAGCCAAAATTATCACAAGTAACCAAATTGAGCTTAACTTGTTAATTATCGTTGGATGACTGAGTGGTTCGATAGAGACTTTTGAATATATTACTCAAAAGGTCATAAGTTCGAGTCTCTCCACGGTTGCTAATAAGGGTAGCCACTAGAGCTTTTATCTGATCGATAGTTTTAAGATTTTAAAAGATTAATTGATGTACGCGTAAACTGGCTTGAACACCCCATCACCCAAAAAAAAAAAAGTTTAATTTGTCTGAAAGGTTGTCTAGTGGACAACTGGACATATATACAGGTCCAAAGTTAACCCAATACAATCGTTACTTTACGAAAGCCAGGCCCATTCCATGAGTAGGACTACATTATGAACGTGTAAAGCGACGGCTAAATCTGCGGAGTACGATACATAATGAATCGCGAAACAGACAATCGTTAAATTCTTGCAAAATAAAATTTGCACATATTATAGGGAAACCCTAGTCTCAAATCCCTCGGACCAATCATCCCTTTGTATCTCCAACATCTGCTTCTGACGATAAAATTTTGTTAAGAGTTTTTTGTTGCAGATAAATAGGTTAAGTTACATAAGACATAGTAGAGAAGATGGAGACGGAGACGGAGCGAATAAAGAAACGGCGTCGGCTGACGTGGGACGTTGCGCCATCACAACCAGAGGTTGGTTCACAAGTGGAGAGATTTGACGGAAATCAAAACAAGAAAAAAGCTCTATGGTTAAATAAAATTGAATGAGCTATCAAATTAAGTGCGGGTTTTGCTAATCTGACGTGGATTCGGCATGGTTTTTATAGGCGCAACGGGCTCTTGTGGTGGGCCACGATGGTGCGGCCAGGCCCCGGCATGTTTCGCCGCCTCGAAGGGACGATGATCGTGAGGGCCATTACGTCTTCAATCTCGGCGAAAATCTCACTCCTAGATGTGAGTTTACTTATTATTTTTTTTTTTTTTCAATTTAGTTGTCAATCACATCATGGCGCATTAGTTTGTTCAGTTGGTTTAATTTTTGTTTGCCTATCGATATCATTGAATTATGGAAGAGCCAGGTTGAGATTGTGAAGTGAAACTGATAAATCCACTAATATTTTGTAGATAAAATACTTAGCAAGATGGGTGAAGGTTAGCTGTCAAGTGCTCTGCTGTGTACAAGCTCTTGTATTTTTGTGATTGTGCTTGTCCCATTCAGCAACTTGCTAGTGTTGTAGGCACATTTGGCCGAGTTTTGGAATGTTGGGATCGTCAAACACGAGAGTATGTGGCAATCAAGGTTGTTAGAAGCATACGCAAATATCGTGATGCTGCAATGATTGAAATTGATGTTCTTCAACATCTTGCCAAGAATGATAAAGGAAGCTCAGGGTACATGTGTTATGTGTTTTAGCATGTTCAAGTGTTTCTAATGTTGTCTTACAATGTGTCTTATGGTCCTGTGTGCTGATTTTTTTATGCAGTTGTGTGCAGATACGAAATTGGTTTGATTATCGCAATCATATTTGTATAGTAAGTATTCCAGTGAAGCTTCTATCCAGAATTTGCATTCTATTGTTTTTTACAGCTGCAAACTATAATAAGATGTGCAATCTCTCGTTCATGTTGCTTTTGCTTTATTCAATTAATAGTGAATGATGTTTTACCTAAATAAATGTACTTCTTGTTCATCCTTACTCTGTGGTGTTTCTCTTGTAGAGGCTTGACTGATTGATGATATCCATATTTTTTTTGGATGACTAAGTTTTTGATATGAGTTTGGTACTTAAAATTTTAATTTGTTCATATAGACTTCATTTATGAAAATGGAAACTAAACAGAAAGCTTCGTTTGAATGCATTTTAATGGTGTTACCAGGTATTTGAGAAGCTTGGACCAAGTTTATTTGATTTTCTAAAGAGAAATAAATACGGCCCATTTCCTGTGGATCTTGTTCGGGAATTTGGACGTCAGCTTTTGGAATCTGTAGCATGTGTGTGCATTGTACTTGGCTTAAGTCTTATAATTTTCTTTTATCTTTTCCAACCAATCACCCATTTCGTTTTCTTGACCTGTTTTGTTTGTCCAGGGTAGCAGTGCATTTTTCATTTTCCCTTTTGTTTGACAATTTTTCTATGCTTTATCTTATCCAACAGATATGCATGATTTACGCTTAATCCACACTGACCTGAAGCCAGAAAATATTCTTCTTGTTTCTTCTGAATATATAAAGCTTCCTGGCTACAAGGTATTTGGCCTTTTAGAATTGAAAAGTAATGCCATTTTAGATTTGGGTACAGACTTAGTTATAATGTAAAAAAATTCTTGGAATATGGTACAGAGGAGTTCTTCAGATGAAATGTCTTTCAGGTGCTTGCCAAAGTCAAGTACAATTAAGCTGATTGATTTTGGTAGTACTGCTTTTGATAATCAGAATCATAGCTCCATTGTGTCCACAAGGCATTACAGAGCCCCTGAGGTTATACTAGGTAACTAGTTACTGTGTTGGCATATAAAATGCACTTTCATCAATTTTTGCTTTCATATGTGTTGTGTTCTAATCCTAGCATACAGAAGAATTGTTTGTTGGTTCTACGATGCCTTTTCCTTTCAGGTATAGATGGAAGAGATGTACTTAGTAATATATAATATGTTAATTTTTGGAAAAACATCAAAAGAAAATTGAAGGAAGATGGCTGCACAAAGTTCAGAAGGCTGCATGCACCTTTATTTAAATTGTCATATAAACTGCCTGTAATGTTGTTGGACTCTTCAAGTTTATTAGTTTCAATGAAGTACATATTGTGATGGGGAACTTTATGAAATTAATTCTATTTACCCTAAACACTTAACTCTATGATAAAGTTTCCCTTCTGTGATTAGAATCTTGATTTGTACAATGTTTGTATGTAGAAAAAAGCTGTAAAGCCAACCCTTTAAATTAGTGAAAAATGTTATTAATTTTTTCAGCAAAATAAATTGATGTTGTGATTTTCACTGAGGCATTAGGGCCACACATTTTAATTATATATGTTGGACTGCTACTGCAAGCCTGGGAAAATTCTATTGCTTTTGTCTGTCACCAAATAATAATTTTAGGGCTTCATGTATTTGGTGGATATGTTTGAGTAGTACATATTGATTATGTGCTTTTGTTATTGTTAATTGATAATTTGTATTTAATGCTTCTTATCTCTGTTTGGTTCATGATTCTACAATTTTATGTTAATATCCTTTTTGCTAACTTGCATTCATTTATACATTTGTTGCAGGGCTAGGTTGGTCTTATCCATGTGATATGTGGAGTGTTGGTTGTATACTAATTGAGCTATGCACGGTTAGTCCTGCATATTTCAGATATAGCTAGCCTGGTTGGAATATTGAAAGGTTCTTAAGCTGTGAAAATTTTGTGTCAGGGTGGAGCATTATTTCAAACACATGAAAACTTGGAGCATTTGGCAATGATGGAAAGGGTATTGGGACCTATTCCAGAGCATATGATTCAAAGGGCCAGGTAAAATTCCCTGTGAATTTTGGGATAGTTGATAGATCTGGAAAATTCCTATGATTTTCATTGATAGACTTACTTGATAAGTGTCCCAGTTGTGTGTTTGCAAAAGCTACTGAAAAAATGTATTTAACAAGTGGAAATAGATTGGGAAATGTATTCCAGACCTCTGATCAAAGATGTCATTAAAAAATTCTGTCCATTTTGGTTTTATATGCAGTAGGGGATCAGAAAAGTATTTCAGGAGAGGGTCTAGACTTAATTGGCCTGAAGGAGCAGTTTCAAGGGAGAGTATTAGAGCTGTGAGAAAGCTTGATAATCTGAAGGTTTTCTTCTTTTTCTTTATATAAGAAATTGGTGCTAGGCTCTGTTTCTTTGTAGAGATGTCCAGATGGGGAATTCAAACTTGTCATTGTTTTGTGCAGAACATGGTATCACTACATGTAGATAGCTCAAGATCTACATTCATTGACTTGTTGCATGGTTTGTTGAAATTCGACCCATCTGAACGTCTCACTGCTCGACAAGCACTCAACCATCCCTTTTTTAGGGGTCCAAGTTAACAAAAGCAGCACCCCCGCAAAGCAATTTTATGGTTAGTCTTTAAATGAAAGACTAAAACCATGAATTTCAAGTTTCTAATGTGTACAGTGTAACTTTTGTATAAATGTCGGCTTAATGAAAAATCTCTGCAGCCTCGTGTGAGGGAACTTGCGATTATCTTGTCTTGAGCTTACGGGGCAACTTGATATTGTAAATTCTTGCGGAGCCAAAACAACCAAATAGATTACTTGCGATACTAACTCCCTGTCAATTATTTACGGAAACAAAAAAATTGCTTTAAAAAAAAAAAAAACATTGGTGGGTGGGTGATTTGCTCTCTTCTCAAATGCCCATGTCAAGCACAAACGCTCAGCAAGAAAAATTTGAATCCATGACATTCTATTTGGCCTAAGATTTTATTTTTTTCTTTTATTATGTCGGCAGCATATGATCTGTAAAATAGGATCAACTTTTCTAATCCATATAATTTATAATCATTGGTGATTGAAACATGCATTAATCATCTAACTAAAAGTAACAAGTCTCCTTCAAAAATTAACTTTACTTCCTTCTCCAGAAGATGAAACTTTAGTGTATTAAGACCAGTAACACTGGAGTTATTTCGTCTTTGGAAAAATGCAAAACTGTGAAACTTGCAGGTTCCTCTCAGCTTCCAATGCCATATCATAGAGACCAAAATGTATGTGCGAGCAACACAAACTTCCACTAAAAATAAGTTGCTTAAACAGCATCACCAATAATCTCTACATGAACATTGCCCACCCTCAAACTTATGAAATCTATTAGCATCTCTCACCAAAAATACCATTTTCAAGATCTTTGATAAACCCTTGATGAACTCATGACAATCCCCACAAACTCTCAAGTTCTTGAAAACCCTAATCACCCTTCCTGCCTGCTCATCCATACCACCACAAGCCAATGCCAACCCGATTGCTAATTTCTCACTATGAACTCTCAAACTCTCTTCCTTGGACTCCTCTTCTACGTCACGCAATGCAAATTTCACACCATAAACATAACCCAACTCTTCTTTCACTCTCCTCTCCATTTCCTTCAAAACTTGATGAATTTTCTCTGTTAGTGGATGCGTGTCATCTCCACCATAAAAGAAATGTACTTCCTTGTCAATCTCAACCCAACTACGCCCTGCTACTTTCTTTAAGCCCTTGCTCTTCACCAACTTTCTTATTCTCTCACACTCATTCCAATAGCCAGCATCAGCATGAATATTTGACATCATAACATAGTTGACTGCATTCTCACTATCCAATTTTAGGAGAATTTCACCTACTTCTCTTCCCAATTCTAAGTCTCCATGTACTCTACAAGCACTAAGCAATGTCTGCCATATACCTATACTGGGTTGAAGAGGCATGCTTTCAATGAGATTCTTTGCTTCTTCTAAGCGTCCAGCTCGGCCTAATGAATCAACCATACATGAATAATGCTCTACTCTAGGTTTAATGCGCCAGTCATGACACAACCTTGAGAAGTATACTTCACTTTCTTCAGCGAGCCCGGAATGGCTACAGGCTGTGAGTACAGCCAAGTAAGTTACATCATCCGGCTCAATGTTTTCTAATAGCATTTTGTTGAAGAGACTAACTGCTTCTCTCCCAAGACCATGCTTACCATAACCGGTGATCATCACTGTCCAAGAAACCACATTGCGCGCAGGCATTTCACTAAAAAGTTTAGCTGCCTCATCTATTAGACCACATTTGAGATACATATCCACAATTGAATTGGATACTGATATGTCTAAACCAGATGGGACTTTGATCGCATATGTATGTATTTGCTTTCCTTGCTCCACAAGAGCTAAGTCAGCAAAAACACCCATTATGCTTGATAAAACAAAAGCATCTACTTGAAAGCTGCTGTCTATTAGTTGTATAAACAAGTCCATGGCGTCTGCTAAGTTCCCATCTTGAGCATAACCAAGAATCAGTGAACTCCAAGATATTACATTCTTCTGCTCTATCCGGTCAAACACTCTTCTAGCTTCTAATAAGAACCCGCATTTCACATAAAAATCAACAAGAGCGCCTGCAATGGTTGTTTTAACCGAACATGGAAATCCACTGGTGATCAAGAAACCATGAATTTGAGTTCCTCCCCCAACTGAACCAAGATTATTACAAGCCTTTAATGTGCTTGTAAACGTGAACTCATCAGGAACTTCCCCCTGTTCTTGCATTTTTTGAAACAAAAGTAGACCTTTCTCACTGTATCCAGCAAGCGTATAACCTGCTATCATCGCATTCCAAGTAATGAGAATTTTAATAGGCATTGTATTAAACATCAACACTGCTTCATCAATTCTTCCACATTTTGCATACATGTCAATGATGCAATTGCCCACCACAGATTTCCTTTCAAATCCGGTTTTCACACACATACCTTGAATCTGCCTTCCACTTTCTGTACTGTTCTCAACTCCACTAGCTTTAATACCAGTCGAAAAAGTAAATTCGTTTGGTTTAACGTTCGAAGATCCCATCAGAGAAAATATAGACAAAGATTTCTTGGCATGGCCATTTTGTAGAAATCCACACATAAGCGCTGTCCAAGAAACCACATTTCTCTCAGGCATATTGTCAAACACTACAGAAGCTTGCTTCATTTTACCGCATTTTGCATACATATCTATAAGGTCATTGTTTAACATCAAATCAAAAGACATACCCATCCTTACTACAGCTCCATGAACTTGAACGCCGAGGTCAATTAAGAAGTTCTTCGAACAGTACCTCAAGATTTCGGCGAATCTCTGCCGCTCACTTAATACAAAAAAAGGTACTTGGTTCATCGATTATCAAAAGATTTTACTTTTTCACTTTGTATTGTCATCAATGGTCACGAGAGTTGGTGTGTTGACTATAAAAGAATTGGAAGATCTTTTTGTACCCCTGTTACAAAACTGTATAAACGTGATAGAATTGAAGAAAATCCATGGCGGGATATTGAAGTACTCTCTCACACAGAGCAACTTCTTGGTGACGAAAATGGTTGATGTGTGTGATAACGGAGGAGATTTAGAGTATGCAAGTTTGCTTTTTAAGCAGGTGAATGAGCCAAATGTGTTTCTCTATAACGCAATGATCAGGGCTTATACACACAATCATACGTATGGCCTAGCGGTTGATGTTTACAAGCAAATGTTAAGAGACTCGCGAGCTGAAAACCCAATTTTGCCTGACAAATTCACTTTCCCATTTCTCATAAAATCATGTGCTGGGCTTATGTGTTATTTACTGGCGAAACAAGTTCATGCACATGTGTGTAAATTTGGACCAAAGTCACATTCAATAACAGAGAATGCACTCATAGACATGTACACAAAGTGTGATGATTTAATTGAAGCACAGAAAGTATTCGAACAAATGACTGAGAGAGATGTAATTTCTTGGAATACACTTATTTCTGGGCATGTTAGATTGGGTCAAATGAAGAAAGCAAGATCACTGTTTGATAAGATGCCCTATAGGACTATTGTCTCATGGACTGCGATGATTTCGGGGTACTCGCATATGGGATGTCATGCTGATGCATTGGATGTTTTTCAGGAAATGCAAACAGCTGGTATTGAACCTGATGATATAAGTATTGTTTCTGTTCTGCCTGCCTGTGCACAACTAGGGGCTCTTGAGTTCGGGAAATGGATTCATATGTATTGTGATAGAAATGGCTTATTGAGGAAGACTTGTATCTGTAATGCTCTTATTGAAATGTACGCGAAATGTGGTTGCATCAGTCAAGCTAGGCAGTTGTTCGAGCTGATGTTAGAGAAAGATGTTATTTCGTGGAGTACCATGATCGGAGGGCTAGCAAATCATGGGAAAGCTCGCGAAGCAATTCAACTGTTTCAGGAAATGCTGAGAGCAAATGTGGAACCTAATGGTGTAACATTTTTAGGTATTTTATCAGCTTGTTCGCATGCAGGGTTTTGGAATGAGGGATTATCGTACTTTGATTCTATGAGAAAAGATTATCAAATAGAGCCCAAAATTGAGCATTATGGTTGTTTGGTTGATCTACTTGGACGTGCAGGACGCCTTAGGCAAGCGCTTGATATAATTGAGGAGATGCCAATGAAGCCTGATTCAAAGACATGGGGTTCTTTATTGAGTTCTTGCAGAACTCATAGCAATCTTGAGATTGCTGTTATAGCAATGGAGCACCTTCTGGAGCTTGAACCAGAAGACACAGGAAACTATGTGCTGCTTTCTAATATTTATGCTGACCTCGGAAAGTGGGAGGCCGTATCCAAAATGAGGAAACTCATAAGAAGTCAGAGCATTAAGAAAACACCAGGTTGTAGTTTGATTGAGGTCAACAATGAGGTACAAGAATTTGTATCCGGCGATGATACAAAACCATTTTCAGAAGACATCTTCTGTTTGTTAGAATTGCTAGCTTTGCATCAGGACAGAACCAAATATCTTGTTGATATTATGCCTGAGGATGCTAGTGAATAAATGTGTTAAACTCAGAAAAGACACCAGGGAGAAATGTTATGTAACTGGCACTTTGATTAAACACATCAATCTCCTTTTCTTAGAACAACTGTAATGGTAGCTAGTTCGGCCAGAGAAAGGGGGTAAGAAACTGTTAACAACAACTTTATTTCTACACTGACAGGATGAATATTCATAAGATCCAAAGAATTGTTCTATTTCTTGAGGTGGTATCCTATAGCCATGTCCAATTTGAAAGGAAATCTGAATTTTGCAGAAATTCTGGTGCCATGCTTTATGAAAAACAGCAGATAGCTTGCACAGCTAAATGGATGCTTAGGATTTGTCCATTTTCAACAATTGCTGGAATGAATAAAAAAGAAAACAAATTATTCTTCTTTCATAGTGTTTTTATCTGCTCTACAAATTCTGCAATTTCCTCTCCGTTTTACTTTCAGACATGTTTTATTGTGCATGAAATGAAAATAATATAATTGATCATGGTTTTGGTTTGTACATAAGGCTCCTTTAATGAAACTGACGTTATATCTTTTGTCAGAAAAGGGTATCTCAAAAGTTGTGGCACCGTTTAAATTCTTGAAGAAAGCAGAGTTGTAGTGTAATTTTCATGTATGCTCATGCTGAACTGCTAATTGTGCTAAGCCAAAATCACTAGTAAATATGTATTCCAATCGTTTCTTTGACTGCTGCTATCTCGAAAGTTCTTCTCAGAACTGAGCATGCACATCCTCATGTGATGATCTCACACAACACAGACATAACTTTCTATTTTGGCACCTGTTAACAGAACATCCTCACCCAACTTTTGACAAAGACAGCACTCGCTAAATGGGTTTATACATTTTCTGCCATTATTCTGTCTTAGCTGAATGAACAATAATAGCTACACTACACTCCCTACCATCAAGCATGAGCCCACTGTCCTACTTAAGTACAATGTGACATCTATTCCAAACCCATATATGTTCTTTTGGATACAAAATTTTCAAATGGCTTAGAAAGTATAAAGAAAAAAAATTAATCCAGTTATGCAAACATCATTTAGCAACTAGGGCCTACAACAAACGTATCACCCTACTCTGAAACACGTGAAAAGGATATCTGCTGGCTGAAATCCTAAACAAAGCAGAGTCCACATATGACAATAATAGAATAGACACTGCAATCCATGAATATAGCATTGATTACCTTCTGCGCCAACAAGCCTACCTCCAAAGCCTTGCTTGCTTGCTCCGCCCAACCATATGCATCAGTCGAAGGAATATTATTTTCTCCTCTGATAGCCCTTCATAACCCTCCTTGATTATCAAATAGAAGTCGTGAAAGCACAATCGTTAGATTTGTCAGCAAAACTAGATATAGAGGCCTAAAGCTTATGATGCTCTTTATGATGTTGCTTCCTAGTAGAGGAAACCCAACATATGACAAAACCACTAAAAGGGCCACTGCTACAGAACAAAAAAGGCGGATATGTTCTGTTGCAGATATGGCAGAACTTATTTGACTTGGTGTAAACAATCTAGACTGGCATCTCTGTGGTTCCAACTGCTGCTCCTCTTTGGAAGTAGAAACAAATTCACTTTCACCAGTTGATGAGAAAATAGAAGATTGTACTACGCCATTAACTTCCGAAGCAGGAGCTCGTGAGTCTTCAATGCTTGTCCCCTGTTGAGGCAAGGGTGACTCTTCACTGCTTCCATTGTGGTGAGCACTAGTATGGCCAGCATCTAAAACAGGATCCTCTTTTAGCAACGTAGAACCAGAGAGAACATTCTTACCCTTATTCTCACCATCAGTAAAATCTGCATAATAACAGAACCCATAACTCAAATAAGAATAAAAAGTTTTCCAGTTCTAACAGAAGATGCTTTGAATTGACTAATCATGTTAATCCGCTTATATTAGATAAAATTCAGCAAAATCCAATATTTCAATCAACAAAATGAATTTGGACAGACCCTTAGATGAGGATGAACAGTTTTGGATTCGATCTCCTTAATTTTTATACTATGGTTTAAGCTTTCAGCATTATATCAGTAATTCCTACCAAAGCCAGCTTCAATGAGTTTAAACATCTTCCACATACATCACCATTCAATTTAACTAACAATCTCAAAATTCAATCACAGAATTAGTAGGGTTCATAATGAAACAAAATTTGGCCTAATTTCAGTAATAAATATAATATTTTATAATCAAAACTGTATTGAACGAGGGAGATAGAGAAGGGTACCGGTGATTTGATCTGAGAGATGGGTTTCGTGGGAAATCAACGGCTGAGGAGATTCTGTTTTGGAGTCGTAATTGAATTGTGGTTGAGGAGGAGAAGGGAGCTGACCCTTGATGAAAGCTAAGCGGTCGGATCCTCTTTCCAAGATTTTTCTTCTTCTACTGTCTCTGCTGTTGGCTGCCATTTCAACCTCCGTTCCGTTGATTCTGTTCTTTTCTCCTACTGTTTTTAAGCACTACTTCGTCAAAAGGGCAAACATGAATCAATCTTTCGGGACTTCGGTATGGTAAGGTTGGGCCTGCTCTACTTTTCTAGGCCCATTCATAATTATTCATAATCCAAACTGGAACACTAAAGCCTAAAAACAAAAAAAACAAAAAAAAAAAAACAAAAATTGTCAGAAGTGGGATTTGAACCCACGCCCTCTTTCGAAGACCAGAACTTGAGTCTGGCGCCTTAGACCACTCGGCCATCCTGACTTATGCACTTAATAAATTTATATTTCTTATTTATGCTAATTTATAATTACTGCAGCATTGATTGCAATCTGAGAGATATTGAAGTAGAAACACGCCCAGGATATTTGAAAAAGTATTATGTAGCCCTTAAAATTACATTTACCGTTTTAGATTATCTTTTGCCCCTAAAAAAGTATCAAAAACCTTCGACGAGGAGTATTTAATACACTACTTTACTACACCATTTATATTTTATTTTCTCATAAGGGGTGGATATTTAGCTCTAAAAAAGTATCGAAACCTTGGATAAGGAATACTTAAACGGGATATTATTATAAAGTACCCATTTACCAATTTTTATTAAAGATATTCCTTATGGTTTTAAAAGCATATCATTCTCGTGGTAAATTTGTCAAGTTTTATCATACTTACCCATAACCAAGGGTGGATCCCGCACTTGTTGGGCTACCCTCAATTTAAAAAAAAAAATAATATTAATATATACAATTTTTGGATTTTGACCCAACCTAACAAAAATATTAATGAACAAAAATATTAATATACAATTAGTTTTTATTTTGATCCACCCTAACAGAAGCTTCTGAATTTACTACTGCTCGTAACTTTGTCAAGTTTTATCATACTTACCCCTCACAATTTTTAAAACCATGTCGTTCATATCCCTTTGCCCTAACTCCATTTTTTGTTTAATTTTATTTTAATTTTTAATTCTCTTTTGTAATTTTAAAAGATTTATTCAATTGGACACTTGTGGAATAACATATTAAGAAATATTATAATACTTTACCCATTTAATTATAATGTCAATTTGATGGAATGAGGATAAAAGGGTGTTAGTGATCTGCTTTTAGAACTGTAAGGGGTATCCTCGATAGAATTGGCAAATCCTAATAAAAGCGCAAACTTTAAGGGTAGTTTATGATAATATTCCATTTTTAATTTGATTTGGTAGACTAATGATTAGGAAGCTTGTAATTAAGCATCAAGAATAACTACATTATTTATTCACTTCATTTGTTATATTAAAAAGTAGTAGTTTTGAACTAGTATACATTTTGTATAACTGTATAAAATATACCAAGTAGGGTATTCTACCAACAATAATGTTGTGGACACCAAAAGTTTACATCCAACGACATGTTACCTAAATCAGACACAGTCACGTAGCACATTAACAACTATTTTGCGAATGAACGGCCGTTCATCAAATATAGACAAATATTCATGATTATTAAACGGCCGTTCATTTTAAATGGACTCTCATCTATACGAAAATAACAATAGACTCTCGTCTATATTATATGGACAATAATTCATTTACTATAGACAGACGTCTATAGTTTCAATTAAAACAAAAATCATGGACGTTTGTCTCTAATATATGGACAGACCATTTTCAATGGATGAGTGTCTCTGTTAGATGGATGTCCATCCATTGACACTCCAGCCATTACAATTATACATAATGATTGGTACCTCACTACCTCAATCATGACTCTCAAGTGTCCACTCTAACAGCATAGCTTCTTCAACGTGAAACTATCTCCTACTAGTTCAAAATTCTTTCTTTTTCTTTGTTCGACACAGAATAATTAACCCATTTCTCTTCCTCAAGTGTCATTATTTACAGCAACTTACTAATACGCTTTGAAAGAAGTTTGGGGTGCGTTTGTTTTATTATTTTGGATAAGATTTTAGGAATAATATTAAGTAGTTGAATAGAGGAGTATTACGAGGTAAAATTTAAAAATTTATAAAAAAAACCCCCTATGTTTGCTAATTTACTAAACACTCCAATATATAAAAATTTTATAAAATTATAAAAACACCCCCATCACCCGCAGTGCCAGATTCCGGCCACTACCGCTGGAATCTGGACGAAAAATTGCATAACGACACACATCGGTTGGATTTGGCGGGTATGGCATCGATATGGCATTTTCTAGCCAGATCCACCATGGATCTGGCCGAAAAAGGCCAGATGTGGCCGTCGACGGCCGCAAAAGTCCATCTTCATCGCTGACGATCAGATCTGGCCTTTTCCGGCCAGAGTCACTGTGGATCTAGCCAGAAAAGGCCATATCGGTGAATTACCGGCCGTTGTGACAAATTTCGGCTAGCCACCACATGTATGGGTTAGTGGGGGTGTTTTTGTTAATTTTTAAACTTTTTTCTGGGGGTATTTAATAAAATTAATAAACTTAATGGGCCTAAAAGTAATTAAAAAATACAGTAATATTTCTCAAATAATGTGTTAAACAATATTTGGGGAATAGGATTGGAAATATGGATAAAAATATGAAACCAAACGCACCCTTGAATTTCCCAGACTTCTTTGAATAAAGAAAATCCCAAGTGAATTAACCCATTTCTCTTCCTGAAGTTTCAATGGATGGGCGTTTATGATTTTTATTTTAAAATTTTTTTAATTTAAACTATAGACGGACGTCTATTTTAGGTAGACGCCTGTCCATAGTAAATAGACTCCTGTCTATATAATATGGAGGGAGTCTATTGTTATTTTTGCATAGATGTGAGTCCCTTTAAAATGAACAACTATCCAATAATCATGGACACTCATTCATATTTGATGAACGGTCATTCATTCGCAAAACAATTATTAGTGTGCTACATGACTGCATCTGACTCAAGTGACACATTGTTCGGTGCAAATTTTCGGTGTCCATAGCATTATTGATTCTACCAAACCATACTACCTTCTATTAAAGGACGTTTCCCACAAAACCCATAAGAAAGGCAAAATCTCATAATTGTCAACATAACATAACCATGCAAAAATTAAATAATCTATCATCTATTAAGATACTCAATCCAAAATTAAGAAAATTTTAATTACCTTTGTTAATATGGTATTTGTCAATAAATGATTTATGTCAACAATGGATAGATCAGGACATCTCGAGCACCCATCATCCACAAACCACAATCACTTTCTTTCAAGTTTTGAACATCAATTACCTTTCAATTAAATACCTTATATGTTTTAACTCAATTAGGCATAAAAACTTTTTGGTCATTGCCCTCATTCCTTAATCACTGTTTTGCATCAAAATAATTATGAATAAGTTGATAGACTGAAATAAAGATGGTAAAAGAAAAATTCTCAGAAAAATAAAGTTATGAAAATAAAATAAGAAAAATTATCCATGAACTGAGTAAAAATGATCAGCCTCATCTAGATATCCAGAATCAAAACCTTTACACAAGCTAGAGCTCTCAGAAACCAAATGCCAGGAAACAAACTTGGGATTCTGAGAGAAAATATATAGAACACATTTCCATGTCACTTTCTACAAACGTGTTATCAAAATTTCCTTACCCTTAACACAAATAAAGAAAGATAATCATTTGGATCATTTGCACGGACTTCAATCAGCAACTATTGACAAGTTTATCTAAACTTTCATATGAACCTTTTAGCTATTGCTGACCTCTTCTGAATCAGCAACCATGGACAAGTTTTCATGTTCCAAAAGCTTACTGTTTGTTTGCTCCGATGACATATCATCATCTGAATCTAACGCAATAGAGTCAAGGGCAGAGTTCCGCGTTGGTCTTTGCCTATATCTATTTTTTGCACTCAAGTTTCTGGTTTCCATGGCAGGATGGTTAGAACCTCGGGCTAATCTCTCACTCCAGCGTGATCCTACAGGCTTCTGGACCAAGGGTGCTCCATGGTTCCTTTTACCAAGGTTTCTTTCATCATGAGAATTGCTTGAGTCACTACCATTGCCATTATCATTGTCCTTATTATCATAATCATCATCACTATTTTCATCATCACCATCGCCAGTTTCTTGAAGTCTATCACTGTCAGTATCACTACCTGTGGAGTCACCTTCCTCATCATAACTGTCTTCCATCATTGTCTCCATCACTGAGCCTTCATTCAATACACTCTTTCCATGCTTTTGCACTTTATTAGTTGTACTTTTCCTGAACCACAAATTAAAGTGACAACCAGCTAAAGGCCGCATATTCTATCAGAGCATAACAGAAGTTCTCCCATTAAAAGAGGTTTTTATCTTTTTTGAAATAAAATACAAAAGGTAAACAACCTCATTTTAAAAGATTTGAGAGAAACCAAATCAAATTGGTCCACAATTCTAAACTACATTATGTTATGCTACATGCAAAAGACTACAAGGAAACCCCAATGCCTTTTTCCTCATCATTAACACGCGAACAGCGCACCCACCCCAACCATTAGTGAAAATGCACATGTTAAAATGCTTGTGTGCAGTGTAGAATTACTGAATCTTTTACACAGCATACCTAAAGATAATTAATAGTAAACTCAGTAGCAGAAATCCATGCACATTCAAAAGACTACCATGTGTCACAAAATGTAGTTTAAAGAACAACGAAGACGGTAAAGAAAATATAATTAGAACAGCAAACAATCAAATTAGATAAATCTTACTTCGTTAGCGCTATAGCCTCATCAATGGCCCGATCATAATCATCTGTACATTATATCCCAAATAAAGAGAAATTGATTACTGACAATGCACAATGTATGGAACAAAAGTTTGAAGCGAAGAAACAGTAAAAAGATACATATTGAAAAATATTTGTCAAGGCAAAGCATGTGAGGAAAATGGATAACATCACTGAAGAACTTCAAACTCAAATTCAGCAATTTCTTTCGTTTCTTTCTCTCTTTTTTAATATTCATAAGCCTTTGTAGTATTGTGTCAATTAACTCAGCCGTAGTTGATGAAAGCAATTCTGAGCAAGCTTATGTTGTGTTCAGACAGCATAATTACAATGCAAAGAGTTGTAAACAAGCTTCTCATTCAGAGTTGTTAACCACATTAATCTAGTCCAATTATATTTTTACATGTGAGATTGTGAACTTCAATTAATATGAACCTAACCTTCTAGTATGTGCACCAGAAATGCATGCAATTAAAACGAATTAAGAGAATAAAAAAAATAACATCTTACCAAATGTATAACTGATGGGCCTACGACTCCTACAAGAACGAGTTATCCCAACAGCACAAGAATTTCTAAAATCATTCAGCAGGAGCATCTCTTGTGTTTGTTTCCGTTTCAATGACCTTTCTTTCTTCTATTAAATGGAGAAAGAGTAAATATTAATACTAGTTACCAGTGTGAAAAATTAATGAATTAAAAAAGGGCATAAAATTATGATGCCACCACAAGATTATTAATATACAACCACAAAATGGTGTCTGTAAGCTTGCCTTATGTAACTTTTCAACAACCGGAATAGCATCATTGGCAATTGTCTTGCCAACAGCAACTTCTGCCACAACTTTGCTACATGACAGTTCATCCTGCCATTACCAAGGATGCCAAAAGTGAATCAAGATATTTAATCCTGAAACAAACACAATTGTTACCTTACCACAACTTCGCAAAATTCCTCAAAATTGGTAGCAAGTGTTTCCCATTGTGTACAATTAGCTGGTAGATTTAAACACGCTTTTCCTTTACATTTAGTTTTTAACCCAGTTTTGTTTACTTCCTTGTACAACCTATAACCAATAGTTGTATTTCCATCATACCTGCAAAAACAGCATGCATATTGTCAATACTGATGATGCAAAAGATTAGATAAAATTTATACCGTGTTGGACAATTACCAGTATGAAGTTCCATTTGCATCTTTTCCAATCTTATCTTTGCGGAAACTAGAAATTTGATTTCCTTGTTTTAGGGCATCATTAATGTAAGACACAGCATCATCTTGCTGTAAATCAATAGAAATTATCATATCAGAGTTTAAAAAGAGCAACAAACTAACTGCAGCTTCTGTACACCTTTATATATGTTGGCAGCGAACAATAAAATATGCAACACAACTATATGTGTTTCTGTATCTGTAACAAACATCAAAAAATGACAAAATAAACAGAATAGGAGAATCCAGGGACTGCATCACTCGGAAAAACCAATGCAACAAATTATGAATTACAAAGAGGCGGAATATATTACATCAGCTCGGATTTCACAAAGCACTTTTAGAATTAGTAACCGACATGTTGGTTCTAATTCTTTGTATCGAGATATTTCCTCTCTGCAAAAGAACAGCAGCAAAAAGCCACTACTGTCAGAATCTAAATTGATATCAACAATAATGATAGTACCATACTACCTTCTATTAAAGGACGTTTCCCACAAAACCCATAAGAAAGGCAAAATCTCATCATTGTCAACGTAACATAACCATGCAAAAATTAAATAATCTATCATCTATTAAGATACTCAATCCAAAATTAAGAAATTTTTAATTAACTTTATTAATATGGTATTTGTCAATAAATGATTTATGTCAACAATGGATAGATCAGGACATCTGAAGCACCCATCATCCACAAACCACAATCACTTTCTTTCAAGTTTTGAACATCAATTACCTTTCGATTAAATACCCTATATGTTTTAACTCAATTAGGCATAAAAACTTTTTGGTCATTGCCCTCATTCCTTAATCAGTGCTTTGCATCAAAATAATTATGAATAAGTTGATAGACTGAAATAAAGATGGTAAAAGAAAAATTCTCAGAAAAATAAAGTTCTGAAAATAAAATAAGAAAAATTATCCATGAACTGAGTAAAAATGATCAGCCTCATCTAGATATCCAGAATCAAAACCTTTACACAAGCTAGAGCTCTCAGAAACCAAATGCCAGGAAACAAACTTGGGATTCCGAGAGAAAATATATAGAACACATTTCCATGTCACTTTCTACAAACGTGTTATCAAAATTTCCTTACCCTTAACACAAATAAAGAAAGATAATCATTTGGATCATTTGCACGGACTTCAATCAGCAACTATTGACAAGTTTATCTAAACTTTCATATGAACCTTTTAGCTATTGCTGACCTCTTCTGAATCAGCAACCATGGACAAGTTTTCATGTTCCAAAAGCTTACTGTTTGTTTGCTCCGATGACATATCATCATCTGAATCTAACGCAATAGAGTCAAGGGCAGAGTTCCGCGTTGGTCTTTGCCTATATCTATTTTTTGCACTCAAGTTTCTGGTTTCCATGGCAGGATGGTTAGAACCTCGGGCTAATCTCTCACTCCAGCGTGATCCTACAGGCTTCTGGACCAAGGGTGCTCCATGGTTCCTTTTACCAAGGTTTCTTTCATCATGAGAATTGCTTGAGTCACTACCATTGCCATTATCATTGTCCTTATTATCATAATCATCATCACTATTTTCATCATCACCATCACCAGTTTCTTGAAGTCTATCACTGTCAGTATCACTACCTGTGGAGTCACCTTCTTCATCATAACTGTCTTCCATCTTTGCCTCCATCACTGAGCCTTCATTCAATACACTCTTTCCATGCATTTGCACTTTATTAGTTGTACTTTTCCTGAACCACAAATTAAAGTGACAACCAGCTAAAGGCCGCATATTCTATCAGAGCATAACAGAAGTTCTCCCATTAAAAGAGGTTTTTATCTTTTTTGAAATAAAATACAAAAGGTAAACAACCTCATTTTAAAAGATTTGAGAGAAACCAAATCAAATTGGTCCACAATTCTAAACTACATTATGTTATGCTACATGCAAAAGACTACAAGGAAACCCCAATGCCTTTTTCCTCATCATTAACACGCGAACAGCGCACCCACCCCAACCATTAGTGAAAATGCACATGTTAAAATGCTTGTGTGCAGTGTAGAATTACTGAATCTTTTACACAGCATACCTAAAGATAATTAATAGTAAACTCAGTAGCAGAAATCCATGCACATTCAAAAGACTACCATGTGTCACAAAATGTAGTTTAAAGAACAACGAAGACGGTAAAGAAAATATAATTAGAACAGCAAACAATCAAATTAGATAAATCTTACTTTGTTAGCGCTATAGCCTCATCAATGGCCCGATCATAATCATCTGTACATTATATCCCAAATAAAGAGAAATTGATTACTGACAATGCACAATGTATGGAACAAAAGTTTGAAGCGAAGAAACAGTAAAAAGATACATATTGAAAAATATTTGTCAAGGCAAAGCATGTGAGGAAAATGGATAACATCACTGAAGAACTTCAAACTCAAATTCAGCAATTTCTTTCGTTTCTTTCTCTCTTTTTTAATATTCATAAGCCTTTGTAGTATTGTGTCAATTAACTCAGCCGTAGTTGATGAAAGCAATTCTGAGCAAGCTTAAGCTGGGTTCAGACAGCATAATTACAATGCAAAGAGTTGTAAACAAGCTTCTCATTCAGAGTTGTGAACCACATTAATCTAGTCCAATTATATTTTTACATGTGAGGTTGTGAACTTCAATTAATATGAACCTAACCTTCTAGTATGTGCACCAGAAATGCATGCAATTAAAACGAATTAAGAGAATAAAAAAAATAACATCTTACCAAATGTATAACTGATGGGCCTACGACTCCTACAAGAACGAGTTATCCCAACAGCACAAGAATTTCTAAAATCATTCAGCAGGAGCATCTCTTGTGTTTGTTTCCGTTTCAATGACCTTTCTTTCTTCTATTAAATGGAGAAAGAGTAAATATTAATACTAGTTACCAGTGTGAAAAATTAATGAATTAAAAAAGGGCATAAAATTATGATGCCACCACAAGATTATTAATATACAACCACAAAATGGTGTCTGTAAGCTTGCCTTATGTAACTTTTCAACAACCGGAATAGCATCATTGGCAATTGTCTTGCCAACAGCAACTTCTGCCACAACTTTGCTACATGACAGTTCATCCTGCCATTACCAAGGATGCCAAAAGTGAATCAAGATATTTAATCCTGAAACAAACACAATTGTTACCTTACCACAACTTCGCAAAATTCCTCAAAATTGGTAGCAAGTGTTTCCCATTGTGTACAATTAGCTGGTAGATTTAAACACGCTTTTCCTTTACATTTAGTTTTTAACCCAGTTTTGTTTACTTCCTTGTACAACCTATAACCAATAGTTGTATTTCCATCATACCTGCAAAAACAGCATGCATATTGTCAATACTGATGATGCAAAAGATTAGATAAAATTTATACCGTGTTGGACAATTACCAGTATGAAGTTCCATTTGCATCTTTTCCAATCTTATCTTTGCGGAAACTAGAAATTTGATTTCCTTGTTTTAGGGCATCATTAATGTAAGACACAGCATCATCTTGCTGTAAATCAATAGAAATTATCATATCAGAGTTTAAAAAGAGCAACAAACTAACTGCAGCTTCTGTAAACCTTTATATATGTTGGCAGTGAACAATAAAATGTGCAACACAACTATATGTGTTTCTGTATGTGTAACAAACATCAAAAAATGACAAAATAAACAGAATAGGAGAATCCAGGGGTTGCATCACTCGGAAAAACCAATGCAACAAATTGTGAATTACAAAGAGGCGGAATATATTACATCAGCTCGGATTTCACAAAGCACTTTTAGAATTAGTAACCGACATGTTGGTTCTAATTCTTTGTATCGAGATATTTCCTCTCTGCAAAAGAACAGCAGCAAAAAGCCACTACTGTCAGAATCTAAATTGATATCAACAATAATGATAGTTAGAGATAGCAGACACAGAGAGAGAGAGAGAGAGAGAGAGAGAAGCCATTAATACCCCTTAACTGCAGTTAATGGAATCTCCCCTTCAGCAACCTACAATACAATATTGAGAATAAGATGCAAATTATTGCAATGATTCAAATTACCCAAACAAAAAAAAAAAAAAAAGGAGTGATAGGACATAGGAGTAAGATCGGCAGTAACAAACTCTAAAATGCCTTACCCATGGCCACCACATAGCAAGTTTCTTACGAAGTACAGACACCCATGCATCAGAACCATTTAATAGTTTACTCACAGGTGGTATCCCCTGTTAAACATTCAAATAAAACAAGAATAAGGTGATGAGGATGTATAAAACTTACAAAAACAAAAAAGGGTCAAGTACATGCTCAATAAACACTTGATCACCGCATAAAAAACCATTGTTTTTCCCATTTTTCAATGCATTTATGTGATGCTTTAAGTATATGTTTTCAAAGCCCATATTAAATAAGATCTTTCAGGATATTCAAGAAATTGTGAATGAAAAAACAGCTGATGATTGTAATATAAATAACCATATTCAACTTCTACCACCAAAAGTTTCATATAGTTCGAACAGAGACAAACGATCATAGAAGAATGAATGACATAAAGAACCTTTAACAGTACAATGTGAAGCTGAGCATTAGAACTATTAGGCTCAATAAGTCCCATCTCAATCTCTTCAGCGGTCAACTTCAAGCCACTTCCAATAACTGGCTCAAACACCTGCAAAAGCTTGTCAGCATCAATTCATCTTGCGTTTTATTCTCAAAAAATAATAATAATAATAAAGCAAAACAAAGCTTATGCGGGCGTCTCAATCCACAGCAAAAAATAATTCCCACGTTTGTGCAACCAATAACAATGTAAATACAGAACAAAACCGGCATTGCAAGTTGCTTTCTAAAATAAACATACATAAATAAAAGAAATGATCTTACGTTCAAAAAATTGAGAACACAAGCCAGTTCCCATCGTTCACGTAACTTTTTGACCTCAGATTCAGAAGACGATTCGTCCAAGACAATGACTGCGTCTTCCTTCACCTCTGCCATGTTCTGTCCACCTGTCTTTTTAGGAGACGGCGTCGGTTTTCGGCGTCCACTGGCCATTTCGAGAGAGTGGAAGTGGATGGAAAATAAATCGGTTTGTGTTTGAGAAAATAAAAGTTGAAACAGAGGGAGAGGAGGGTAAATTTTGAGGTTTTCCCGCCTAAATAGTTTTACCTCAAATCATGGTCAGGTTTGGTAGCTAGGGTTAATAATTAATTTTTTTCAGAACCGCCTCTAGAAATCTTGATTCACTCCATCGTCTCGTTTTGTGCCCTTTAGCCGCACTGGATTACAGTATTGCATTCCATGGTTTGAGTCCGGTTCGGGTGGATCAGGTCCCTTGGACTAAACTCACCGTTTCACCCGTCCCTACTCCCTTCTTTAAGCCATCAGTATCATTCTCTTTCTAAATTCTAACCATATTATGACACGTGTTGATACTAACATTTATAGGGACTATGACATATACACCCCTGAAACTTAAAAAACTGACCAGTCCCACGAACTTTAAAAACTACCATGAACGCCCTACTGTAACTTTACCCGTCAAATTGATGATACTCTTTCTTATTGGTTTAAATAGTTTTTCTATTATTTTATTAACCACCCGTATCATGATATCAACTTTGGATTAGATTTACTTATGTTTTTAATCCGATGTAGTGAAATTAAAAGGGTTTTCTATAGTAAATTTTCATGTGTTTGGTCCTTTTCAGTGAGTACCCATTAGTTTTAAAAATGTTATCCTACCCTCCTGTTTACCCTTTTTTTTCTATTGAGCATCCACTGGTTTCAGAAATATTATCTCTTCAACCTTCAAATTTATCAACAATTTCTATCAATTTAACCTCCAAAAAATGTATTAACCTCTCAACATTTACGACATATTTTGATAAAAACATCATTTCCTTCAAATTTAAATAGAATAACCTAATAGACAGTCCAAGATGGGAGTTAAAATTGCATTTCTAAAACTAGTAAGTGCTCACTAAAAAAAAAGTCAAACACACTGAGTTAAGGCCACATTTCCAAAATCAACAGTGTTCACTCAAAAAAGCCAAACACATAGAATTGATTGTAACAAACTCGAAATTAAAGGAACAAGAAATATTTAACCCACCCTCTTCCTTATTTTAGATTGGAAGTGTTTGCAACAATTATTGGCTTTTCTCTTGCTATGAGTTTTATTATATGAAAAAGAGTTAATGACTTTTTCCCTCCCAAATAATGGTTTAATGATATATTCTCACCTACAGACTTTTAAAATACCACTTTATTACCCAAATTTATATTCCAACGATGAACAGAGAGCAAACTTGGTCCAGGCTGATGGAGCATTTGAAGAGGGGAGACCGATGAATCTTTTGGTGGTGGAAGGTTGAATTTTGGTGGTTGGGATTGATCGGAATTTGACTTGGAATGGGTGACTACACAAACCCTAATTGTTCAATTACTAGCAATTAGTGGGGTACGCGGGAGTATGGCTTGAGGGTTTTGATGAGTGATGATCAGGAAAGAGAATAGTGGTGGTGTGGGGTTACAAAGATGTCAGAATCAGAAACATAATATAAATTTAGGTAATAAAGTGGTATTTGAAAAGTCTGTAGGTATAAAATATAATTAAACCATTATTTGGGTGGGGAAAAGTCATTTGCTCTATAAAAAATCAACATATAATTTAGAAATGGAATACATGGCAAGAGGAGGGCTGGTGAGTGGTGACCAACACCAACACTCTGCTTTTAGAATACACTATATTTCAAATAAAAAATTCAACTTTAGAATAAATAGCGTTACATAATTTCTTTTTCAATATTAACTTTTTTAACTTCAAAGTCGAGTAGTTCTCAGGTGTTTTAGCTCTGAAACGCACTTTTTCTTTGAATTTATGATTAATATTGAACATTTATTGTTGGAATCCATCTGAAATCGTCATTAACTAAACATCGATTAACTAAATAAGTTATCTAATTGAGAATTATATGGTTAGATATCAATGAAATGTGAAACTAATTATGCCCATCGTGATGACTACAACACAATGAAGGTGAGCATGTAATGTGGACACAGCACTTGCTAATTATGTTTTAAGAAAATACATTTTTTGAAAAAAAGAAAAAAAAAATGTTTCCTTAATTGCATGTCTCTTTTAGTTAACAGCGAGAGAGGTGATTGTTGTTTTTGCAAAGTTAAAAGTTAAGGACAGGCGGTCTAGCATCAGTTCATGAAAGTACTAAAGAAATCAATGTTAATTCCCTCAAGTTAAGACCAACTTTTTAAAATTAATATGTAAATGTACATGCGCAAATGCACATAGTTCATGATCAACAAATCAATATAACATGCAATAACCACACCTAGGTGATCGAGTGAGGCGATAGAGACTATTGGATGTATAACTCAAGAGAAATCAAATTCGATTTTCCTCGGTTGCTAATAAGGGTAACCACTTGGAGCTTATCCGGTCATTAACTTCATAATCCGATCGTTAACTTCAAAACCTTAAAAGATTAGTCGAAGTGTGCACAACTGATCTAGACACTTAACCTCACACCAAAAAATAAAAAAAATAAAAAAAAAATTGCAATAACAACACTATGGCTAAGAGGACAAAATGTTTTGTCCGTAATGTAACGCCCACATTGAGGTACGTAATTTATTTATGCTTTTATGCCCTTAATTTTGCTTGTCTTTAGGTGAAAGATTGAAAATTGGGAAACTACTGACTTCGCCGCGGCAAAGGATCTTTGTCGCTGTAGCAACAAACTCTCTGCCCAAACCGTGTTCTAGAATTTGCAGGTTTCGCCACGGCGAAGAATAAATTTCATCGCGGCGACGTATGCTTTGGAATGCTTCATTGAGGCCAAGAAGAATTTTCGCCAGGGCAAAGAACTAATTGGAAATCTTGAGAAGATTCTAGAGAAAATTTCCTGAAGGGATAAGTGACCATTCTACCCCTAATTAACTATAAATGTGAGGAGTAAAAAGTAAAGAAATTTCATAGATAATGCAATGAAGGTGAGGGCATTCTTGTAAATGACTAAAGGACAAAGATAAGATTTCTAAGAAAGTGTAAGTGCAAAATGGGAAAGTATGCAGATTAATATGAGATATTAAGGATTCAAGCATACAAACCCTATCATTCTCTACTCCCTCACATGCCACTCTCATCTTCAATTCTCTCAATTTGCTTCACCAATTTTCAAAGTATTTTAGAGGACTTTTGGTTGGATTTTGGGTAGATATTCATTCCTAAGCATCTCAAGGTAAGAATTCTTGTAAATAGATGTGAGATTAATTTTTAAAAGTGTTGAGTTCTTATAGTTTATATGCTTAGGATTTTAGAGAAAGAGGAAGTCTACCAAAGAAAAAGAGATTCAAGTGGAAGTACTCAAGTTCAAGGTAAGTAAATCCAACCCTAACCCTTGATTTGAGCAATATTTGAGTAGAGAATTTCCTTATATGTATATATATGATTGAGTATTGAGAATTGATGATGAAATGGATGTTGAGTGTTGGGTTGAACTCCACCATGAGAATTAGTGTTTAGTATGAGATGAATTGGTGGAAGTTTGAAGAAATTATGAAGAAGTTGAAATAGAATTTTGAAGTGTGAATTTCTTGGCCAGGTTTGAGGTTAATTATAAAGAATTGTGTTTCAATTTTGGTAGCTAGAAAAAAAGATAGAAGAGTAGCTAATTTAGTGCTTATTTGTGCATACCACTTGTTTGATGAAATTCCAAAGTGAAGTGCATGTATGGTTATAATAGTATGATAGTTTGAAATGAGTTTGCAGATGGTAGAGAAAGTAGAAAATGACATGTTTACATGCATTTAATTAAGAATTGAGAAAGAATAATAAGAATAATCCATCTACATGCATACAAAAACACTAAAGAACAAAGAGAAAGAAAGAAAAGTGCTAAAGAAAAGAAAAGAAAGGTTGTTGCGATAGAGAACTGGTGGGTGACAAGAAGAAGAATATTCTCACATGCACGCTGCCTTCAATGAGCGGCCTAAGAATAAGAAGAAGAATTTATACGGGCCGTAAGAGTGTATGTGGATGAGAGTTGTATCCAGAAAAATATACCTATATGCACACCGCCTTTAATGGTGGCCTAAGAAGAAAAAGAATTTGTATAGTCTGTAACAGTGCATGTAGATAAGGACTGTATTCACTCACACGGCCAGGGTTCCGAATCTATGGATCAATTAAGTCCGATCGGCAAAGAATAAGAAAGAAAAGAAATAATAGAAAAGATGAAAGAAAGAAAGAAATACATAAAAGAAATAGAAAACATAATAAGAAAAATAGAAAAAAAAAATGCACATTTTATGCATTTATGCATTTGCATCATATATATGCATAATGCTCACCCCGTTGTTTCTAAATGTTTTTGCAGGGAATATGTGAGAAGCGGTCGGATGGACATCGAGAAGCGGAGAGAAATAATACTACTGTCAACTGTTTTTAAGCTAATGTATATGATACTTTTGTTATGTAAAGAATTTAATATATAAAGTAAAGAAAATTTTCGGGCCCATTATTTTTCACTCATATGCATATGTGTTTTTATCATAATATATTTTTTGAGTATACTAGCTAAAAAGAGTTACTACACGTAAATAAAAATAAAATAAAAACATTTTTATTGATTGATCCAACAAATCCTCTTTTCGTGCTCATCAGTAATTATATTATATACTATGGGTGAGTAGTTCCGAGTACCTTGCATTTTTCGGGAGAACCGGAACCAGAACTGTACAGTATAAGTTCTTAAATTCAAGGAATCAAAACCTAAAATGCAGGTTCTGGTTCCTTTCCTGGGTACCCTGTAAAAAATTAATTATCCCCTTATTAATTTAAAAAATGACAAAAATACCTTAAAAGTTTATAAATACACTCCTAACAAATTTTGATTGTTCAATCATTTGTGTCTAATGTGACTCATAAATCCTCTAATCTCTAGGCAACACTTGAATTTAATCAATTCATCACAATTCACATAAAATTCTTCAATCAAAACCAAAATACAAATAATTAATTAAAATTTTAATCATTTAATTAAGTATTGTACTAATGTTTATAATTAATATTATAATTAATTAAGTAATCATATTATAAATCTATAATGTAATGTTATAATTAATTAAGTGATTATAATATAATGTAATGCTATTATTAATTAAGTAATTATTTTATTATAATGTAATGTTTTAATTAATTAAATTTCTAATCATTTAATTAAGTATTGTACTAATGTTTATAATTAATTAAGTAGTCATATTATAAATTTATAATGTAATGCTATAATTAGTTAAATTTATAATCATTTAATTAGGTATTATGTTAATGTAGTAAATTACTAATGTTTATAATATAATGTCATAATTAATTAGGTAATCATTTTATTATACAATGTTATAATTAATTATGTGATCATACTATAATGTAATGTTATAATGAATTAAGTAATTATACTATAAATCTTTCATATAATATTATAATTAATTAAAATTCTAGTTATTTAATCAAGTATTGTACTAATGTTTCTAATGGAATGTTATAATTAATTAAATTTCTAATAATTTAATTAAGTATTATGCTAATGTAGTAAATTACTAATGTTTACAATATAATGTCATAATTAATTAAGTAATCATTTAATTATGTAATGTTATAATTAATTATGTGATCATACTATAATGTAATGTTATAATGAATTAAGTAATCATACAATAAATCTTTAATGTAATACTCTCCCTGTTTCCAAATAAATGACGTTTTAGCCAACTACACACTTTTTTATACACTAATTTTTTTAATGTAAACAAAAAGAGAGAGGAGACGTGGGCATACAAAAAAGTGGAGAGAGAAGATTGAGGCAGAGACGCAAAGTAGAGAAAGAAAGACAGAGGAGATGTGGGCTATGGAAAAAAGTGGAGAATAAAGATATCAGACAAGACAAGCGACACTTAATTTGAAAAAAAATTACACCTTCAAAACGACACTTAAAAAAAACAGAAGGAATATTATAATTAATTAAATTTGTAATCATTTAATTAAGTATTATACTAATGTTTATAATTAATTAACTAATCATTTTTTTATAATGTAATGTTATAATTAAGTAAGTAATTATACTATAAATATATAATTTAACATTATAATTAATTAAATTTCTAATTATTTAATTAATTAATGTACTAAATTACTAATGTAATGATATAAATTTATAATTAATTAAGTAATCATTTAACTATAATGTAATGTTATAATTGATTAAATAATCATTTAATTAGTAATGTGTTAATGTTTATCAATTTATTTTATATAATTGATTAATTACTAATTTATTACAAATATACTTTGAATTTGATAATTAAAATACATAACTAAATATTATATTATTATTCAATCAAATATGCTATTTTATTCAAAAATAATTCTTTTAATAACATTAAAATATTTTTAATTGATTCTAATCCCAATTATACACTTAATTAATCAAAACTTTTATAATAATATATTATAATATATTAAAGTTTTTTATATGGTGTAGTTTATATATAATAATCATAATTGTATATTTATTTAATTAGATTATTATAAAAATTTAACTTTTTTCATTTTAACTTTTTTATATGTAAAATTATAATAGACCTCATATTCTTCACAGATAATTCATTTCATCCCAGGTTCCAAAATAAGGTATCTGTTATAGGTTCTACGTAGGTTTCAAGCTAGGTACCTGTTATAGGTTTTTTTTTTCTAGGTTTCGGTTTCGGTTCCTCCATATGTAAGAATTGGAACTGGAACTGTATAATGTCGATTTCAAAAAAAATGGAACCGAAATCTATCCACACAGTGTTGGTTTTGGTTAGATTCTAGTTTCGGTTTTGATTCTACCTGCAGGTTTTGGTTCTACCCGCTCCCCCAAATATATACATAAATTTAATTTTTTAATCAAATTGTAATTAATTTTAAAACAGATAAACATATTTTACTTAAAAAAAATTACCGTTAGGGTAGAACTTAAGATCACTGCTATTTGAAGGCAAATAACGAAATCTAACAATTTAAGCATTAATTTCTGACGGTTATATCCCCGGCTTCCTTCTCGTTCCCGAGAACTAGAGAACAGAACAGCACAGATTCCTCTTTCAAATCTCAGTTTACTCAACCCCAAACCCAACCATTTTCAATCACAAAATGAGATGATCAATCGGTTTCGCAATCATAATTCATAACAATGGACAAAGAAACCGACCTCCTCTCGCGCCTGGCCACGAACCACCTCCACCTCGCTCAGTTCGAGCCGTTTAGAGCCACCCTCCTTGCTCTTCGCACTCGAAACCCTGACCTAGCTCTCGCTATTCTCCAAACAATAGTCGCTAACTCCGGCAGGTTCGGTAATGTTCTCTGGTCCGTTACTTGCCCCTCCCCATCGCTCCTTACGTACTTATCAACTCTCGAACTATTACAATTCAACGACTCAACTTCATCGACCTGGAGTTTCGATCCAGAAGCGCTGCGTTTGCGTTCGGAATTCTTGCTGTTGGTACAGATGCTAATAGACTGCGTGTTGAAAAGAACTCGAAAGGATATTGACTTAGATAGCTTCGAGAAAGAGAAGGAGAAAGATTTTGATGTTTTAAATGAAAACGATAGTTTTGACGAGAAAGTTAAGTTGTTTGCTAGAAACGAGGATTTGGGATATGTGAATAGTGAATTTGGTGGCTGTGTTAGGGTTTTGGATAGGTTTATGGAGTTAGGTATGAAGAGTTTAAAACCAGATGTAAATGTAAATGTGAATGATGATGTAAGTAGCAGTGGTGTAAATGTGTTGATTGAGGAAGACGAATTTATGTGTTTGAAGAAAGTAATTTTGGAGTATGCCGATGTTTTTGACGCATTGTGTTGGAATATAGAAAAGCAATTGAGAGGGTGGGAGAGTTTAGATTCGGATTGTGCTATAGTACGGAGAGAGGATTTATCGGAAGAGGAGGACAGAAGGATTCTTGGTTTGATACAGAAGAGTGCTCAGTTGGCTCATTTGGATGCAATGAAGGAGTGTGTGAAGGAGGGAGATGAGGAAGGGGCTGTATCTCATATTCGTTTTCTTCACCTTGATTATGGTGTGGAGGAGGCTGAGTATCGGTATGTTTATTTGACTTTTCCCTTTTTCTCGAAGTGGATATAATTTTATTGTAATGCTGTAATTTTTTACTTATAGAGATTAAGTAGTGGTAGATGCTTTTAATTCACGTTGTTGTCATGCTTCTTTCCAAATAGGGAAAAAAAAAAGTGTCAAGTTGTGATCTTGTCATGATCGAGTTTTGCATCTCATAGTTTGTCAAATTAGTGATCCATCCTGCAATTTGCTTGGACTTTAAGTTGAAATTAGTTGGGGAGTTGCTTTAGACTGAGAAAAGCTGTGAATATCTTTATGAAAGAAAGAGATTTGGATTTAGGGATTGTCACAATATGACAGAACAATATTTATTGATATTACAGTGAAAGAACGTAGGTGGGGATTATGGGTAGTCGAATGTTGTGTTTTGTTCAGAAATTGGTGTTGAAAGCATATCATCTGAATTCAAAGTATATCTAGGCAAGTCTTGGTTTGTGTTGATCAAGGATCTGATCCTCTTACAATATCTTTTATACCTTGTAGTGGATAAATCGAGTCTTCAAACATGCTACTATTTTGTGGATAATAAGTAGTTCAATTCCAGAGACCAATGGATCAAATTCTTCTTACACAAGAATTTTTGTGAGCTGTTCAATCTATATTTTATAGATTTTTGTTGATCCTTTAGACGGATCTTAATTTTTGTGGACAACTTATTCACTTTTTTGTAATTTTTTCAATCAATGATATTAATATGTTTCTCCTCAAAAGAAAAAAAAAATCCTTCTTACACTAGGGTTGTTGGGGGTTTGGTTTAAATCTGTAAGTTTTAAAAAGCTAGTAGAAATGAAGTGAAATGATTCGTAAGGCTCTGTCTTTCTTGGTATAATTGTTGTTTTTCAAATTTGATGTTTGAAAATTTGTTTTTTGCGATGACTGAGTTCTTTAAGGGGGCTTTATTCTAATTTTGGGCTTATATGCTTCAGTAAGATAATGATGTGCTTCTTTGTTTCCATTTTTGTAGTATGAAACTCATATGAATTTATTTTCACCCTTGCATTATTTGATATTTATTTTGCATTCCCTTTTGATGTTTTTGATAGCATGGTTTTGGAAGATCTCCTCAAGAGGGTTCTTTCTAAAAGGGAGGAATTTGGAGACACCCGGCATGCTATGAAAGAGAAATTGTTACTGATTTACAGAGAAGCTCTTTCATCTAATTGCAGGCATCTTGTTCAATTGATACAGGTAATACTTCTTTTGATTTTCTTTTAGTAGTCTTCGCGGTAGAAATGCTTGATCGGCAATGGTTTGCATGACATGATTTGATCTCCTATTAGATGATTGATAGGAATGTATCTGACCAGATTCCTTATATGATGCATATGTTTCTTTGTTGTGTTATTCTGGGCTTGATTAGTATTTGAGATCTGTTTGTTGAAGCACAAAACTGGGTAGGCGGAGGGTATTTTGGGTATTTTCACAATTTCTTTTTTCTGTAAGCATTCTGACATTCTCATCTTAAGGTAATAGTATTGCTTGAAGGTTCAGCTCAGGCTCATTTGAGGAAGTCCCCAAATGGTCACTTGGCTGGTTTAGTTCAGATTTTGTTGGTCATTCTGGTGTCACATGGCCATGGTGTGCTGCATGTTACTGTTTAATTTATTAGTTGTCCTTTAGCAATATATTGATACAAAGGTTTTGAGTAAAATACCATTTAATTTCTTATTTTTTTGTCGCCCTTATGTGACATTTAATTGGTTTTTTTGGCAGGTTATTCAGGATGAGTTGCTTTTTCAAGAAATTGAGATATATGAAGCGCACGATAACAACCGAATTCCACCCCCACTTGAGCGTTTTCAAAGATATATTTTGGAATTGAAACCTGATATAGATTCAAATGATAAGTCTTCGTTGTTGAATATAGCAGTCAGTTTGTGCATGAGAGACATGTACCATTATGCTCGTGTTTCTGGATTACATGTGCTTGACTGCATCATGAATACAGCCCTGTCTGCTGTCAGGAGGGAGCAGCTTCAAGAAGCTAATAATGTATGTGTCCGGTTTTATGTTTAAGTTAGATAAGTGAGTATGGAAATGTTTTGCTTTCATTATAGTCAAACTATTTATTTTGGTCAAATGTTAGAAGCAGTGCTACTATAGTCTTACAAACCTTACTTGTCTGAAAACATGGCAGATTCTTATGTTGTTTCCTCGACTTCGGCCATTGGTAGCGGCCATGGGTTGGGATCTATTGTCTGGTAAAACAATGGAACGTAGGAAATTGTTGCAGCTGCTATGGACAAGTAAGTCACAAATGTATCGCTTGGAAGAGTCTTCTCTTTATGGAAATGAATCAGACGAGGTAATTTCAATTTTCGAAAACTATAATGGTTGAATGCTTTCTTTCTTATATTATTGTTTGTATAAATAATGAATGAAATTAAAGAGCTCTGTCTCATCTCTTTTGACAGATATCTTGTGTGGAGCATCTATGTGATTCACTATGTTATCAGCTTGATCTTGCCTCTTTTGTGGCTCATGTTAATTCTGGTCAATCGTGGAATTCAAAATTTTCATTGTTGTTGTCTGGAAAAGAACAAACAACATTTGGAAGTGAAGATGCTCAATTAGACCCTTTTGTTGAAAACTTTGTGTTGGAACGACTATCTGCTCAAAGTCCCCTCCGGGTAAGATTTTGTATATCTAAAGCTAAAGCAATCCACTTTGGATTTCCTACCTAAATTGTATCTTATCTCATTTTGTTGAAACTGTATGTATGATTAAATGTGCTTAGAATGGTTAAAGTGGTTTACAGTCATGCTTTTCTAATAAAAAAATGCTAGATAATTAGCAGTTAATATTTCTTAAATGTATATATGGTGTTATGGTCCTGCTAGATTTGAATAAATATATTATTATATTGAATTGCTGTGGTTAATTTGTAGTTTTAACCATTGTCTTTTATACCATGGAATTTCTCAAGTTTTTGGCTCTAGAAGTTATCTTTTTGATTGTTAGAGTATAATAAAAAAAGCTTTACTGCGTGAGTGGTACTGGTTATATGAGCACTTCCCTAGTTGTCTGAATTAAGTTGTTGAATGAAGTTAATAGGGGTTTACTAATAGGCTTTAACTGAGGATTAGGCAAGAGGGAAATAAATTAGGCAAGGGGAACCAAGGATAATATCTATAGTTATTGGAATAAAACGTATAGTTGGATTTCCGTGGATTTAACAGGCTTAGATATGTTTATGAAATTGTCAAATTACAATTATGGATACTTAGGTTCACTCTAATAAAGTTAGTAAGTAACAAAACATGAAACAAAAGTTACTGGAAAAAAATGGAAAATGTCTACTGAAGTTGCTTGAATATGCTTATACGTTAGGCATAAGTTGTAAAGTTTCTCTTTATATGTCTGTTTGAATGTTTGCATGTGCACTGCACTTGAACTGTGAAACAACTCCTATGTTAAATACTTTTTCAGTTCTCATTGTATTTAAAACGAGTTCTTGTTGAAAAAAATAAGGAAAATGATTTAAACAATTTAATTATTAAAATTTTATATGTAATATGTTTTATCTGCTTAAGTAGATGGCTCGGTTGCGGTATGTGTCTCTTCATTAATATGCGGTATCTGGAAAGTTTATTGGACAGTTTTGAAACTGCATGTTTTGTCTTTGTGTATGATTAAGTGAAGTAAGACTGATTTTTTATTTCTGAGTGCAAACCTGGAAAGCCTATGCTCTGAACAGTATTTTTCTGTTTGGTTATTTATTTTTTACTCAGATTTTTTTTTTTTTTCATGCAGGTACTGTTTGATGTTGTTCCAGACATAAAGTTTCAGGATGCTATTGAATTGATTAGCCTGCAGCCAATTGCTTCTGATGTAGCAGCCTGGAAGAGGTGTGTATGCAAATGAAGTTACCCTGATGATTGATTCAAACTTTATTATGCTGTAGTTAGTTAAGGATGGTTCATGATCATAAAATTTTGTATTTGTTTGCTGTGTGCTATTAAGAGAACAATGAAGTTTCTCCAAACAAGTAATACTTCTACATCTTTGAATATGATATAGCACTATGGGCTGATTTTTGTTTCCACTCAGTCTTCATTCATTGCAATTGTCAACTATGATAGTCTGTGATAATATTGACTCTAAGAACTGTGTGATCTATGCGTGTCTGGACTCTTGACATTTGTAAGAATAATTTTTTGACTTCCTAATTGAGAAAGAGATATGTTCATCGATAGATTTTCTGAAGGTTATTGAATACTTTTTTCTTAATCTGCTCTTATATTGCATGAAGTATTCAAATAAATGAAATATGTATGCTGAGGATTCTACAGTGTCAATTTTGGTTCATGTACTTCATGAATTGGGATAATAATAACAATTGAATTAATTTTCTTTGGGACAACCATACAATATAGCCTTGTGTAAGTTTGAGCCTTCAATGTACTTGAAGCTGTCTTGTGTGTATATATATGTGTACCTGAGGCTGTGTAATAGAAATTTTGTTATGTTGGCGTGCTTTTCTTTCTTGGGTTGATTGTTAACTTTTTCCTCTGTAATTTAGTTTTTTTTTTTTTTTTTGTTGAATTTGTTCTGGATAGGATGCAAGATATTGAACTCATGCACATGCGTTATACTCTGGAATCAACTGTACTTGCTCTAGGGGCAATGGAAAAAACCTCAAGTGGTGAAAGAGCAAGACATCACCTAGTGGCTTTATGCCATTTGAAAGATCTAAGGAACCATTTGGAGGCTATCACAAATATTCCACGCAAGGTCATATGTGGTTTGCATTTTGCTTGAACATATTACATTTCATTCTTGCATTGTTATTTTCTGAGGTTAGGGTTCTTTTTATACAAGAAGCAGATATAAATATTTTAGCCGAAAGTGTTGCAAGTTGTTTTGCATAGGATATATCTATGATAGAATTTATAAAGGTGTTTATTCATTCTATATGCTAGAAATTCGTTAACCATTATGTGGAATCTCTGTGGCTATTCTCAGTGTTCACCTTGCCGAACTATTTTTCTTTATATCTTAATGCTTTTCGTCTGTTGGTACCTGCTTTAAATAATTGAAATCTATATTTCTCTTATTTATTTTCCGTTTTTACATAATGGTAATTCTATTCACTTATGCAGATATTCATGGTGAATGTTATAGTTTCGCTTTTACATATGGATGATATCTCTCTCAATTTGATGCATTGTGCCTCACCAGGGAGCAATTCTGAACCACCCTCTGCATGTGCCTGGGAACATTCTGATCTCAATACATGTGAAGGGGGAAACGAAATGGTTATATCTTTCACAGGGTTGCTACTCGATATACTGCGTCGCAATCTTCCATCAACTGTAATTGAACAAGAGCATGCATTAACTGATGGCATAAATATGGGTGGAAGGCAAGCATTAGAATGGAGAATCTCAATTTTGAAACGTTTCATTGAAGATTGGGAATGGCGGCTATCAATGTTGCAGCGTCTTCTTCCATTATCGGAGCGCCAATGGAGTTGGAAGGAGGCATTGACTGTGCTACGAGCGGCCCCATCCAAGCTACTAAATCTGTAAGTTTTGGGTAATTCTTTTCAGGAATATTTTATTGTCACAACAATCAGTTCTCGCTCATGATACATATGCAATCTGTTGGTGAATCATAATCAATTATGATCTGTCAAACAGTAACCTATAACCTTTTGGTGTTTTCTTCACTATTATAATTTTTTATAAACATGCGCCTTAGCAAGAATCTTGGCAGTTTCATTAATAATTTCGTGTTTCTTTTAAAGAAAAAGAAATTTTACGGTACAAGTGTGTATTTTTGTATCTTTTAAAATGTACCTCAGGTCCATCATTGTTCTTATTTTAGACAGATTAGAGTTGATCACGTAGTTTTAGTTCTGCTGGAGCAGGGTGCTAATCTTTTTCTAAGCTTACATGGTCCTGATGAATTGAGCAACAATAATAACTAAACCTGGCAACATTATGACTTCTAACCTTATTTTCAGATTATAATGGTAACAGCTTTTGCAGTATTCTTGTGTCAAATTAAATTTTGCATGAGGAATTGACAGTAGAGATAAACAGTGTGTTTTACAATCATTTTCAGTTTAACTTGAAATTGGTAAGATTTCCAGTGAGGCCCTGTCACGTTTCAGACCTCTGAGAAATAAATGCTTTTTAATTAGGGCTCTGCCTAGGATTATGCTAATGTCAGACCGTCTTTATCATTTTGGACCATATTTTGCAGAGAAAAGTATGACAAGAAAGAACCTGTGATAGCACTGTTTCTTTCCTCAAACATTTCTTACTGAATTTAACAAATTGAAGGCAAGTTTACTTATGTTCTTATTTTCATACCGTAAGTATATTGATGTTCTTTTGTTCTGCAGTTGCATGCAAAGAGCCAAGTATGACATTGGAGAAGAGGCTGTTCATCGATTTTCCTTATCTGCAGAAGATAGAGCTACTCTTGAATTAGCTGAATGGGTAGATGGTGCCTTCAGAAGAGCATCTGTATGTTTCAGATTGTCACTTTATACTTTGTCATATATGTTCTGACACTATCATTTTGCTAATTTTACTTATGATTATCTACATTAGTTGCTTATTTTGTCAAATAATATTGTTCTGCTAAGTGGAAATGTAGATTTTAAGTTTAATCTTAATCAGGCTTCCTATAGTATCCTTTTTATGATTTCTATCATTTATCATATGATTTAGTGTTTCTTATTGAATTTAGATTTTGCTCTCCCAAAGCACTTGTGAGTTAAGAACCGTGCTTTGCGTTTGATATAGAAATTTGCTACCCTATCACTTAGTTATGGTGTTTATTATATGTTGGATGAATAGTTTGTTGCACATGTAGTCCTAGTGTTAAATTAACTGTTGAAATTACCCACTATCATCCTTTGTTTTGTTTTTGCATTTTTTTATATTGTCCAACTGAAACCTTTTATTAGTTTTTATGTTTATCATTCTTTTAAAATTATGATACGTATAATTGCCTATGGTGGTGCTTTTTCTCTAATTTTGGTTAATATATATGTTGTTACAAGTAAGGCTTCAGTTTTGAACTTAGTGAACTTCTTAGATTAGTTGGAGGATGTCTGGGATTAAAAAAATAAAAAATAAAAAATAAAAAAAATTATGTTTACACGTTAATGGGAATTGTTTCACCTGTTGTGAACTGGGATAATTAGCTTGTACAATTAAATATTAATTATCATTTTTGAGGTGCATAATACTTGATGCTTTTCAAAGAATTTGGGCCTATGGTATGCCCAAATCACATATGCAAGTATAATATGATTTGTTTCTTTCCAGGTAGAAGATGCAGTGACACGTGCTGCTGATGGAACTTCTACCGTACAAGATCTTGACTTTTCATCCTTACGCTCCCAATTAGGTTCTTTGGCTGCAGTGAGTGCTTATTACACAGGCTATTCCACATGTATGTCCTGAGTTAGAGAATTTCATATATTTTTTGTCTTGCCAGATTCTTCTTTGTGTTGATGTTGCTGCAACTTCTGCGAGGTCTGCAAATATGTCTGAGCAGCTTCTGGATCAGGCAATACTCACCTATCTAATGCGCTTAAAGTTTGTATATGTTAAATTTTTAATGTTATGGCATTTCCTTATGTAGTTGCATATCGAATGCAAGGTCCCCGTCCTGTTTCCCCCTTCTGAATTCCATGGAAATTTTATTTCCATTAGGGTTTCTTTTTTTATCTTCTTTTGATTCTGATTAAAGCCAGCCAGCTTTCTTACCATCTGTATGATTGCTGTCCTCATCACAAAGCCTATGCAATGCTTTCTAAAATGTGCACTGTTCCATCTTTAAGTAGGATTTAAATATCAAAAAACAGGACTCTAGTCTCATCCTTGTTTAATGATGATCTTATGAATTTGTAGGGAAAAAATAATCTGTTTGACACATTGCAACTGCTTCTAGTGCACTAAGATTTGTGATTTCAATGTTCTTATATATTCTGTGGGATTCTTCACGTTCTTCGACTTTTTTTCTGGTGTTTCCGTCCTAGCTCTCTTGTGATATATTATATTTTTTGTACATCCTTCTAATATTTTTATGCACTTGTATTATGTGCAGGCTCAGCTGATGCTATCTGAGATATATCCAGGAGCTTCTCCGAAAGTGGGATCCACCTACTGGGATCAAATCCATGAAGTGGCTATTATATCTGTTTTACGGCGTGTTCTGAAGCGTCTGCATGAATTCTTGGAACAGGTGAGGTTTCAAATATCATTTGATGGATTTGTAGTCCTTGTTAGCAGATAGATGTTAGCCTGACTTTTCTCAAGCTTAGTTATTGAATTTTCTCTATTATAATATCAACTTAGGTTCAGCATGTGTGCTGTTTCATACATGGTCTTGAATTTGTCCCATAGACTAAGCACTTGCTTAAGTTTAAGCTTTGGCAACCACATTCCATGCAGAACTTAATATCAAAAAAGAAGAATATATTGATAAATTCTCTCTAAGCGTATTTGAATCGATGCTTGCCTGATCTAAGAAATTTCTCCATTGATACAGAGCATCAAAATGTAGTATAAGATCTTTCAAGAACAATGCATGATTTGCCAAGAAGCAAAAAAGTTTAGCATTTGAAAAACTTAGGTTACTCTGGCCACACTGAGAAAATAACTGCTCTCTGATCTGAAAAAGTTGTAGGTGTGCATGTATTTGAAACACCTTGTTTCGTTGTTTAAACACAAACCTTGTCCTCACCTTTGCTGTATTTTTTTGTTCCCTTACTCTTTCCTCTTCTCATGTTTGATAAATCAAATTGTTAATTACTCTCTGAATATTTGTTTCTATTCCCTTCTCTTTAATTTGTGAAAAGTACTGCAGATATTTCTCCTAATCCTCATTGTTTTTCTTCTGTGGCTTCTTAATATGCAAGTCATGCTTTACTTGTTGATCATGCTGCATGATTTTTTTCTCCAGGATAATCCTCCAGCACTCCAGGCCATTCTGATTGGGGAGATCATTATTTCATCAACTAAGGAGTCTCATCGACAGGGACAGAGGGAACGTGCTCTTGCTATGCTACATCAGATGATTGAAGATGCTCACAAGGGCAAGCGACAGTTTCTCAGTGGTACCTTTTTTTCTTTAAATTTTTCATGTGGGATGTGGCTGTTTTGTGCTGTCATTATTGTTCTTGTAGAAAAGAAGACATGTTTCTGTGCCTCTAATTCATCTCATCTTGTGAAATCTTAGGCAAGCTTCATAATCTAGCAAGAGCCATTGCTGACGAAGAAACAGAGCCAAACTTCAGTAAAGGGGATAGTTCATACACTGACCCAAAAGTGTTGTTGAATTTTGACAAGGATGGGGTTCTTGGGCTTGGGCTAAAGGCTGTTAAACAGACCGCTTTAAGTTCAAAAATTGGAGATACTAGTGTTCAGTCTGTTGGTTATGATATGAAGGATATGGGGAAGAGACTGTTTGGCCCATTAAGTGCAAAGCCCAAGACGTATCTATCACAATTTATTCTCCATATTGCTGCAATTGGAGACATAGTTGATGGGACGGATACAACTCATGATTTCAACTTTTTCTCACTTGTGTATGAATGGCCCAAGGATGTAAGATCTGTTCTTTCTTTGTTTAGCTGATTTTATCTGTGTTTAAAGTTTGTGGTTATGCCCATCGCTCCAATACATCTTGTAGCAAAATTTCACATGACAAGCATCCATACCTTTTCCCTTCCTGTTGGAATTTTTCTAGTTATGTTCATTTGCTTTAGACTGTATTTTATGAACAATAAAAACATGCCGAGGGAAATTCTTGGCAAATGATATTTCTATTACCTGAAAAAAGTTTGAGCCTTATAAAATATTTAGTCAATGCATTAAGGAATTAACTTAATTTCCTTTTCACAGGATCACGAATATCTTCATGTTTTCCTTGTTTACTTTGCAGCTTTTAACTCGTTTAGTCTTTGAGCGAGGCAGCACTGATGCAGCTGGAAAGGTTGCTGAAATTATGTCTGCTGATTTTGTCCATGAAGTGATTTCAGCTTGTGTACCACCAGTTTATCCTCCGAGGTCCGGCCACGGATGGGCATGCATTCCAATTGTTCCTACCTGCCATGGTAGTTTCTCTGACAAGAAAGTACTTTCCCCCTCTTCTAAAGAAGCTAAGCCCACTTGTTACAGCCGTTCCTCAGCAACACCTGGAATTCCTTTGTACCCTCTCCAGTTGGATATAGTAAAACATTTGGTTAAAATATCACCTGTTAGGGCTGTCTTGGCCTGTGTTTTTGGTAGCAGTATATTGTATGGTGGGAGTGACTCAACTATATCTAGCTCGTTGAATGATGAAGCACTGCAGGCACCTGATGTTGATCATCAATTTTATGAGTTTGCTCTTGATCAATCTGAGAGGTAATATTTGTATTAAAGATGTCTAAGCTTGCCCTGTTATATTGTGATAATTTAGTTTGACCACTTTTTTCCTCTTTAACAGGTTTCCAACTTTAAACCGGTGGATACAGATGCAAACCAATCTCCATCGAGTTTCAGAGTTTGCTGTAACAGCCAAGCAAAAGGCTGATGATGGCAAGGTTAAGCATGAAGCAAGAGCCGCTATTAAGAGGTTTCGTGAGAATGACAGTGATACTGAATCAGAAGTTGATGAAATTGTTGGTAGCAATAACGTTTCAGCATCTTTAGCGGACCTCAGTGGTCAAGATGGTGCAGCTCCAAACACTTGGCGTGATTCATTTAAATCTGAAAATGCAGAAGATGATACAAAAGTTTTCCTTTCTTTTGATTGGGAGAATGAAGACCCATATGAGAAGGCTGTGGAGCGGTATATTCCATTCTTCTTGCAAAATATTATTTTATTTTGATGGTTGACTTATTTTTCTAGTTGCTGATAGTGCTACTGAATTCAAATTTTTACTGTGTTGTACATCTTGCCGCTTCTTAAAAGAAAACGGAATAAAGGAGGGTCTGAAAAGAAGATATAGAAAATGGGAAGATTTTACCGATAGTTAATTAAACATTTCTGTTAGTATGAATGCCTTTTCTTAAGTATGTGCTACGCATGCCTAGAGTGGCAATATAGACAAAATCTGTGAATCTCTACTCTAATCCTTTTCTTTTTATTTCCTCTTTAAATATTCACAATGGGGGAAGTTTGTGTTGGGTTGAGGGGCAAGTTGTTATCATTAGTAATTATGAGTGCTGTTTGTCATGATACTGTTACCCTAATATATGCTTATTGTCACTTGTTCTCTTTAAGCAGATTGATTGATGAAGGAAAACTCATGGATGCTCTTGCACTTTCGGATCGCTTTTTACGCAATGGGACCTCAGATCGATTGCTTCAGCTACTCATTGAACGGGGAGAAGAAAACCATACAATCTCCGGACAACCTCAAAGTTATGGAGGTCACATTATCTGGAGCAATAGTTGGCAATATTGCTTGCGATTGAAGGATAAACAACTGGCGGCTAGACTTGCTCTCAAGTATGTAAACTAATAGAAACTATTGAGACTTATTTAATCTTTTGTTTCTTTGGGCTCTTTTTCTTTCATGATTTTTTATTGACTTTTAATCGGCTTTTTAAGCAAGGTAAACCCTCTACATGTAGGATAGCTTTTCGTAGGTTACAGAGTGCTCTTGTATGGGTCTTAAATTGAAAGTACTGTGGAACTATCCTCAAAGAAAATTTTATTGCAGGTATGTGCACAGATGGGAACTTAATGCCGCGTTGGATGTTCTCACCATGTGCAGCTGCCACATCCCTCAAAATGATCCAATTAGAAATGAGGTGTTGGATTCAATTTATAATTGCTTAAATTTTATAACTCCTTTTTTTCTGCCTGATGACAGATATTATTTGTTCATTCTCTTACCTTAATTTTACCGAATCAGCCTTTAAATCCTTATGTAATGAAATGGTATCATTCTTTGGATACTTAGGTGTTGCAAATGAGACAAGCTTTGCAGCGATACAGCCATATATTAAGTGCAGATGATCAGTATAGCAGCTGGCAAGAGGTTATAGTCTCTTCTATTGCTAAACTAAAATGAAAAATTTAGATTAAGAGAAAAATGGTTGTGGTTTTCTTTCTGGTAACTATCTTCAATGCTTTGTTCTAATGATCCTTGGTTTTTCTCTTGTGCCTACTGGATATGTCAGGTTGAAGCACAGTGTAAGGAAGATCCAGAGGGCTTGGCACTTCGGTTAGCTGAGAAAGGAGCAGTTTCTGCTGCTCTAGAAGTGGCTGAAAGTGCAGGATTATCCATAGATTTGCGCAGGGAACTGCAGGGTCGGCAACTTGTGAAACTTCTTACAGCAGATCCTCTTAATGGTGGAGGTCCTACAGAAGCTTCACGTTTCCTATCTTCTCTACGTGACTCTAATGATGCTCTTCCAGTGGCTATGGGTGCAATGCAACTATTACCCAACCTTCGATCAAAGCAACTTCTTGTAATTAATTGTTTTTGTTGACCTCTTCTTGCGGGAGTTGGCTACATTACTAAGTACTCTTTGAATGTGAGGTTTCTGTCATATAATTTTGTCTTATTTTTGTAAAGGTTCACTTCTTCCTGAAGCGAAGGGATGGGAATCTATCGGATGTTGAGGTTATTCGACTGAACTCATGGGCTTTAGGTCTTCGTGTTTTGGCTGCCTTGCCATTGCCATGGCAGCAAAGATGTTCCTCTCTGCACGAGCACCCACATTTGATATTAGAGGTTCTGCTGATGAGGAAACAACTACAATCTGCTTCTCTGGTACTGTTCTCCTTACATTGAGATTAAGGATTATCCTTTTATTTGACTCATGATACTGTTAAAATACTGTATATACAATTCCGAATCCCCTTCATTTATCCGCAAACTAGTGTCCTAAAGCTTGGGCCTTGGTCCCGTCTTCTCATATGGCTTCATACCAAAAGTTTGTGCCATCTCTATCCTTCTTTATTTCTTTGATTGTGATGTTGGATTATATTTTCAAGCAGATTCTTAAAGATTTTCCTTCGTTAAGGGACAACAGTGTAATTATAGCATATGCTTCTAAGGCTATTGCTGTCAGTATTACATCTCCTGTGAGAGAACCACGAATATCTGTCTCAGGAACAAGGCCAAAGCAGAAAACAAGAACTGGTGCAAGGTCCTCTTTTACTAGCAGTCTAAGTAACTTGCAAAAGGAGGCTCGTCGAGCTTTTTCTTGGGCTCCACGTAATACTGGAGATAAGGCTACTCCAAAAGATGTTTACCGGAAACGAAAAAGTTCTGGATTGACACCATCTGACAGAGTTGCTTGGGAGGCCATGGCTGGCATTCAAGAGGATCGTGTTTCTTCATACTCTGCTGATGGGCAAGAACGTCTTCCTTCTGTTTCTATTGCAGAGGAATGGATGCTAACAGGTGATGCCTGTAAGGATAGAGCTGTTCGTTCGGCTCATCGATATGAAAGTGCACCTGATATTATTCTCTTCAAGGTATGCTCTCGTTGGTGGGCTTAACATGTTGGAAATAGCGATATTGTGTGTAATTTTAAACGGTTGCTACTTCCCTTGTTATTGGTGGGTGCCCATGACATCTTGGTTTTTGTTTTACCGTTGGTATTCTTACTCGGAGGTGGCTATAGGTGCATTTTTCCAGCATTTTGAATGAAAAATCGATTCCCATCAAATTCAAACAGAACCCCTTTACTATTCTATCAATTCATGTTTAAATAATGATTTTGTTTTCCGCCTTTTGTCTGTACTAGTAGTTCTTGATTGCATATGTTAATGATGCTCTTGTACTTGACTATGCAAATTTTTCGAACATGATCTAACTCTAAATTTGTAATAACATTTTATGATATTTCCAGTTAATGTGGACTGGAGACAGCAGAGCCTTTTTTTAACCTGGATGTGTGTGTGTGAAGAAACTTGACCTGAATTTCCTATTCTTCTGCTATTGCATTTAAAGGCTTTCAGTGTGGATGTTTTTTGTAGCAATAAAATGGCTTTACCCGGACTTTATGCAGGTTGTTGCCATATAAGTGTGACTTGTGAAATGTTTCATGTTCATTGGTGTTTTGAGCATCTCTAGTGCTGGATTTTCTTGAATGAGATCATGAATCTATGTATGCTGCTGCCAGGCTGCTGAAGGTTTCCTCTCCTTTTTTTTTTTTTTTTTTTTTTTTCAGGCTCTCCTTTCTTTGTGTTCTGATGAGTTAGTTTCTGCCAAAAGTGCACTGGACTTGTGTATTAATCAGATGAAGAATGTGTTGAGCTCCCAACAGTTGCCTGAGAATGCATCTATGGAAACAATTGGTCGAGCATATCATGTCACAGAGACATTTGTGCAGGTAAACCATTACCTTGCCCTTGGTTTGAGTGGGAGCTTAATTTCTATAATTGGGGTTTGTGCTCGTCCTTAAAAATGCACTAGCGACAAAGGCAATGGATGCTTTTTAGCTTTCATACAATTGAAAGGTTATAGCTAATGTGAATTTGTCTTCAGTGTAGATTGCAGTAACAAATCACTTGTGTTGCATATGTAGGGACTACTTTATGCTAAAACCCTGCTGAGAAAGCTTGCGGGGGTTGGTGAATTGTCCAGTAATTCAGAAAGGGGTAGGGATGCTGATGATGCATCCTCTGATGCCGGTAGCTCTAGTGTTGGTAGTCAGGCCACCGATGAGTTATCTGAAGTTTCATCACAGGCAGATATTTGGCTCGGACGCGCTGAGCTGCTTCAAAGCCTTTTGGGATCTGGAATTGCTGCTTCTCTGGATGATATTGCTGATAAAGAGTCATCTGCTCATCTACGTGACCGATTGATTGTTGATGAACGATACAGCATGGCTGTATATACTTGCAAGAAGTGTAAGGTAAATATGATTGCCAGATTGTAGTAGTTAGCACCATTTTGCCACTTGGATAGTTAAGGTTATGACCACTTGGTACTTATCTCAGATTGATGTTTTCCCGGTGTGGAATGCATGGGGTCATGCTTTGATTCGGATGGAGCACTATGCGCAAGCTCGTGTCAAGTTTAAGTATGTTGAATATATATATATACACCTTAAACTTTACAGCTATTATTTAGGTCAATTAAGAACAGATTTGAAGAAACTTGTGTATTTGATGGTGTGCAGGCAAGCTCTTCAATTGTATAAGGGTGATCCTGCACCTGTAATTCTGGAAATCATTAATACAATCGAAGGAGGTCCTCCCGTGGATGTTTCAGCTGTTCGTTCCATGTAAGGCAGCATTTAATCATTGAGACTAAAAATTCCTACATTTGTTTCTGCATTTCAATTCTATTAGGTCTGATAATGGGCTAGAAATTGAGAAATACTGTCCAAAATTCCTTTTTTGAAGGTTTTATAGGATTCTGAATCTCTTTCTGACAATTTGTCGTGATTTTAAGATGATCTTTACTGTTTTTGCGGTGTGGGACAATTTGAAATTATTGAGAAGAGAATTTGACATTGTTGTTTTCATCGTATTTTGTCCTTGAATTAACTTAAGTGCACTCTAGAACTGTGGAAAGTATGCAAGAGAGAACCTCAGGGAAGAAAATATTTGATAGTAAAAAGAATTGTGAAAAACCATCTCTTCATTTAAAATATTCCTCTGATAGACTAGAACTGTGTGCCGTACACTTTATACTATTTTTATCTCTTGATGAGTAAATATCTGTTTGGGGGCTTCCTACTTGTGATGATGAAAAAAGGGACAAGTGAAAGAAATAGAAATAAAATACTGCCATATCTTGTCATTGCATGTGCATCTTTCTTATGTATCTTGTACTTCAGGTATGAACATTTGGCCAAAAGTGCACCAACAATCTTGGATGATTCTCTTTCTGCTGATTCATATCTCAATGTTCTATATATGCCATCTACATTTCCACGTTCAGAGAGATCCAGGCGGTCTCAAGAATCTGCAAATAATAATTCTGCTTATGGTCCTGACTTTGAAGATGGTCCTCGCAGCAACCTCGACACCATTAGATATGTTGAGTGTGTAAACTATTTGCAAGAAGTAAGTTTATCCTTCTTTTTGCTTTCTCAAGTATATCTTTTTAGTTCATTTAGGGAATACTGAATATTCTTTTTGCAGATTCAGGCTTAACCTAATTCCTGATTAGCACATTAATGGATTTGGTTTTTTTTTTTTTTTTTCTACACAGACACTCTCAAATATTCAAATAGGAGTAAGGGGTCAAGTCAGTTGTAACTAATGAACAAAATAATTGTAATATAATTTTGAACTCAAATGCATAGAAATAATCTTGAGAATGAATTTTTTCTTTCTGGTAACTATCTTCAATCGTTGTGCTAATGATCCTTGTTTTTTTTCTCTTGTGCTTACTGGTATGTCAGGTTGAAGCCCAGTGTAAGGAAGATCCAGAGGGCTTGGCACTTCGGTTAGCTGAGAAGAGCGTTTCTGCTGCTCTAGAAGTGGCTGAAAGTGCAGGATTATCCATAGATTTGCGCAGGGAACTGCAGGGTCGGCAACTTGGGAAACTTCTTACAGCAGATCCTCTTAATGGTGGAGGTCCTACAGAAGCTTCACGTTTCCTATCTTCTCTACGTGACTCTAATGATGCTCTTCCGTGGCTATGGGTGCAATGCCACTATTCCCCAACCTTCGATCAAAGCAACTTCTTGTAATTAATTGTTTTGTTGACCTCTTCTGCGGGAGTTGGCTACATTACTAAGTACTCTTTGAATGTGAGGTTCTTCGTGTATTTTCTGTCTTATTTTTGTAAAGGTTCACTTCTTCCTGAAGCGAAGAGATGGGAATCTATCGGATGTTGAGGTTTTCGCTGAACTCATGGGCTTTAGGTCTTCGTGTTTTGGCTGCCTTGCCATTGCCATGGCAGCAAAGATGTTCCTCTCTGCAAGCACCCACATTTGATATTAGAGGTTCTGCTGATGAGGAACAACTACAATCTGCTTCTCTGGTACTGTTCTCCTTACATTGAGATTAAGGATTATCCTTTATTTGACTCATGATACTGTTAAAATACTGTATATACAATTCCGAATCCCCTTCATTTCTGCAAACTAGTGTCCTAAAGCTTGGGCCTTGGTCCCGTCTTCTCATATGGCTTCATACCAAAAGTTTGTGCATCTCTATCCTTCTTTATTTCTTTGATTGTGATGTTGGATTATATTTCAAGCAGATTCTTAAAGATTTTCCTTCGTTAAGGGACAACAGTAATATAGCATATGCTTCTAAGGCTATTGCTGTCAGTATTACATCTCCTGTGAGAGAACCACGAATATCTGTCTCAGACAAGGCCAAAGCAGAAAACAAGAACTGGTGCAAGGTCCTCTTTTACTAGCAGTCTAAGTAACTTGCAAAGGAGGCTCGTCGAGCTTTTTCTGGGCTCCACGTAATACTGGAGATAAGGCTACTCCAAAGATGTTTACCGGAACGAAAAAGTTCTGGATTGACACATCTGACAGAGTTGCTTGGGAGGCCATGGCTGGCATTCAAGAGGATCGTGTTTCTTCATACTCTGCTGATGGGCAAGAACGTCTTCCTTCTGTTTCTATTGCAGAGGAATGGATGCTAACAGTGTATGCCTGTAAGGATAGAGCTGTTTCGTTCGGCTCATCGATATGAAAGTGCACCTGATATTATTCTCTTCAAGGTATGCTCTCGTTGTGGGCTTAACATGTTGGAAATAGCGATATTGTGTGTAATATTAATGGTTGCTACTTCCCTTGTTATTGTGGGGTGCCCATGACATCTTGGTTTTGTTTTACCGTTGGTTTTACTTGGAGGTGGCTATAGATGCATTTTTCCAGCATTTTGAATGAAAAATCGATTCCCATCAAATTCAAACAGAACCCCTTTACTATTCTATCAATTCATGTTTAAATAATGATTTGTTTTCCGCCTTTTGTCTGTACTAGTAGTTCTTGATTGCATATGTTAATGATGCTCTTGTATTCTTTCTTTGTTTAGCTCATTTTATCTGTGTTTAAAGTTTGTGGTTATGCCCATCGCTCCAATACATCTTGTAGCAAAATTTCACATGACAAGCATCCATACCTTTTCCCTTCCTGTTGGAATTTTTCTAGTTGATGTTCATTTGCTTTAGACTGTATGTTATGAACAATAAAAACATGCTGAGGGAAATTCTTGGCAAATGATATTTCTATTACCTGAAAAAAGTTTGAGCCTTATAAAATATTTAGTCAATGCATTAAGGAATTAACTTAATTTCCTTTTCACAGGATCACGAATATCTTCATGTTTTCCTTGTTTACTTTGCAGCTTTTAACTCGTTTAGTCTTTGAGCGAGGCAGCACTGATGCAGCTGGAAAGGTTGCTGAAATTATGTCTGCTGATTTTGTTCATGAAGTGATTTCAGCTTGTGTACCACCAGTTTATCCTCCGAGGTCCGGCCACGGATGGGCATGCATTCCAATTGTTCCTACCTGCCATGGTAGTTTCTCTGACAAGAAAGTACTTTCCCCCTCTTCTAAAGAAGCTAAGCCCACTTGTTACAGCCGTTCCTCAGCAACACCTGGAATTCCTTTGTACCCTCTCCAGTTGGATATAGTAAAACATTTGGTTAAAATATCACCTGTTAGGGCTGTCTTGGCCTGTGTTTTTGGTAGCAGTATATTGTATGGTGGGAGTGACTCAACTATATCTAGCTCGTTGAATGATGAAGCACTGCAGGCACCTGATGTTGATCATCAATTTTATGAGTTTGCTCTTGATCAATCTGAGAGGTAATATTTGTTTTAAAGATGTCTAAGCTTGCCCTGTTATATTGTGATAATTTAGTTTGACCTCTTTTTTCCTCTTTAACAGGTTTCCAACTTTAAACCGGTGGATACAGATGCAAACCAATCTCCATCGAGTTTCAGAGTTTGCTGTAACAGCCGAGCAAAAGGCTGATGATGGCAAGGTTAAGCATGAAGCAAGAGCCGCTATTAAGAGGTTTCGTGAGAATGACAGTGATACTGAATCAGAAGTTGATGAAATTGTTGGTAGCAATAACGTTTCAGCATCTTTAGCGGACCTCAGTGGTCAAGATGGTGCAGCTCCAAACACTTGGCGTGATTCTTTTAAATCTGAAAATGCAGAAGATGATACAAAAGTTTTCCTTTCTTTTGATTGGGAGAATGAAGACCCATATGAGAAGGCTGTGGAGCGGTATATTCCATTCTTCTTGCAAAATATTATTTTATTTTGATGGTTGACTTATTTTTCTAGTTGCTGATAGTGCTACTGAATTCAAATTTTTACTGTGTTGTACATCTTGCCGCTTCTTAAAAGAAAACGGAATAAAGGAGGGTCTGAAAAGAAGATATAGAAAATGGGAAGATTTTACCGATAGTTAATTAAACATTTCTGTTAGTATGAATGCCTTTTCTTAAGTATGTGCTACGCATGCCTAGAGTGGCAATATAGACAAAATCTGTGAATCTCTACTCTAATCCTTTTCTTTTTATTTCCTCTTTAAATATTCACAATGGGGGAAGTTTGTGTTGGGTTGAGGGGCAAGTTGTTATCATTAGTAATTATGAGTGCTGTTTGTCATGATACTGTTACCCTAATATATGCTTATTGTCACTTGTTCTCTTTAAGCAGATTGATTGATGAAGGAAAACTCATGGATGCTCTTGCACTTTCGGATCGCTTTTTACGCAATGGGACCTCAGATCGATTGCTTCAGCTACTCATTGAACGGGGAGAAGAAAACCATACAATCTCCGGACAACCTCAAAGTTATGGAGGTCACATTATCTGGAGCAATAGTTGGCAATATTGCTTGCGATTGAAGGATAAACAACTGGCGGCTAGACTTGCTCTCAAGTATGTAAACTAATAGAAACTATTGAGACTTATTTAATCTTTTGTTTCTTTGGGCTCTTTTTCTTTCATGATTTTTTATTGACTTTTAATCGGCTTTTTAAGCAAGGTAAACCCTCTACATGTAGGATAGCTTTTCGTAGGTTACAGAGTGCTCTTGTATGGGTCTTAAATTGAAAGTACTGTGGAACTATCCTCAAAGAAAATTTTATTGCAGGTATGTGCACAGATGGGAACTTAATGCCGCGTTGGATGTTCTCACCATGTGCAGCTGCCACATCCCTCAAAATGATCCAATTAGAAATGAGGTATTGGATTCAATTTATAATTGCTTAAATTTTTATAACTCCGTTTTGTCTGCGTGATGACAGATATTATTTGTTCATTCTCTTACCTTAATTTTACCGAATCAGCCTTTAAATCCTTATGTAATGAAATGGTATCATTCTTTGGATACTTAGGTGTTGCAAATGAGACAAGCTTTGCAGCGATACAGCCATATATTAAGTGCAGATGATCAGTATAGCAGCTGGCAAGAGGTTATAGTCTCTTCTATTGCTAAACTAAAATGAAAAATTTAGATTAAGAGAAAAATGGTTGTGGTTTTCTTTCTGGTAACTATCTTCAATGCTTTGTTCTAATGATCCTTGGTTTTTCTCTTGTGCCTACTGGATATGTCAGGTTGAAGCACAGTGTAAGGAAGATCCAGAGGGCTTGGCACTTCGGTTAGCTGAGAAAGGAGCAGTTTCTGCTGCTCTAGAAGTGGCTGAAAGTGCAGGATTATCCATAGATTTGCGCAGGGAACTGCAGGGTCGGCAACTTGTGAAACTTCTTACAGCAGATCCTCTTAATGGTGGAGGTCCTACAGAAGCTTCACGTTTCCTATCTTCTCTACGTGACTCTAATGATGCTCTTCCAGTGGCTATGGGTGCAATGCAACTATTACCCAACCTTCGATCAAAGCAACTTCTTGTAATTAATTGTTTTTGTTGACCTCTTCTTGCGGGAGTTGGCTACATTACTAAGTACTCTTTGAATGTGAGGTTTCTGTCATATAATTTTGTCTTATTTTTGTAAAGGTTCACTTCTTCCTGAAGCGAAGGGATGGGAATCTATCGGATGTTGAGGTTATTCGACTGAACTCATGGGCTTTAGGTCTTCGTGTTTTGGCTGCCTTGCCATTGCCATGGCAGCAAAGATGTTCCTCTCTGCACGAGCACCCACATTTGATATTAGAGGTTCTGCTGATGAGGAAACAACTACAATCTGCTTCTCTGGTACTGTTCTCCTTACATTGAGATTAAGGATTATCCTTTTATTTGACTCATGATACTGTTAAAATACTGTATATACAATTCCGAATCCCCTTCATTTATCCGCAAACTAGTGTCCTAAAGCTTGGGCCTTGGTCCCGTCTTCTCATATGGCTTCATACCAAAAGTTTGTGCCATCTCTATCCTTCTTTATTTCTTTGATTGTGATGTTGGATTATATTTTCAAGCAGATTCTTAAAGATTTTCCTTCGTTAAGGGACAACAGTGTAATTATAGCATATGCTTCTAAGGCTATTGCTGTCAGTATTACATCTCCTGTGAGAGAACCACGAATATCTGTCTCAGGAACAAGGCCAAAGCAGAAAACAAGAACTGGTGCAAGGTCCTCTTTTACTAGCAGTCTAAGTAACTTGCAAAAGGAGGCTCGTCGAGCTTTTTCTTGGGCTCCACGTAATACTGGAGATAAGGCTACTCCAAAAGATGTTTACCGGAAACGAAAAAGTTCTGGATTGACACCATCTGACAGAGTTGCTTGGGAGGCCATGGCTGGCATTCAAGAGGATCGTGTTTCTTCATACTCTGCTGATGGGCAAGAACGTCTTCCTTCTGTTTCTATTGCAGAGGAATGGATGCTAACAGGTGATGCCTGTAAGGATAGAGATGTTCGTTCGGCTCATCGATATGAAAGTGCACCTGATATTATTCTCTTCAAGGTATGCTCTCGTTGGTGGGCATAACATGTTGGAAATAGCGATATTGTGTGTAATTTTAAACGGTTGCTACTTCCCTTGTTATTGGTGGGTGCCCATGACATCTTGGTTTTTGTTTTACCGTTGGTATTCTTACTCGGAGGTGGCTATAGGTGCATTTTTCCAGCATTTTGAATGAAAAATCGATTCCCATCAAATTCAAACAGAACCCCTTTACTATTCTATCAATTCATGTTTAAATAATGATTTTGTTTTCCGCCTTTTGTCTGTACTAGTAGTTCTTGATTGCATATGTTAATGATGCTCTTGTACTTGACTATGCAATTTTTTCGAACATGATCTAACTCTAAATTTGTAATAACTTTTTAGATATTTCCAGTTAATGTGGACTGGAGACAGCAGAGCCTTTTTTTAACCTGGATGTGTGTGTGTGAAGAAACTTGACCTGAATTTCCTCTTCTTCTGCTATTGCATTTAGAGGCTTTCAGTGTGGATTTTTTTTGTAGCAATAAAATGGCTTTACCCGGACTTTATGCAGGTTGTTGCCATATAAGTGTGACTTGTGAAATGTTTCATGTTCATTGGTGTTTTGAGCATCTCTAGTGCTGGATTTTCTTGAATGAGATCATGAATCTATGTATGCTGCTGCCAGGCTGCTGAAGGTTTCCTCTCCTTTTTTTTTTTTTTTTTTTTTTTTCAGGCTCTCCTTTCTTTGTGTTCTGATGAGTTAGTTTCTGCCAAAAGTGCACTGGACTTGTGTATTAATCAGATGAAGAATGTGTTGAGCTCCCAACAGTTGCCTGAGAATGCATCTATGGAAACAATTGGTCGAGCATATCATGTCACAGAGACATTTGTGCAGGTAAACCATTACCTTGCCCTTGGTTTGAGTGGGAGCTTAATTTCTATAATTGGGGTTTGTGCTCGTCCTTAAAAATGCACTAGCGACAAAGGCAATGGATGCTTTTTAGCTTTCATACAATTGAAAGGTTATAGCTAATGTGAATTTGTCTTCAGTGTAGATTGCAGTAACAAATCACTTGTGTTGCATATGTAGGGACTACTTTATGCTAAAACCCTGCTGAGAAAGCTTGCGGGGGTTGGTGAATTGTCCAGTAATTCAGAAAGGGGTAGGGATGCTGATGATGCATCCTCTGATGCCGGTAGCTCTAGTGTTGGTAGTCAGGCCACCGATGAGTTATCTGAAGTTTCATCACAGGCAGATATTTGGCTCGGACGCGCTGAGCTGCTTCAAAGCCTTTTGGGATCTGGAATTGCTGCTTCTCTGGATGATATTGCTGATAAAGAGTCATCTGCTCATCTACGTGACCGATTGATTGTTGATGAACGATACAGCATGGCTGTATATACTTGCAAGAAGTGTAAGGTAAATATGATTGCCAGATTGTAGTAGTTAGCACCATTTTGCCACTTGGATAGTTAAGGTTATGACTACTTGGTACATATCTCAGATTGATGTTTTCCCGGTGTGGAATGCATGGGGTCATGCTTTGATTCGGATGGAGCACTATGCGCAAGCTCGTGTCAAGTTTAAGTATGTTGAATATATATACGCCTTAAACTTTACAGCTATTATTTAGGTCAATTAAGAACAGATTTGAAGAAACTTGTGTATTTGATGGTGTGCAGGCAAGCTCTTCAATTGTATAAGGGTGATCCTGCACCTGTAATTCTGGAAATCATTAATACAATCGAAGGAGGTCCTCCCGTGGATGTTTCAGCCGTTCGTTCCATGTAAGGCAGCATTTAATCATTGAGACTAAAAATTCCTACATTTGTTTCTGCATTTCAATTCTATTAGGTATGATAATGGGCTAGAAATTGAGAAATACTGTCCAAAATTCCTTTTTTGAAGGTTTTATAGGATTCTGAATCTCTTTCTGACAATTTGTCGTGATTTTAAGATGATCTTTACTCTTTTTGTGGTGTGGGACAATTTGAAATTATTGAGAAGAGAATTTGACATTGTTGTTTTCATCCTATTTTGTCCTTGAATTAACTTAAGTGCACTCTAGAACTGTGGAAAGTATGCAAGAGAGAACCTCAGGGAAGAAAATATTTGATAGTAAAAAGAATTGTGAAAAACCATCTCTTCATTTAAAATATTCCTCTGATAGACTAGAACTGTGTGCCGTACACTTTATACTATTTTTATCTCTTGATGAGTAAATATCTGTTTGGGGGCTTCCTACTTGTGATGATGAAAAAAGGGACAAGTGAAAGAAATAGAAATAAAATAATGCCATATCTTGTCATTGCATGTGCATCTTTCTTATGTATCTTTTACTTCAGGTATGAACATTTGGCCAAAAGTGCACCAACAATCTTGGATGATTCTCTTTCTGCTGATTCATATCTCAATGTTCTATATATGCCATCTACATTTCCACGTTCAGAGAGATCCAGGCGGTCTCAAGAATCTGCAAATAATAATTCTGCTTATGGTCCTGACTTTGAAGATGGTCCTCGCAGCAACCTCGACACCATTAGATATGTTGAGTGTGTAAACTATTTGCAAGAAGTAAGTTTATCCTTCTTTTTGCTTTCTCAAGTTTTTTTTTTTAGTTCATTTAGGGAATACTGAATATTCTTTTTGCAGATTCAGGCTTAACCTAATTCCTGATTAGCACATTAATGGATTTGGTTTTTTTTTTTTCTACACAGACACTCTCAAATATTCAAATAGGAGTAAGGGGTCAAGTCAGTTGTAACTAATGAACAAAATAATTGTAATATAATTTTGAACTCAAATGCATAGAAATAATCTTGAGAATGAATTTCTGTCTTTGAAATGGTGTTTGTTTTACCCTTTTGCCTGGTATCTAGAATCTTGTATGTTAACTACAAATTGTCTTTTTTTTTTTTTTAATTGGTTTATGTTTTACTCATCAGAATTTGTGTGCAGCATGATAATCACTATCCTGTCTTTTACTGTCCAATCTACTATAGTTTATAATTATATCTATAGCTTGTTCACTGTAACCAGGTATTTAATATTTTTGTGATCTTTGCAGTATGGTCGCCAGCATTTGCTTGGTTTTATGTTCAGGCATGGTCATTATAGTGATGGTTGCATGTTGTTCTTTCCTCCCAATGCTGTTCCTCCACCTCCTCAACCATCGACAATGGGAGTAGTTACTTCATCATCATCCCCTCAAAGACCTGATCCTCTGGCGACTGATTATGGCACCATTGATGATCTGTGTGACCTATGTATTGGCTATGGTGCAATGTCCATTTTGGAGGAGGTGATTTCAATGAGAATATCGTCTGCTAAGGAACAAGATTTAGCTGTAAATCAGTTTACTAATGCAGCACTTGCCCGTATTTGCACCTATTGTGAAACTCATAGGCATTTCAATTACCTATACAAGTTCTTGGTATGAGTGATTTTCTTCTTCTTCTTCTTCTGTTGATAATTTTACTTTGAAAGAAGGGGATATGCAGATATAGCACAGATTAAAATTTTAGTGAAGAGTTGTTGTTGGTGCTTTTGTGTGTGTTCAGAAGAGGGATGGGGGTTATTGGAAACGATGTCCCTGAAAATTCTGCAAGATGGATGCCACCTTCTAAAGCTAAAGTTCACTTATGCATTCTGTGGTTAATGAATTCATGGGAAACTTGAACCTCTCACATGTAGAAATTTTAAGACTTCACAAATTGAACTTTAATCCCTCCAATGATTGTATATTATGATTGCCTATTTATTAGTTATTATTCAGTCATCTCAAATAAGAATAGATAAAGCTTCATCTTCCATCCTGATAAAAGGATCGTTTTTCCACAGACTGGTTGAGAATGGAGGGAGTCCTGAGAAACTTGGGAGTCTGTACCATGTAGAAGTATTAATGTTTAAAAACGTGCACCTTCATTTTCATTTTTTTTACGATAAATAAGGAATAAAATTGTGAGAAAAAAATGAGTTCTTTATGGTATCTGTTTTCAGTTTCTTATTCTATTTCTTCTTTCTTCCATCACTGTTAAGCATGGTATATTATATTTGAGTTTGACGAAACTCTACTACGTCCTCTAGGTTCAACTATTGTTTGTCATGTTTTCTTAAAATTTTCTCTTGGTTCAGGTGATAAAAAGGGACCATGTTGCAGCTGGACTTTGCTGTATTCAGCTATTTATGAACTCTTCTTTCCAGGAGGAGGCTATCAAACATTTGGAACATGCTAAGGTAATTTGGATTTTCTTCCTGTGCTCTAATTTAGGGTTGAAAATGGCATGGTTGTGAGTGAAAACATATTATCCTGAAAATTGGACGGGATATATGAGATGAGTTTCCCAAAAGATGCTCAATGGGATATAATATGAAGTATTGGCCATAGACAGTGAGCTTTAAAAATGTCAAACTGTCTTGTGACATTATATTTATAAGAGATACATAGATCTTCCTGATGACACCAATTATATGTATGCTTATCTACTTGCAAGTGATGCCTTGTGGTTTTCAAAATTGAAGATTTCTCGTAGTACCGAGTGCACAGATTTAAAGAATATGCTTATAACAGCATCATGACCTATAACATCATGGTTATCAATTGACTCAAGTGATGCCTCTGCTTTCATGTTTCTTCCATGGACTATTTTAAATTAGCACCTGTAAGTTTGAGTTGAGTTCTATCAATTTGTACTAGCTGCTCTTTTTTCATTTATCTTTCTTTTGCTTCTAGATTCATTTTGACGATGCATTATCAGCTCGATACAAGGGTGGAGATTCTACCAAGCTTGTTACAAAGGGTAGTAGAGGAAAAAGTGCCTCTGAGAAACTCAGTGAAGAAGGACTTGTTAAGTTTTCTACTCGGGTATCAATACAGGTAATTTTCGTCAACTTCAGAGGGATGGCTTTATTTTTATTGTCAGCTGAAAGCAAATCCAAAAATGCAAGTTCAAGTGCTAGAAATAACTCTTCTTGACTGTGAATTGTTGCCAAGATATTTGGAAACCGTTCTTTTCTTTCATATAAAGAAAAATGGTTATAGCTACAAGGGTCTCTGTTTTAAAACCCCAACATGAAGAAAAAAAAGAAAAGAAAAAGGAAAGGATCTTTATGAACCATAAAGCGTAATTTCTGTATGGATGTGATCATGCTTGTATTTGTGTGCATGTATATGGAGGTCTGATCTATTCATGCGTATTTTTCGTCATACAATATTAAATTGCTATCTTCTTACATCACCGAATATAAGCATTTATTAAATTAGGATTTAGAATATTGTGATGCTTATGTATTGAGGCTTGGTTTTGCTTTAGGTTTGATTATGCTAAAACACAGACATTACTAATTTCTTGACTGGTGGACATAAAGTTTTTAGATGGCTAGTCCGTCGATATGGGAGAAGTTGAGCAGTTACCTTTTTGCACATGCATGAACAGATTTTGATACATTATTGAAATATTTTCACTTCTTTCAGAATGATACTTCCATTGGGTTTTGTATCATATGATTTTTATGAATCTACTACATATTGTAGGTGGAAGTTGTAAAATCCTTTCATGATTCTGATAGACCACTGTGGAAACATTCCCTTTTTGGAAATCCAAATGATCCAGAAACCTTCAGGTTAGTGTCATCTCAAATACCAGACTTCAAGCCTGGTTGGCAATGTTTCATTCTAATTAAGTCTTCTGTTTTTGCATTGGTTTGCCCTTATAGGTCCATTTAGTTAAAGTTTTTGCTCAACCTATACAGATATTGATTTCCTTTTTGTGTTATTTTTACTTTTAACATATGACCCTTATAATATATCTGGTCCGCTTGATTCTCTCTTTCCCTATTTATAATTTTTCTTACTACAATGTTTTCTGTTCCCTCCCTCCCCCCCTCTCAAAAAAAAAAAAACAACCAAAAAATAAAAAAGAAAAAAAGAAAGAAAAGAAAGGACTTTTTAGTTAAGCCTTGCCAACCATTTTCTTCATGCTATATAAATGTTATTTACTGTCAGCATTTCGTAAAATGTTGCTTATTTTCCATAGAATCTATATCCCCATTGGAATGATGAGATTTTATGGAATTTTTTACTTATTCAAGCTAAAAAAACATAAATGTTGTTTTAAAGTATTTAAGGCTTTTCTTATTTTCCCTTGTTTATAAACATAACAATGACAAAAACATTCATAAATGGTATTGCTGTTCAGGAGGAGGAGTAAGATTGCAGAGACACTAGTGGAGAAGAATTTCGACTTGGCTTTCCAAGTTATCTATGAATTTAATCTTCCAGGTAGCTATATTTGCTTCTGGCTTATTTAGCATTTCAGTTAGTTTACTTTTTCATTAACATTCAAAGTACTTTCATTACTTTCAGCTGTTGATATATATGCTGGTGTTGCTGCATCTCTTGCTGAAAGGAAAAGGGGCGGTCAGTTGACAGAATTTTTTAGAAACATAAAAGGAACAATTGATGATGATGATTGGGACCAGGTAACGTGATTGCATAACTTGTAGAATAAGGACTTACAAAGGGCTAGAGAAAATGGTTCTACTTTTGTGCTATTTTGTTATGTTTGTATTAGTATTTGAAATTTAGAATTGCTTTAATTTGATTTGCCTACCCGTTCGTAATTTTTGCTACTTTTACAAAGTTTGTTTACCTTCTGTTGTAATAATTTTAATTATCTAGGTTCTGAATGATGTATCCATGTGTATCTTTTTTATGTAGGTTCTGGGGGCTGCAATAAATGTATATGCTAATAAACACAAAGAGCGCCCTGATCGTCTCATAGACATGTTAACCAGCAGTCACAGGTAATGTTTTAGGTTCAGAGCTAAATACTGAATATGCTTCAATTAATTTTATATCAATTTGACTGAGATGTAGTTTTGATAGACCCATAAACAAACTCTTATAAACAAATTATTAAGGATAACAGATTTATGAACAAAGGAAATTTCACCTTGCTTCTCTGTAAAAGAATTGTCTTTTGATGGAGGATCTATATACAGTTCTGCCTGTCAACAATGTCACAGCATAAATTGGTATTTCTCTTTACTTGAACTCATGGATTGCACATGGAAAGCTGATAGTTTTATCATTGTGCTAGGCAATGTCCATAAAAATAGTAATGGACCCTGAAATTTGTTTATCTAAGATCTTGAATGCCTACATTTTGCATTGATTATTATTTTTCCTATAACAAGGTGCTAACAAGTTTTATAAATTTTACCATGCAATTATTGACAAAGTAACTTTATGTTGCAATATATGAATGTAGCGTTTCGTCATTTTTATCCTTTTCTTTTCTGAATTACCAATGTGAACATGAAATACAATTTTTTGTTGACTTCTCCATGCAGGAAGGTGTTGGCTTGTGTGGTTTGTGGTCGGCTAAAAAGCGCTTTCCAGATTGCTTCTCGAAGTGGAAGTGTGGCTGATGTTCAATATGTAGCTCATCAGGTTATTCTCTTTCTGTTTAGGTTCCATCATAGGATTTTATGCGTCATTGTACCATCTCACCAATTGCCATTCTGAGTTGAGGGTGTCCCCTCCAGGAAGATGGCATCATATGCACTAGTTTCTCTGAGATGGATGCATGCAATGGTTTGGTCTGTGCTGATGGTATTTGATCATGTGCATGACTGGAGGGCTATAAAAATAGTGTTTCAGTGGTTTAGTGTTAAATTTCCAACTGGATTGAAATATTAAAGCCCAAAAATATTGATTGCAGGCATTACACGCAAATGCACTCCCCGTGCTTGATATGTGTAAACAGTGGTTGGCTCAATATATGTGACATGTTGCTCACGAAAGTATACCTGATTCAATTAGCCTGCAGCACTATTGTTTTGGTGACTCCATTTCGTTGAGAAAGGTCAAAAGCCATGGAGTTCAATTGCAGAATTTGTGATGGTTTTAGATGCTATTCAAAGCATGCCATATTGAAAACCACTAGCACGTGAAATATGAAGAGGAAGGCTTTAGAACTCCATTGTCTTTTCTATTCTGTTAGCTTTCTCTTCCTGCAATCAGTTGCCATAGTTGCGTCGGTACCATTTGAGTTGGTACGTTGGTGATTGAAACCATAGCAAAGCTTGCAAAATCTACAGAGGAAAGCTACGTGATATGGCTGAATAAATATTTCAAACTGAATAAAGAATACAGAAAAGTGGTTATACAGTGTTAATGCGGAATCATTTGTGGATATGAGAGATCGTAGTGTTCCAAGAGCTGCTAGATTTACTTTTCCGTGTATTAAATATTAATATGGGGTCTTTCTAGTATCAACTTCTTTCTCTCTTTATTTTACTTTCTGGGCTGTATCAAATTGATTTCCTCAACTTAATAATTTACTGTTGTAAAATAGATGGTAGGGGAACAGAAAAAGCAATAGCAGAAGGTGTAAGATTGGCATGTATACGAAAATATTTTTTTTTTCATGGCTTCTATTATCTTGTTTAAATCTGTCAATTGCGCTTAATTTTGTGCTGACAGAAAGGCTTTTATTGATTCTAAACTCAAAACCATACGCTTTCATGATATCAATGGGAGGTGTTATTTCCGGTTCGCTAATTATTGATGCACAGCATGGAGAGGCATTAAGCGTTAAGCTAGAAAATTTTGCGACTGAGCTATCATATTCATGTGCTCTTGGCTTGTCTTAGCCCTTTAACTGGGATCGCCATTGTCTTTCTATATATCTTGTATCGATAAGAATATTGTATTATCAAGTAGAAGTCGAACATTTATGTGATTGATTAACTTTGAACTTGAAAGGAAAAAATGGATCTGGCGGAGGAATCCCACAGCTTTGTATCTCTGAGACTTTGACGGTTAATACCAGTCTTTCTTACGTCAAGGGCATGAAATATAATAAAGATTGGTTCGCCCTTTAATCTTACAAACTTTTTTTTCACAACTCTGACATGGTAGTTTGCAATTGGATAGATGGGACCTATTACGAGTTGACGAATTACGAACTGTTACAGGATCTATTACGAACTAACTAATTACGAGTTGTCACGTTGAGGTTGTGAGAGAAAATTTATAAGATTGGATTGTAAGCTCTGTTTTAAAACCCAAACTGGACTGGCCAGTCCGATCGATTCGACCGAGAGCTGGCCTTTACTCCGGTCTGGGTTAACATAAAAACCAAAAATGTCATTAAACCCGCTTTGGACTGGCAATAGACCGATGAAACAGTACAAAACCACCAGTCCGACCTCCCCGGGGCTTAAAACGGTTCGCTATTTTTAGGTATCTGATCCCCAAAAAATCATATTCCTAATTCCTAAACCAATTTGTAGCATCATTTCATTCTCCATTTCATTTGAATAAAAAAACCAAATTGCATCTTCCATTTTCATCTTCTATTCTTCTTCACTTACTCTAAAATCTATAGTGTAAAGAAGAAGAAGTAAGAGGACGGGAAGGAAGAAGAAAGAGAAGAGGAGACAAGAGAAAGAGTAAGGAAGAAGATTAGAAGAAAGAAAAGAGGAGATGAAGAGAAAGAGAAGAGGAGAGAAAAATTACAGTAGAGCTACGTCGAATGTGTTAGAAGAAAGAAGAAAGTGACGGGGAGAGAGAGAGAAAAAAGGAGAAGAAGAAAGTGATGGGGAGTGATGGCCTGATGGGGAGAGAGGAAAAATGAGAAAGACGGAAGTGATGGGGAGAGAGAAAAAAATAATTAATAATAAAATCTGCAGAATAAACTTACAGGGGTTATAGGTAAATTTTAGGGATGTATTTACTGGTTTTCAAACTTATAATAATTAATGGAATTGTTTAAAGATGTGACTGATATATATCGGTCAGACCGACCGATCCAATTGGTTGGATCGGTCAACCTGCAAACTGACCCCTTGATCGGGTCAACGAGGAGTCCGGTTTTTAAAACAATAATTGTAAGTGTAGTATTGCTATTGAAATAAAAAGAAAATAAAGAATTATTGCATCATGTGTAGAAATGTCTTACAAACTGGTGGATCAGATAAAGAAATAAAATGGATACCCACTTGTTATCCCTCTTGTAAAATATGCAAAAATATACAAGGTCAACTTTTTTCTCCTACTTGTTATCCCACTTACGTACGCAAATCGATCCTCTGAATTTGCCATCAAATGACATTCCCATACCAATACCATACCCCAAATTTATTAAAGGCTGACAACGATACGATTGATTTACAGCTTTGAGATGCTGAAATCGAAATTTCATTTCATTTTCTTTTCACTATTGTTGAAATATAAAATAGGAAATAGAATTATTTTCTTTGTAATATAGGAAATAGAATTATAATAGGAATATAGCAATTTACTTAGATTAGTTTTTTGGTTTTGCTATAAATTCATTATACATATCATTATGAATATACAAGAAAATATTTCTTCACCTGGTATCAGAGCCAGGTTTCTGAAATTTCAAAAAAATTTCTCTCTTTCTCGGATTTTTTTTCCGTCGACTGTTCTCCAGCAATGATCAGAATCTGGTCCAATCACACATGACTGATCATCGTCTCCTCCTCGTCCTAACCCGAGTGGTTTCGTCGTCAGTCGCCACTGCACGCGCCCTCACACGCCGATCATTTTTCCAGCAGCCTCTCCTCCACTCTGTTTTTCCGGCGAGCGTGAGTTCTCACCACCACCGGCATCTTGTTCCTCTCCGCCTCGTCGGCAACTTCAAGGTGTTTCCGTCAGCTTCTGCTTCGATTTGTTTTCCGGCGAGTGTACTGTTTTTCCGACGAGTGTTCTGTTTTTCCAGCAAGCGTAAGTTTCTGTGTTTCTGTCAGTTTCAAGACTTCATGGATTCTTCAAAACAGTCTCTCCTTCGCATCCAAGCGGTTTTTCTTTTGTATCTCTCCCTCTCATCACCACTGAGCGATTAATTGGGACTGCTAATTATTCATCATGGGCTGCCTCTGTCGAATTATGGTGTATGGGTCAAGGTCTGGAGGATCACTTGACCACCAAAGCTGCCGATATTACGTCAGATAAGTCTTCCTGGACTAAAATTGATGCTATGCTGTGTAGTATGTTATGGCAAACTATTGATCCCCCATTTCACCCTATTTATAAATCTTACCGCTCTTGTGTTGATATTTGGAGTCAAGCTAAACTTCTCTATACAAATGACATTCAACGTTTATATTTTGTTGTGTCCAACCCAATTCATCTCAAACAACAGGATATGAATATGTCAGACTTCCTTGGTAAGATGGCTTCCCTTAAGACAAAATTCAATCTGCTGTTACCAACTGATAAATCTGCGGTAGAAGATTTGGCTCAACGGGACAAGTTCTTTATGGTCTTGACACTTGCAGCTCTCGGTCCAAATCTTACACCTGTTTGAGATCAAATTCTTTCTGGATCCACCGTGTCTTCCCTTGATGAAGTGTTTGCCAGATTACTTTGGGTTTCCTCCCCTACGACTGTGCATTCCCCAGGTGACTCTTCGGTCCTTGTTTCTCAGTCCCACACTTTTCGAGAACAGGGCGATTGAAGTGGCAGAGGAAATCGGCCCAAGTGTAGTTACTGTCATCGGTAGGGGCATACCAGAGAAAAATGTTTAAAGTTACATGGTCGACCTACCTGAGCTGCTAATATTGCTCAAGCTGATCACTCTGATCTTCATTCTGAGTCCTCTATAGTGCCAACTCAGCCCTCCTTAACTCTCACAGGTACTGATTATGATGAATACTTATAGTATCAAGCCAGTAAGCAGTCTTCTTCATCCATTGCCTCCGTCGCTCAAATGGGTAATTCAGTTGCTTGCCTTTCTCAGTTTTCTACTTTAGGACCTTGAGTCCTAGATTCAGGTGTCTCATATCATATTTCTGGTAACCCTCGTTTACTTACTCAGATTACAAATACTGTATCTTTACCTCCTGTTACTTTAGCCAATGGGTCTAAAGCCGATGTTAAAGCTATTAGATGTGCAAAACCCCTCCCTTCCTTAGCATTAGACTATGTGCTTTATATTCTTAAATGTCCATTTAATCTCGTGTCTGTCAGTAAACTTACCCGCTCCTTAAATTGCTCTATTCGTTTTGATGCTGACTCTGTTGTTCTACAGGATCGCGACACGGGACGGATGATTGGCACAGGACGTGAGTCACAGGGTCTCTATCATCTCCATATCCCATCTACAGCATGCATTGTCTCCGAGCCTCCGGATCTCCTTCATAGTCGTTTGGGCCATCCTAGTCTTTCCAAACTTCAAAAAATGATCCCAGGTCTATCTAAATTATCGTCCTTGAGTTATGAGTCGTGTCAGCTTGGAAAGCATACTCGTAGTTCTTTTCCAAAGCGTGTCAATAAACGGGTTGCGTCCCCTTTTGAGTTAGTGCATTCAAATGTATGGGGTCCTTGTCGTGTTAACTCTACTTTGGGATTTAAATATTTTGTTAGATTTATTGATGAATATTCCTGTTGCACTTGGTTATTTCTTATGCGCTCTCGTTTTGAATTATTTTCTATATTTTCATCATTTTGTGCTGAAATTAAGACTCAACATAATACTATCATTCGTATATTACGAAGTGATAATGCTCGTGAATATTTCTCTGATTCCTTTACTAAATTCATGACATCTCAGGGAATTCTTCATCAGTCTTCTTGTGTTTATAGTCCCCAACAGAATGGCATTGCTGAGCGTAAAAATAGACACCTCATTGAAACTGCTCGCACTCTTCTTTTACATAGCCACGTCCCTTTCTGGTTTTGGGCTGACGTAGTTCTAACTGCCTGTTACTTAATAAATCGCATGCCTTCTTCTGTCTTACAAGACCAGGTTCCCACTCCATATTATTCCCTGATACTCCATTATTTTCTCTTCCCAAGCGTGTCTTTGGGAGCACCTGTTTTGTTCATATTTTCCCTCCTGGTTAGGATAAATTGTCAGCCAAATCTATGAAATGTATTTTCTTAGGGTATTCACGTCTTCAGAAGGGTTACAAGTGTTATTCTCCCGCCACACATCGCTACTTCATCTTTGCTGATGTTACGTTCTTTGAGTCTTCTCCATTTTTTCCTCATCCTCCAGTGGAGTCTGATCCGGTAGTAGATGTTCTCCCAATTCCATACGTTGCTTTCCCACCTTCGTCTGTTTCGATACCTCAGTCTACTACTAATACCACTCTTCCTGTCGACCATAGTCTTGTTCCTTTTACAAGTGATCCTGATGTTCCCGCTGTTGTTCCTAAGATCCCTGTCACTGCAGGTCATGTGCCCGATTCCTCCAATGCCATGGTCCTGTCTCCAGCTGATCAGTTTCCCATTGCTATTTGTAAAGGTATGCGGTCTACACGCAACCCTCATCCCATCTACATTTTTTTGAGTTATCATCATTTATATCCTTCATATTATGCCTTTATATCCACCCTTTCTTCTGTTTCTGTTCCTTGCAATGTTCATGAGGCACTTTCTCACTCCGAGTGGCATCAAACAAT